GGCACAGGGTATTTCTGTACAGGACTGCGTTGAAGAAGCCTCCCAGTAGCCAGGAGAGGACATGGGAGGGCGCAGTGCTAGCCGGGCCTGATCTCATACCTGCAGAGTGTCAGCTGGGAACACTGCAGGGTCAGGCGGAGCTCAGCGTTCCCTAGCCTCCTGCAGCTTTGCTCTCTTGCTCTGGTTGCAAAGGCCGAGGAAGAATCAGCTCCCAGGGCTCCTGGTCTCTGCTGATGGTAGCAACATGGTTCCATTGGCCCCAAGGCTATGTGCCCTGGAACAGCATTGGAGCAGGCTTCTGGAGGCCATCTCACACCAAGAGGATCCCAAGGGGCATATGTGTGTCAAATATCTAGGATGCTCACCCTGAATGCACTGTTCGGTGTGTATGCTCTACAGCCCAAGTGCTCTGATGCTTTTTCCAAGTTGCACTGCATTATTTTTATTTAGAGACAGGGTCTGGCTAAGTTGCCTAGTGCCTCACTAAGTTGCCTAGGCTTGACTCAAACTTGTGATCCTCCTGCCTCAGACTCCTGAGCTGCTGGTATTTCAGGCAAGCACCACTGCACCCAGCAGCTGCATTGGTCTTTGCAGGAGAGACAGAGACACACACAGAGACAGACAGAGCAGCAAACACAGTCGTCTTCTTGTTGGGTCCCAGGTACCAGGGAGAGCCCAAGTGCAAAATCTTCTATGGGAGTTCTGTTTGACTATAATTTTTTTTTAAAGAGAGAGAGAGAGAGAGAGAGAGAGAGAGAGAGAGAAAGAGAGAGAGAGAATTTTAATATTTATTTATTTATTTAGTTTTCGGCGGACACAACATCTTTGTTTGTATGTGGTGCTGAGGATTGAACCCGGGCCTCACGCATGCCAGGCGAGCGCGCTACTGCTTGAGCCACATCCCCAGCCCTTGACTATAATTTTTATATCAAATTATGTAACATTTAGAGATACATTTGGGGGGCTGGGGATGAATCTGAGTAGTAAAGTGCTTGCCTAGCATGTGCAAGGCCCTGGGTTTGCACCCCCAGAACCAGAAAAGATAGACAGGCATTTAGTAGAAGTTAAAAAATACGTCTCCAACTACTGTGGTTTAACAGAAGAAAGGCCTTCTGTGTGGCGCTTGGTCTGGTTCCATGACTCCAAGATGGTAGGACCCAAAGTGCTCAAGGCTCCAGGATGGCTGCAGAGATCTAGCCCAAGCCCACATTCAGGGTATGACACGAGGGGCAACGGCCACTTTGCTCAGGGAAGCACATGTCATTGGCTGAGCAGGAGCTAGGAAGGCTGCAAAGCAAATGGGTCCAATGACAAGGTGAGACAAAACAAGCCTCACCCACAGGAGGATCCCTGGTCTGAACAACATCATTTTGACGGGTGGCACTGAGAGACAGCCAAGGGCTCTGACTTCCTGACATTCCACTGCTCCAAAGAGAGCCATGGGCTGCGGGCCTGGGTGGGAAAGGGCAGGCCAAGATGCTCCAGCCCCTCCAGGGCTCCCGCTCCCTCCTGCACTGTCCTCCCTCCTGCTCCCCTCCCTCCTGCTCCCCCTCCCTCCTGCTCCCCCTCCCTCCTGCTCCCCCTCCCTCCTACAGAGTCCTCCCTCCTGCTCCCCCTCCCTCCTAGGTGTCCTCCCTCCTGCTCCCCCTCCCTCCTGCTCCCCCTCCCTCCTGCTCCCCCTCCCTCCTACAGAGTCCTCCCTCCTGCTCCCCCTCCCTCCTAGGTGTCCTCCCTCCTGCTCCCCTCCCTCCTGTTCCCCCTCCCTCCTGCTCCCCCTCCCTCCTGCTTCCCCTCCCTCCTGCTTCCCCTCCCTCCTGCTCCCCTCCCTCCTGCACTGTCCTCCCTCCTGCTCCCCTCCCTCCTGCTCCCCCTCCCTCCTGCTCCCCCTCCCTCCTACAGAGTCCTCCCTCCTGCTCCCCTTCCCTCCTACAGTGTCCGCCCTCCTGCTCCCCCTCCCTCCTGCTCTCCCCCCTCCTGTACTGTCCTCCCTCCTGCTCCCCCTCCCTCCTACAGTGTCCTCCCTCCTGCTCCCCCTCCCTCCTACAGTGTCCTCCCTCCTGCTCCCCCTCCCTCCTGCTCTCCTCTCCCTCCTCCTCCCCCCTCTCCTTGTTCCTCTCCCTCCTGCTCTCCCCCCTCCTGCTCTCCCCCCTCCTGCTCCCCCTCCCTCCTGCTCCCCCTCCCTCCTACAGAGTCCTCCCTCCTGCTCCCCCTCCCTCCTGCTCCCCCTCCCTCCTGCTCCCCCTCCCTCCTGCACTGTCCTCTCTTCCGCTTTTCTCTTCCTTCTCATTCTTGAAAATGCTTGCACTGTGGGAGGGAGGACCCCACGCTGTGACCCCAGTGCTGGGGAGGCTGAGGCTGGAGGACGGCAGGCAGCATGGAGACTGCTCATGGGTCTCACCAGCAGGGTCCACAGAGCACCTGCATGGGGACTGGGGAGAGCAGGGAGGCTCTGCCTGGGCTGTGACCCAGACAGAAGGAACTCCTCAAACACAGAAGGCGGCTGGCATTCCAATGGAGAGGCAGGTGAGGGCGTGCCACAGTCTGTGAGGCTGCCCAGAAGGACTGGAGCCCTGGCTGGGTGGGATGGCGGGAGAGGGGGTGGCAGAGGTGCAGGAGCTGGGCTCCCTCTGTCTGCCCGGGACGGAGAAGGCTGCTGAAGATACAGACAGGCCTCTCCAGAGGGGCTGAAGGATAAAGGTCCACCAGAGAAGGGCCTTGCTGGAGGCAGACAAGAGAGCACCTCACGGATGGAGGCCAGCCGTGAGCCAGGACCCTCTGCCTGAGGTCGAGAACAACCCCAAGCCAAGAAGACCATGGCAGATGGGTGGAGTAGAAGACGCAGACCCCAGCAGGGACCTGCAGTGCTCGCTCACTGTGTGTCCAGTGGCACTGCCCAAGGACACAATCACAGAAAATGTGGTGCTGCAGATGTTGCCAGCTTTACATGTACACAACGGTGTGTCAGCAAGCTCCACCCACACAGGGCTGTCTGCTGTAGCCAGAGACAGGGAGGGAGGTGAGTCTAAGACAGAAGTGAGGTTGACAGAGTGGTGGCCACAGCTGGCATCGGAGCACTGATCCAGGCTGTGCACATGTCTAGGAGTTTGGGTCACATCACGACTGCAGCCGATTCACAAGCCCTGCCCTAGAGTGTCCAGCACAGAGCATGGTCTACATGGAATGAAAGGCAGCCATGCAGGACGTCTGACATGAACAACATTATCTTGATGAATGCTTCTGAGAGACGGCGTGCTTTGGGGAAGTCAGGGCTTTGGACAGGTGCCCTGGGAGTCACTGGAGTGCATGCAGCAGGTGCCAGCACAATCCTGTGGAGGAGCAGGGCGGGGAACTCACTGACTGGGGCCAGGTGAGGACTTCAGATGTGATGGACATCACCTGGCACCCCTTCGATTAGGTACCCTTGTGACTTTTTAACAGAATGCAGACATTGACAAAATGAGACCAAGTGCTTATACTCAGAGTGTAATAATGAGAGGCATCGAGGTTGTCAAAACTGAACCTACACAGACGTCCCTTCCCTGTGGTGGCATCAGCCCCCCTGCTGCTCAGGGTCCCCATGCAGGCGCTCCCTTTCTACAGCAGTCTGTTGCATGCTATGCTCTGGGGTTAAGAGGGGTGTCTCCCTGGGAGTACGGGCGGGGCTCCAGTTCCATCCTGGACACCATCTTCCCGACAAGTCCCAACCCAGGCTTCTCCCAGGTCCCGGGCATCTCAGGCTGCGCAGCTCTGGCTTCCCACCATCTGCATGAAGGGTTTGTGGCTGGAAGGGTACAGTCTCTCATGCTCTTTCCCTAAGCAACTAAACCATATTGTGGGATTTTTCTCTTCCATGTTCATTTTAGACTTTAATGATGCCTAAAAAAATTAAGTGGTATTTTGATTAGGACTGTGCTGAATTTAATGCCCTTCTCATCCTTTCAACACTGTGGTATATTTTAAAAACCATCTGATGAAGAACCTGGGGGCCAGGACTGGGGCTACAGCTCCGGGAAGAGCACTGGCCTAGTCTATGCAAGGCCCTTGGTTCCACCCCAACCTGGAAACAAACAAGCAAGCACAGTAGGAACCAGATGGCTGGAGTAGCTAGGGCCTCTCCCTCAGGGGACTCTCCTGCATGGGGCAAGGTGTGGCAGCCCCTTTGGTCCTCTACTGCTCCCCCAGGGAGTCCCCCAGGGGCTGCCTGTGGAGCTGGTGTTTCAGAACACACTCCTGCCCTATAGGGGCTTCCAGAACTTTGTCTCTTGGTACTGGTGCCTGAGCCCAGAGAGCTCTACCACTGAGGTGCACCCCAGCTCCTGTCACTTTTTGCTGTGCGCCAAGGTCTCACTAAATCGCCAGGCTAGCCTTGTACTCGCGACCCTCCTGTCTCCTGAGCAGTGGACACTAAAGGCTCCCATGGCCCACTAGGGTTGCTTCTTTTGAAGACGGGGTCTTGCTGGGTTGCAAGCTGGCCTATAACTCCAAAGCTGGAGCTGTCCTCCCATCTCAACGTCCCTCGCAGTTGGGACTCCAGGCAGGCACCCCCACAGCCAGCCTAACTGGGGGTTATTTTAAGCTCATATACAAATGACTGCCTCTCCCGTCCCTGCTAGGAGGACAGGCTGCACAACCTGGATTTCTGTGGCCACTCTTTCTGCCCCAAGTGAAAAGCCCCAGCCCATGCCTCGGGTCATGACTGCTTCCGCGGTGCACACTTTGTGTCTCCTCAAGATTCTCAGCATTTGCAAAAGCTGCCTGTCCACATCAGACTGTGGTTCTTCAGACTATGGCTCTGCTGGCCTTGTGCTTGACATTCTGCCTCTGGGGCACCCCATCTCAACCTCAGTCTGTGTCTAGAAACATCTCCCCTGTCCTCAGGTACGAACGCTTGGCTGTGGGCAGACTCCAGGGTCGTGGGGCAAAGGCCCTCTCTGGGGCACACCCTGCCTTGCCCGCTTTCCCTTTCCGAGTTTGCTTCAATAGGAAGATGCTTCACAGACTCAGGTCACACACTTTATTTTGGTGAGGATCAGAACCGGGAAACGGACATTCAGTTCCAGGCCAACCATTCTGACATCTGCAGCCTCCTTGGTAGCTGATCAGGGAGTCAGCTCGGATGCGCCAGCTCACTCTCCCCAGCTCCCAGGGCAGTCTGTCCCCGTGACGCTGGGCAGAATCTAGAGCAGCACTGCCCAGGGTCTTCTGTGATGACGGAAACAGGGTGCCCCCAGAAACATGTGGCTGCTGAGCACCCGGGGTGTGTGAGTGCAAACGAGGAGCTAATTGTTAATTCATTTTTAATGAATTTGAACTGAGAAAGCCACGGGTGGCAGTGAGTGGCCCCACACTGGACAGTGCAGCTCTAGAGTCTGGGAGAAAAAGGTACCTCTGTTGACCATGTCTTTCAGGGGAAACGAGGGGCCCTGAGGGGGACAATGCCCTCCAAGCATTAAATTTAGGTCTGTTGATGTCAATTTCATATTTAAAGAAGCCAAGGCGATAGCGGGTAGGAATGGAGGCCACACGAGCAGGTCAGGAGTCTGGCCCTTGGAGAAGAGCTCATGCTCTGCTGACAGCCTGCCTCTGGGGGGCGCCGCTGCACACCTCCACTCCTCCCACAGGTGGTGAGGAGCATGTGCGCAGGCTGCCAGGGCATGCTGTGCAACAGCTGTGGCTCCAGGCCAGAGCACTGAGGGGCACACGGGGCTGGACCACCTCCTGTCCACACCTGTTTTGTTTTTAATATATATGATTTTTTCAAAATTGGCATGGACCCGTCTGAAAGAGGTGGTCATGGCTGCTGCAGGCCAGGGCTGCGTGAGCCCTCTATTAGGATGCCCTGCACCCACCGGGGCAGGGCAGCATGGACATCCTCAGGGCACCCTCAGGCCCCGAGCTGCACCACGAGGTGGAGCTGTGGGAGCGCAAGAAGGTGTGCGCTCCCTCTCGGGACCTTGTGGCGGGATTTAATGGCACTGGCGTCTCCAGGTGCGCAGCATCAGACACGCGGCCACCACCAGGGCCTTTTTATTGCCATTGGGTTGTGACTGTTGGTGTAGTGACGCCTTCAGGAGCAACAGGTGGATTAGAAAACCGTGGCTGGGACATTCTTCCGAGGAGAGGGACCAGGTGAGGAGCAGGGTGACTCAGAACCTGACGAACGTGGCATCGATCTGCCGCACGGAGGGCAGGGCCAGCATGACCTTCCGCCGGTACTGCGGGTCCTTCTGCAGGGGGTTGCGCTCCAGGTACACGGTCTCCAGGCTGTGGGCGCCCTTCAGCTCCTCGAGGTCACTCCAGCTCTCCAGGAGGTTGTCATTCATCTGGGGACACATGGGAGAATAGCCCTCAGGACCTTGGAAGGGGTGCGAGGCACCAAGTCCTCCCTCAGGAGAGGGCGGGAGTCGGTGTGGGCATCCCCTCTGTCCCCTGGATGCCTCCTGTCCACCTCTCAGCAGCAGGTTCCAGTGCAATGTACCTGTTCACCTGGGCACTGGGGCCACATCGCCTGTGGTCTGGCCTCAGGGCAGCAGTGCACAGTGCTGCCTCAAAACTCCTCTCCTGCAGGCAGGTGCTGACACAGGCCTGGTCCCCTCTCTGACAGATCAGTTCTCCACAGCTGTTCCCAAGGCTGACGCAGCAGGCAAGGCTGCTCCACCCAACTGCACGGCTCCCAGGCTCCCAGAACCACCTCACATTGGTTCCCAAGGCCCACCCCTGCTGTTTCCATGCCGCCACACCCGGGGAAAGAGTCACTCTGCCAAGGTCCATTGGAGGGGCTGCCTGTAGCAGGAAGAACTCTCACTTCTCAAACAAGCCCTCAGGACAAGACTTAAGTGACCAATGCACAAGTGGCCCACACTTTCCAAAGGACATGCAAGGACAACAAAGCTATCTTGGTAAGAGCTTGAGCACCTATGAAACTAACGAGACATGTGGGACGTCTGCGAAGGGCAGGTGTGGGGGAAGCAGCCAGGCCCCGGGCCACGGAGTGCTGGCAATGCTAACAAAGGCTCCCTGGAGAAGAGGGCACCAAGCCCTGAGTCTGACCCCATATCTGTCCTGCCCTCTGCGAGTCACTCTTCAGACATGCCACGTCTCAGGGCCTGCCACCCGATGGTGGAGGGAGAGCAGGATGCTCCTGGAGGTCGGCAGGCAGAACCAGGCGGGTAGCAGGCCAAGAGGACTCGCCTCGAGAAGCTTGATGAGACTTGTGCACAGCTGGAATGGACAGCAGACACAGACACCAAGGGCCCTGAGGGGAAGGCCCTGCTGGCCAGGCTCACACTCCAGGGCCGTGGGGTAGGTCCCCCTGTAGGGCTTCCGAGTCTGAGTGTCGCAGATGTGCTGGTGGGCATGGCACTGGATCACACCTTATCTACTGAAGCCAGGTGTAGTGGCACATGCCACTGGGCCTGCAGCCTCAACAGCCGGGCATGATATCTCTCACACTGGCTCATAGAACTGCCATATCTGCAGAGGTGCCTACCTTGTGGGAGGCTCTGCTCTGTGCTGGGATTCAGCACTGAGCAGATGGCACAGGGGCCAGGGAGAGGACAGAGAGAGGCCAGTGGAGGCAGGGAAGGGGCGATCTTGAGGGCTTTGCAGGGCTTGTCTTTTGTTCTGAAGTGAAAGGGAAGGGCTTGGAACTTCGTATTTGAGAAGGATCCATCTTATGTGAGGGGACACACAGGGCTGCAAGTCAGGAGGCCCCTGAAATGGCTCAGGGAAGGGATGCCGGTGGCCTAGGCCAGGCATCTGCAGCAGAGGGGAGGAGGTGGAATTCTAGACACATTCTGGAGGCAGAGGCAAGATGCTGGATTGGATGTGGCATGTAAGAGAAGGGGAAAGTACAGGAGAAATCCAAGGTTTGGGGCCCAAAGAGCTGGAAGGACAGAGATGCTGCCCACTGAGATGAGCCACATAGAGGAGACAGGGAGAGAACTCATGAGCCCAAGCTTGGACATCTTGCTTGGGTGGCAGTTGGATGTCCAGAGATGCTTCCAGGAGCACAGCAATGCCACGTACACCTGTGAGACTGAACAGGCCTACCAGGGGGAGAGAAGAATGCGAGGACTCAGCCCCGGAGCACTCCCTTGATCTGTGGGTGCAAAAAATCCAGGAGGAACCAGCAAAGACCACCAAGGTGTGACTAAGGTGACAGCAGAGCCAAGCTGGCCTATCACGTGTCATCTCATCTATCTCTATCCGTCATCTATCTATCATCCATTAATCATCTGTTATCCATATCCATTGATCTATTTCCCAGAAGTTAGTGAAGCAAGTATTTCAAGAACAGACTGATGACATGTTATCTACTGAAGCCAGGTGCAGCGGCACATGCCAATGTCCCAGCTACTTGGGAGCAGAGGCAGGAGGAGCCAGTTCAGGGGCAGCCAGGGCAGCTCTCTGGTCTTTGGTCTGAGATCCATGCTGCCCTGCTCTCAGCCACAGATGGAGAGGGACGTCCACATGGGCTTCGGGAGGCTCTGCTCTGTGCAGCACCCCTCCACCCTGCCCGTATCGCACCTTCCTGATGTCATAGCTGACCTCTGCTGTCAGGGGGGCCTGCTCTGCTTGGCCAAGTGTTCCAGGCCAGAAGGGAGTGACACTGCTCACCCTGAACTCTATCTCCTCCAGTCTCTAGTCCTTGGCTTCCAGAGAGCTGACCCTGTGGGAGGGCGAAGCAGCCCACTCCATGTCAAGGTCTCCTGCAGAGGGGTGTGACAGGCAGGCTTCCTGCTCCCCTGCTTGAGGACCTCTTTTCACAGACCTTTTCATGGGACTAGTGTGTCACCAGCTCTGGGGAATCTAGATTTCCAAAACCCAGAGCTCAGGCCATGGGGGCTGATCCGAAGAGCTGCCCATGACAGCTGAAGCTCAAGTGGCACACTGCTGCCGGCCCGTCGGCCTCCACCGGAGGGCGCAAGGCACAGTGGCCGTTCTAGGATAGATTCTTAGATTCTGTTCTGTTGAGCATGAGCCTGTGACACCACACCATCCGGCCTGAGCTGGTCACAAGGCCAATGCAGGCAGGGCCTGCATACCCAGAGGCAGGGAGCTGGTTCCACAGACCCTTGCAGTAGACAGCTTGGGACAGGAGCACCTTCTTGCCAAGGATTCCTAGTGCCCTGCTCCTGCATTTGGTCAGGGTGACGACCGCTCCTCTTGCTGGAGGAAAGAGACAGGCAGTCCCCTGAGGGAGGGACCAGGGAGCCTGTGTCACCCCTTTGGGCCAGCTTGTCCTGTGAGGCAGAGGCGAGTGCCCATGCTGGGAGCCCACACCTGCCTCCCCTGTACTCTTGGCTCCTGTGGGCTGTGTTCTTATGGTGCTTACAGACCTTGTACACCACAGAGAATGACAGACCTTTCAGAGAGCAGGTGTGCTTTTTTAACCAGCAAGATATTCTGCATTTTTATAAAATCAGACATGTCTATGTTTTGTTTTTTTTCACTCTTGGCTTTCTAAACTTGGTTAGGAAGATCTCTATGACATCTTCAGTGAAAAACGATCTCAGGGCACTACGTCAAACAGTCCTCCAGGGGCTTCTTCTCTACTTTTTTACAATCTGATCTTTTTCACGTTTACAATCAACAGACACCCTTCTACCAGCAGAAAACACAGCTAAGCGATTTACACCGCAAGGTGACTCTCACAGCAGCCACAGGGCACACGGACGGTCCAGGCGACTTTAGATTGCGTCTGTGGCAAGTGTCGTAGGACTTGGCACTCATAATGTCTCAGCCATCATGGTTAAATCACTCTATGATGCCTGAACAGTGACAAGGCCGCTGGCCACACTTTTCTCAGATGCACTCTGCTGTAAGCAACGTGACTGCAGTTACATGCTCTAGCACGTGAGCCTTTATCTGTACCTCTCACTCTGCTGGGAGGTCCCCATGTGGAACCACTGGCTCAGTGTGGGCATTTCTGTTGTTCTGCCGTATGGGATGGAGCGCAGGGTGCTCTACCAGTCTCCTCACCCCTTTTCGAGACGGGGCCTCACTAAATTGCTGAGGCTGGTCTCAAATGTGCCATCTTCTTGCTTCGGTCAGGCTGCTGAGTCGCAGGGGATCCCATGCATGGGATGCCGGTAAGTGTGGTGTCCAGTGTTATTCACAGTGGCCTCCACCTGACTGCCCACCTTCCCTTCCGAAGTCCACTCCTCTAGTTCAGCCAGCTCTGCCCCCAGCACTACTGGGTGCTGGTGAGACCCAGGGAGCAGGATGGCCCAGAGAGTGCACTGCACAGACACACGTGGGCTGCTGGTGCCAGTGCCCAGGGAGGGACAGAGCCTTGGTTCTGTGAGAGGAAGGAGCTGATGGCTGCACAGTAAGACTATTTTTAGTGTCATGAGATGGGACACCTGAAGACGGTTAAGACGATACCTCTTGTTATGTACTGTTTTTAACAATTAAAAAAAGACAACAGCAGATAAATCCCCTCACCCTCATGAAGACCGCACAGACACAAACAGAGGGTAGATAGAGAGGGCATCTGCCTCAAGACATGTGAAGGCCCTGCGCTGGGCCTGCCTTCTGTCACGCGCCAGCAGGACACAGGACACAGGAAGCAGCTGCTTCCGCACTCTGGACCTCAGGCGATGCAGGACAGTGGTTCTGAGGAAGGCAGCAGATGCGTAAGCCTCTGTCTGAGGAGCTTTCTGGACTGTGAGGAGGGGCCCAGACAGGCCTGGGGTCATGCTGAGGTGAGACGGTGACCAGGGAGGCAGAGGTGGCTGGAGTTTCCAGGTAGGTGTGAGCTGTGCAGGGAAAAGAGCTCCAGGAAGCCCACTGTGTCTGTCCTCTTGCACCCTGGACTGAAGCTAAGCCACACACAGTAGGGACACCAGGCAGAGGGAGCTGAACAGTTACCAGAGCAAACACGGGCAGGGACGTGTGTGTCCACCCAGAACATGCACTAAGCAACACCAGGGGGCAACGGCGTGGGAACAGAGGTGGGTTGGTCCCAGAAGAGGACTGTGCAGACTTGCCCTGGGAGCCTAGAGAAGCCTCAGTAGGTCCAGCAGTCGCTCCACTTCCTGCCAGATGAACAGTCAGTGTCCTTCAAATCCAGACACTTCACAGTTCAGCACCTCCCAGAACATCACACTAATAGGTGGCACAGCACCTGACTGAGGAGGAGGGAAGCCGATTCTGAAAACAACCAGCTCTTCTTAGGGTCGGGAAATACGACATCTGGTATAAAAACCCACTCCCTGGCTCAGCAGCCACCTGGCCATTGCAGAAGAGACGCAGACCTTGGAGACGATAAGAATGATCATGAGGAACAGTGACGGGGACAGTAAGGGGAGGCACAGCAGGGGCGAGATGGGGGGGCGGGTACGGGCCTCCAGGAGCTGACTGCCAAAAGGCCCATGGGGAAGACTCTGGGGGCAGGGGGCTGGCCAGACTTCAGAGGATGATTCCCAGGCATTTTCCATATTTGATACAACCTATAAATTCACAGATCTAAAAAGCTCAATGAACTCTCACACATCAAAGAAAAAATAAACTATGGCACTTCGTATTACAGTTGTAAAAACAAAAACAAAACAAAATAAAAATTGATTAAAAGAACATTAAAAAAGCAGTCAGAAGACAAAAGACAAGTTACACAAATAAGAACCATCAGAGATTTCTCACTGGAAACAAGGCAAACCAGAGGACCATGGAACAGGAAAAGAAAACCATGCCTACCCATAACACCAGCCTTCAAGAGGGAAGGCCAAGTAGAGATTCTGAAGACAAATCAAACTGAGGAGTTGCTTTATAGCAGATTAATAATGAAGAATATTAAAATTCTTCAGGTAGAAGGAAAATGCCCAGTGGAAACTCAGATCTACAAAAAAGAAAGAAGAACGCCAGAAATAGCAAAATAAGTGAGTTTTCTTGTTTTAAATTTAAAGGATAACTGATATAACAATAGATCATGAAGTTTATAAGATATTTAAAAATGAAATGTATGACAACATAGCTACTGGAGGGAAGAACAGAGTACACTTTTGTAAGGGCCTTCCATTATATGTGCAGTAGCACAATATTATCTGTACAAAGAATGTGGTAAATTAAAAATATACTTTGCATCTTAGATCAACCAATAAAACAACAATAACAAAAATCCAAAAGAGGTATATCAAATACACCAATAATAGAGATAAAATAAAACAAATATTTTCATTCTAAAAGAATCTAAGAAAAGAGAAAAGGAACAAAGAATAGATGAGACAAATAAAAAGCAAATACCAAAATGGCAGGAAACACAGTAAATGCAATTGCATTAGATGGAAGTAGTCTAGAGTTGGCCGTGCCAGCCTGGACAAAAGAGCAAGCCTGACTGTACACTGTCTGCAGGGAGCAACAGGTAAATCATAAGGACACAAGGTCAGAGCGGATGGGTGGGGCTAGTGGTAGAGTGCTTGCCTGGCATGCATAAGCCCAGGGTTTGATGCCCAGCACTAGGAAAAAAGAAAAAAAGAAAAAGAAAAAGAAAGCAGATGGGTAGAGACAGAGTCCCTGAAATACTGGTCCTAGACAGATGCAGGGGATCTGTTAGCACCCGGAACTAGGGTGAAGAGGACAACAGTGAGGAGGGAACTGCACTAGACCCCACAGCCCTGCATGTGCATGTACCTGGTAACAGACCTCCAAAGCACAGGCAGTGAAGGCTGCTGGCTCTGGGAGAAGAAACAGTATCCACCAGGTACAGCAGGAAGACTGCACGCTCTTCTGTCAGTCAAGGCATAACAAGTGGATAGCCACTAGTTACCATCTCTGGGTCATTAAACCTTTCTTAGGACTGGCTCCCTATTTCCTCCTACGGACCAAATGCAGCTCACATGTGATGTGGGCAGGGAACCTAGTTTGAGAGTTCAGAGTCAGCAGTTTCCCTTCTTGGATCTAATTCCTCATCTGCAAAACAGGCCAAGCACCTTATTCATAGGCGGGCTGCCACTGTGAGAGGAGACGGGGAGCAGGGGACACTCAGAGCCCTGAATGGACTCTGGCTTTGTCCATGGCCTTTTTCTGTGGTCTCAGAAACAGGGTTTCTTTCTGCTCCAGGGTCAGATACTGTCTGGCCCCAGTGATCAAGTACCAGCTGACCTGCTTCCCTGAGCTGGGACGCCCCCTGGTTCCCGGCTGTGCCTCGGCCCACGTCCTGCCCACTGGCAGAACACTCAGAAGAATCATGTTTCAGAAATCTGTTTCGGTACCATTTCCTACCAATGCCCAGGCCCTTCTCTGGGCTCCTCATTCCTGTCTGGCTCCTCTGTGTGGTTCTCTGGGCTGCTCTTGTCGGCCTACTGGCAGCCACACCTTCCCACTCACTAGTGGACTCCCTCAGCCTGGGCACTCTCACCACCCGCCACAGATATGCTCTGTACCATGTTCTGACACCACCCAAGACTCAGTCTCTTAATAGGGGGCAAGGGGCATTTTCATAGTGGGCTACTTGTGTTCTGGGGTCACTTGGACGATCTTTCAAGATGGGAAAAGGAAAACACTGCAGTCAACAGTGTGGTAGACAGAAGGGATCACCCCTTAGAATTCACACAGACCTTGCATCCAAGGACATCAGTCCACGGCACTTCAGGTGCTAAGTGCCATGCCTCCTGCAGGGGATAACGTGAGGGGAGGGTCAAAACTTGGGAGAACTCCTATGGAATCCCAACACCAAGGACTTCAATGCTGTAGTCACTTCTCAGCCCCTTCAGAGGATGGAAAAACCTCCTTTTTTTTTTTTTAGGGAGGGGCGGTACCGGGGATTGAACTTAGGGGCACTTGACAACTAAGCCACATCCTCAGCCCTATTTTGTATTTTATTTAGAGACAGGGTCTCACTGAATTGTTTAGTGCCTTGCTGTTGCTGAGGCTGGCTTTGGAACTCATGATCCTCCTGTCTCAGCCTCCTGAGCTGCTGGGATTATAGGCATGTGCCACCACGCCCAGCTGCAAAGACCTCTTATCCTGATTTCCTCCTACGGGCTCTGCCACACTGCACCCACAGCCACACCACAACTACTGATGAACACAGCAAATCCCAGGGTGGCCAACCCACCTGACACTCCTTCCACTGTGCTGGGCTGTGTCTGCACTAAATGCATCCGCCCCTCCACTGGGATCTGGAAGCCTCTCAGTCAGTGGACAATTCTAGGCTTAACAGTACATACAACAGGGCTTCTCCCATGTGCACGTGCACAACCACCACCTGGGGTTTTGTTAAGGTGAAGATTCTGCACTTGGGAGACGGGGGGTGGTGGGACTGCTTCCCAGTTCTGGGGGAGCTACTGGTCTGTGACTTGCACTGAGGAGCAAGGCCATAGACACCTCAGGGTTTCTCACGGCCTCTAGCACATTTCACTCAATAGGACCCACTCAGCTAAGGACCACCAACCCTAGAATATAACTTACCCAGAATTCTTGCAGCTCTGTTAGATGGCTGATATTTTCGATCTTCTTGATTCTATTTGATGCAATGTCCAACATCGTAAGTTTGTTCTAAAATAAGAAAATAAGATTCTTCCTGGATTACCACAGCTCAACAGTGACCCTGTGACCACATACAGTGGGAAGTACAGAGTTCAGAGCTGCAGGGTGTCAGTTAGTTCCCATGCTGACCAGAGGAGGTAGCCTGCCCCCTGCCTGCAGCCCTTCCCAGCCAGGCTCTGGCTTCAGTGCTGCCCACAGAGCCCTCCCTGGCATTTGAAGCTGGCTATGTCAGTTCCCAAGCCCCAGGTCTACTGAGGGCCCCAGTGAGACTTAGACCCTGGGCTCTGAAGAAGGGGTGACAACTGTGCCAACAAGTATTCAGTGTTCCATTCTTGCAAATGAAACACCTCTCACTAGAAAAGAGCCTGGGGCCCGCTGAGGCAAGAAGCTGGCCAGGCACACAGCAGAGGTGGGAGGAGGCACTCTGGCCTCCACCTGTCTTCTTAACAGAGGCCCTTCCACCTGGGGTGAAGTGACCAGGAGCAAGGCCAGGAAGCTCAGTGCTGAGCAAAGGCTGGAGCTGCACCCTGCTGGGACTCAGGGATGACGGGATTAGAAGCTGGAAGGCTGTGACATTCAGCCACAGAGGACAGCGTCTGGGCAGGCTGAGCACTGACACAGACGGTTTGTGCACGACACAGCCTGGTGCTTTGGGCTCTGTTCTACAGATGTGTGTGAGACACTTCTCACATGTCAGCTAAGCCTGGGTGACTGTTTTAAAGTTCAGAGCTTCAAGGTTTCACAAACCACAATCTCATGGTGAAAGTGAAGTCTGTCACGCTGCTCGACACAGTGTACTTAAAAGCCACCCAGCAAGTTTTTCTAATTGAAGGCCATCACTCATACTGGCCAAACGCCTGGACAGCAGTCCCTCCCCTCCTCTTTGCCCTTCAGTGCTCCTGATTGAGGGTCCTTGTCCTCCATTTTCTACTGTATTCCTGGTATTCTAATTCCAAATTCTCCTGTTTTTTTTTTTGTTTTTTTTTTGGGTACCAGGGATTGAACTTGGAGCATTCAGCCACTGAGCCACATCCCCAGCCCTATCTTGTATTTTACATAGAGACAGGTTCTCACTGAGTTGCTTATCATTTGGCTTTTTCTGAGGCTGGCTTTGAACTCATGATCCTCCTGCCTCAGCCTCATGAGCTGCTGGGATTATAGGCATGCACCACCATGCCCAGCAAATTCTCCTGGGTTTTAAGGGAAAGTTAAGAAACACCTTAATAAAATATAAAACCCCACAAGAGCTTGCCAGTGCTGGGCTGGCAGCTGTGGCCTGGGCACTCCTTGAGGTCCCAGGGTTGCCTCCCTGGCCTGCACACCTAGCATCCCACCAGCTGGTGCTGAGAGCACCAGCAGAGTCACAGAAGTGCATGGGTGTGAGAGTTGCTACATGGTTACCATGCTGGGCCTGGAGTGGGACTGGTGTGGGCACAGCCTCGGTGGCTCCTTCTACTTCTCTCTTGCTGACCCAGCTATGTCCGATCAGAGTACTGAGCACTGAGAGCACAGGGCAGGAGTTCAGGGAGCTTCAGAGCAAAAAGGGTCTTAGGAGCTGCCCGCTGCCAGCAGCTCGTCCCAGCACTCTGCCTGCCCTGTGGGGGTGCCCTGTGTGTCTGAAACTTGCATGGTCAACCTAGGCCTCGTGAAGCAGGAAGACCTGGCACTTGGACAGAGCACTGGGTGCTGGCTCTCAGAACTGGCCTCTAAACACTGAACTCAGGGATTCAGTTGCACACTCAAAGACTTCCATGTGTTTTGGGAGCTGGACAATGTTTTGAAAGCTCATTAAAAGCAAACCAGTAAAGCCAGGAGCAGCGGCCCACGCCTGTCATCCCAGTGACTGAGGAAGCCAAGGCAGGAGGATTGTAAGTTCAAAGCCAGCCTCAGCAATTTAGTGAAACCGTATCTCTAAATAAAATATAAAAAGGACTGGGGATGTGATTCAGTGGTAAAGTGCCTCTGGGTTCAATTCCTGGTACCAAAGGGGGGGGGGAAGTAACAGGTAAGTGCACACACACAGAGGTCATGGCATTCTGTGGTGCCAAGTAACACGTGGGCCAAGGCTGGTGCCAGCATGAGCCAGACCAGTGCAGAGAAAAGCCCAGGGCACAGGACACGGAGGTGGGGGGATCTGTGCAGCACATCTGCCATCTGGGAAAAAGGCACATACTTCCTTATCTTCTTCCAGAGGATAAGTCTCCCCTCAACCAAGAGATCAAACTCAGAAGAAAATTAGGTGAATATATGCTTTCTAGTTGAGAACATTCCAGAGAAGACACTGGCACATTCAATTACAGTGAATGTCTTGATAACGTAATCATCTTTAATGCCACTGTTTTTATTTTCCCTTCTGTTTTGTTTCAGAGCCCAGGGAGGGTCTAGTGTTTGACCAAGGTAAGACTCTGCACTCCTGCTTCTCTCCTGCTTGCTGAACAGGTCCCACCTTCTGCGGCAGTGGGACTGCTGACACAGGCTCCTTGTTGGGGCTGCTTGTGTATCTGTTTCCTGCAATCCCCCTGCTACAGCTAGAACCCCCATCCCACCACCAGGAACGCTCCCACTCCTGCTCATCCTGCACTGCAGAAGCAAACACCTGGCCTGCACATCAGTTTTATAAACTCTTGAGTGCAAAACTGAAGGAAGGTGACCAAACTTCCCACAGGTATAGTGCAACTTTTCCAATTATTATTTTTTTTTTAGATATTGGTGAACATCTTTTTCCTTCTATAACAGTAATAATGGCATCCAGGCCCTGGCTGAGGCAGAAGCCGAAGGAGCCTGAGATGAGACTGAAACACTACCTTGACAGTACAAAAGTGACCCTTCTGGTTACACTTGCTGGCAATTAAACAAAACAGGGGGAAAAAAATACAGTAAAATTGAGTGAGAAAAAGTATTTTATTTGTCTTGACTTCTGCACTGAGCAGCAGCAGGACGAGCTGAAGGCAGCTGCAGGAGAGGGTCTAGAGGGTGAGGGGAGAGCAGGGTGGATCGACTGGTGAGAAGCCGCAGGGGCAGTGGAGAGGTGGAGAGGTGGAGAGGAGCAGCTTCCTGAGAGCAGCTCACAGCCCCAAGAGACCCCTGCAGCTTGAGGAGGGGCTGAGAGTTCAGTGGCCAGGAGGGAGGAGGGAGGGAGGGCTGCTGACGCCAGCATTCCCATTTGTGCCTAGACTGCGTGGTGGACATGCCAGCAAAGGCCTCCTGAAATCCCCCACGTGGCCATGGTGTAGCGCATGGGCCCTTCAATGCACTTGGGCAGAGTGTCTACCTGAGAGCAGTCCTGAAGGCAGGGTAGGCAGGCTGCCAGCTGCCTGCCCACAGGCACCCCCCACTCCGCCCCAGACAGATGGGTGGGTGCTTACGTTGTTCTCCAGGCCCTCGATGACCTCGATGCCATTGTGGCTCAGGTACAGCTCCCGCAGGTTCACCAGGCTGTGCAGGCCCTCGATCTTCGTCAGCCGGTTGCTCTGTGAGGGGAGAGCCAGAGTCACAAGAGCACGGAGCAGTGCAGAGAGTGAGAGGTAAAGGGCTCCAGGAAGTGGAGCTCCTTATTACTCTGCAGAACCCTAAATGGGTATCTCACTTACAATGTGCTAGAATGGAGCTTGTGCAGATTGGAAAGAGGACCAAGTCTGTTAAACAACACTAAAATTCATGCATGGAAATTCAGTTTCTTACATTAGGAACTCTTTTTAGATGTACTTAGGAAGATTTACTTGAATTAAATTTAACAACTTTAAAATATCAAAATCACTGAATATTTGGAAATAAATTATCATTTCTTTTAAAAGTTAGACCTGAAGAACTTGTTTTCACTCTGCAAAGCATCTGCTTTATAAAGGATCAGAGTGGGTTTATGTGTACATCACTGGTGGTCAGTGGGACCTGCCATGCCAGGCTGTCCCTAGAGCATCCAGTCACAACTCCCTTCAAGGGTCTCATTTCACAAATTTGCTTCTGACAAAAGCCAAACAAACAAACAAACCCCCAAAACAAAACCCCAATTGGTCATCTGAGGCCCAGCACACTTGAGTGTTGACTGCTGCCCATCTGCTGCTGGCAACAGGGCCTGGACCCTCTGGGAGCAGGCAAGCTCTTTCTTCTGACCTGTAAATGAAAACTACCTCATTATCTAACTGCTAATAGGAAAAAAAAGAACAAGATCTTTAAAGAAAGAAATTTCAGCAGGGTAGGGTTGCGCATAGTGCCAGCTACCGGGCAGCTGAGGCAGGAGGATCCCAAGTTCTGGCCAGCCTGGGCAACTCAGTGAGAACCTGTCGAGGGGAAAGTGGGGATATGGGGCTGGGGCCGTGGCTTAGCAGTAGAGTACTTGCCTAACATGTTTCAGACCCTGGGTTCTACCCTCATTGCCACAAAAAAGAAAAAAAAAAATTAATAACTTTTATTTATTTATTTTTTATGTGGTGCTGAGGGCCAAACCCAGTGCCTCACACATGCTAGGCAAATACCCTACCACTAGGCCAGCCTGAAATTTTTAATATTTATAAAAAACCAAACTGTTAGCTGGGCACACATATGAGAGTATGTGGTCTGTGGATGCTGGGTGTAGCTGTGGCTCAGGCCCTGCCAGAAAGCTGGGGGTACCAGTACCTGCATACTGAGGACGGTCAGGTTGGTAAGTGCATCCAGGTTCTGAAGTTTAGTGATTTTGTTTTTCCCCAAAAACAAACTCTCCAGGTTGGTTAATGTGTCGATATTTTCGATTGCCTGTGAAGAGGACAGAAGGGCAGTCAGCACTGTGCCGGGGACTATGTGGGACAGTGAGGCCCTAGACCAGGAGGCAAGGCAACCTGGACTTCAGCAATGACACTGGGCCAGCCTCTCATCTGCTCTGCGAATTTTCCAATGAAATCTCACTGGAAAATATATAACGAAAAACAGGAAAATGATGGGTGGGGTCCAAGGCCCTGTCTCTTGGCCTGACTCCCAAACCCAAGAGGGTTTTCAGACCTCTGGGGTTCCAGGGACACAGTTTGAAACTCATGGAGCGGCTTTCTTGTGTCCCTCCAGTTCTCTGGCCTGGGCTGGCATATTCATCTTATCTTGTACGTGTCAAAGTGCACTCACTCCCCTGAGCCTAGGTCTCCAAGAGTGAGATGCTAGCAGCTCTGACTCAGGCCTCCACATCTCCAGATCCTGAAACATCCATGATGATCCTGGGGGCTGGGCTATCTTCATTCCACTGCTTTACTACCAAACACTCCTCCATTGCTATGGGCTTGAATGGTTCTCATTCCTGCCCAGGGGGACCCTCCTTTCTTTCTGTTGGGCAGATTCATGCCCCAGTATCAATCCACATGTGACCTCTCAGGTTTGCGCTCCATCAGATGCTGGGGACTCTTCACAGGACTCTCAGTCAGCTGGTAAAGGACTCGATCCTGGTTCTATGGAATACCACCTTTGCTTTTCAAAGTCTCACTTTCCATTTTGCACCTTGTCTTCAAGGTCAAATGGATCCTGGAGAAGAGCAGATCGGATCTTGCCAGGGGACCCAGTCCAGGAGAAGCACCAGCCCAGTACACTATTCTCAGCAAAATGCCACTTGCTTATCCAATGGCAGATCACTGAAGGGACCACCTAGCTGTGTTTGGGGAACCTTTATCTTGGAGGCTCCCTAGAGAAAACCATAAGCAGGGAACAAGTTCAGAAGCGAGGTTTCCAGGCTGGCTGGCTGGCTGTGGCAAACGCCAGCTGGGAAGGGTGTGAATTGGGGCCCCCAAAATCTATGCACTGAAGACATGGCAGACCACTTAGTATGGGCACGTATTCTGATTAATATATTTTTTTTAAGAATTTTTTAATATTTATTTTTTAGTTTTCGGTGGACACAACATCTTTGTTTGTATGTGGTGCTGAGGATCGAACCCGGGCCGCACGCATGCCAGGCGAGCGCGCTACCACTTGAGCCACATCCCCAGCCCCACGTATTCTGATTAATATTGACTTCTAGTTAGCAATTAAAATAATAATAATAATAATAATAATAATAATAATAATAATAATGATTTTCCTTTTTCTGAAGAACCACAACACTGTGAGAGAAACCCAGCCAAGTGCACCTCTGGTGTGCTCCCTGGTGGCCCAGGCAGACCTGGCGGCTCCCCAGGACACCCGCAGGCATTGTCTGCACCTACCCGGATGCGGTTAGACCCCAGCTCCAGCATCTGCAGTTGGTGTAAGTTGCTTATATTCTCAATTTTATTGATTTTATTGTTGACCAAGAAGAGTTTTTTCAGCCGTGTCAATTTGTCAATCCCTTCAATGTTTCTTAGTAGATTAAAAGAAATATCTAGAATCCTGGGAATAAGCAAAACATTTTTTTTTTTTTAAATAAAAATGAAAACAGAATGCACATGAGTTAGAATTTAACTAGCTCAGAGGTGGCATCACCACTGTGGACACAGGGTCTGACCACAGCCCTGAATGGTCTGTCACACAGTGCTGTCACACAGTGGTGAGGCTGCCAGGACCTGGAGTGCACTAGAGCAGCCCAGGCACCTGACACTGTCTCCTAGGGCTGTGTGTGGGGCAGAAACCAGGTTCCATTCCAGGGGAGGACCAAGCACCAGGTGCTGCACACAGAATGAACCTAAGAAGTGCTGAATTAAAAACAAACAAAGATCAACAAGCAACAGAGGGTTTGCAGAAGTCTAGGTAAAGTTACTTATCAGGACCTGATTCCTTTAATTAGAAAGGACAGTGAATTCTTTATTTTAAAAGAGGGTTCAAAGGGCAAAAGGACATTTTTGATTTAAGTTCTCATCTTCCTGATTTTGCCTTCATCCCTGGAGCCTGGCCAGAGTCCCATACCAGTTTTCTAGTTAAGACTGACGAGCAAGGGGATGGCACACAGGAGCTGCCGTGCCCACTGGGAGCCCTGGACACAGCAGGCAAAAAACTGGGAGCCAGGTGCAGGGGAGGACCCTGTGTCAGAGGTGGCCTCCAGAGGGTGTTGGTTCTAGGAAGGCTGGCTGCCCCCTATCCAGTTATCTACCCCCCCAGTCCCAACTCCTCTGGGTCTTCCCACTCACTCCAACTGTGTCAGTGCCTCCAGGTTCTCGATCTTCTTGATCTGATTGTCATACAGATCCAACTCACGAAGACTCTGCAGTTCTTCCAGGTTCTCAATGCATTTAATTAAATTCTGACGAAGGCACAGAGTCTGGGGACAGGAAGAGGACAATTGACACAGGCAATGGGCAGGTTGCAGAGCCAGCCTTCCTAGCCAGAAGACACGGTCTACTTTTCTCACTGTTTCCTAGAAAAGTGGTGTCCTTCCAGAGGCAGGTGGGCAGAGGTATGAAGCTGGAATTGTCCTGCCCCACCTGGGGACAAGCAGAGGCCAAAGGGAGGAGGCTGTGCAGGCCCCACACCAAGTAGGCCTACTTGGGGAGGGAGGAAAGGTCTGGGGCTGGAACACAAGCCGTGTTCTGGCAGAATGAGCCTTTGGAGTCTCCATTCTGAGAAGCAGACATGTTTTTTGTGTGTGGTGCTGGGATGAACCCAGGGTCTTGTGCATGCTAGGCAAGCATTCTACCACCTGAGCTGTACCCTAGTTCTTGAGAAGCAAATTTGACTGCAGAAGTCAAGGACTGTAGACTTAGGCAAGTGCCCCTCTGAAAGAGGCTCAGAACCAAGGCAGGCCTAAGCCCAGACTACCTCTCAGGTTCCTCCACTACTGCAAAATGCTGGCTATGTTCAGAAGACAGGGAGGTGCATGAAAGGTCCATACACAGGTCTGTGCCTTTCACAGGATGGGAACAAGGACAGAACCTCCTCACCTTCACCTTCTTCAGCACCTCGAAGCCTTCAATTTTTCCAATGCGATAGTGATTCAGATCAACATCCTGAAACAGACAAAATCTAGCTCAGCTGCAGCAGAATGCCTGGTGACCTGGTTCCTGGAACAGGGGCTGCCAAGGGAGGCTGTCAGGTGGATGAGGTGAGGGTGAGTGTGAGAGACCCAGATTGGGTTTGTGACCGACAGGTGATGGTGATGTGGGGTGAGCTGTCAATCTGATGCTCTTGGTTTAGCTACTGTTCATATTAGTTTTACATGAGACTGACCCTCTACATGATCGGCATGTGGCAGTTTTCTCTGGGCTACTCCCAGCTCCCTTGAGCACAAAGCACAGCTCCAGCTCCAAGAAGATGCACTTCTTAATGTCAGCAGCAATGAGCAGCTGTGGGTTGAAGAGAAGACCCCAGGCTATTCAACCCCTTAACAGTTGGCCGTTGGGGATGTGAGGGTCCCACCACTGACAAAGTAGTCATTGTGCTCATGTGATTCACAAGTCAAAAAGGATTTCATTGGCCATAGTCCTCAGTGGGTAAACAGAAATGAGACTCAATCACTGGTGTTAAACAAAGCAAGAATACAGAAAATTGACCCAACTAAGGGAGGCTTAGGTGACCTCTTTAGGGAAATCACTTACTAATTTGTCACCTTCATAAAAAATAACCTCTATCTCTTAATTGGTGAGTTTGTATATGGGCTAAAAATGGGAGTTCATAACCCACTTGAAGCAAAGTGTGAAAGATGATATATCAAGAACTATGTAATGTTTTGAACAACCAACAATAAAAAAAAATAAAATAAAATAAATAAAAAAAAAAAAACAAAAAATTTAAAAAACAAACAAAAAAAGGCAATAAAACTATTTAAAAAGAAAAAAAAAAAAAAATAACCTGACAGTCAGGGTGATCTGTCATGCCCCCCTGAGGCTGGGTCGAGTAGGCTGCATTACCTCTGCATCTCGGTCCAGGCTAATGGTTTCCATATCCACAGCCAGCTCATGTTCCTCTAAAGAAAAGGAGAAGGAAAGAGCTCATTTAGAACTGTTCACGAGAGGCAGTCGCCCCGAGTCAGTGAAGAGCTGCTATTCTGTCCAGGGTCTGAGACATCCGGCTCATGCACCTAACTGAAATGCAGAGGACACCAAGGGTAAAGATTGATGTTTCAAGCATCCCGAGTTTCCTGAATCCAGCTTCTGGCAAAGGTCTCCAAACTTCCATCAGTGCCTCCAAACTTCCCAAGAAATGAAATGCAGCCTGAAGGTACTGGCGGAAGAAGGAGCTGTCCGAGCCATGGAGAGCCCAGTCTCTGCTGGGGATGCAGACTCAGAACCTTCCTGGAAACCTCAGAGTGCTCGCTGGCAGCTGCCTGCCCTCCTGTGCATTCCTTCCCTCTTGTCTGTGGCAGTAAATCAGGCCATCTGAATACAAACCATGCTGGGTGTGCCATGTGTTCCAGGACGAGCCTTTTAGTGCTTAGAAGATAGCCCTGCATCTATGAATGCTCTTCTCTGCAAAGAGCAAACAAAATGAGGCACAGCTAAGAGCAGGACTAAGGAGCCTCAATGAATAATTTAAACACCTTCTCAACTAGAAGACGGTGAACTAATTCCAGCAGAGAAGCTCACTCAAGATTTCACAAGGACTATCTACCCCAGAGCTGGGCTCCTTCAAGCTAGGCGCTAAGACACACAGAGACACACGTGAGCACACACAGGCAATACACACCCCTTAAGTATGCTCAAGGCCCCAGTTTCATCCTTGGAATCGCCCCAAACAAAAACAAAGAAACAAAAAACCCCACACTTGAAGAGCAATAGTTTTTCTTCCATATTATAAAATGTCCAATCATTGCTAACATTTTCCCGATTGTCTTATAATTTCTTCCCCCAGTTTACTTGAAATAGAATCCAAATAAAGTTATACATTGTGTGACTGCATGCATTTCTGTTAAATCCCTTTTTTACCTTGCAACTTTTTGCTGGAAGAAAACAGGCTGTTTGTTTTATAGTGGATTCTGAATTCTATGCCCAGAGGCTCTTACTAATTTTTAAACTTTTTGTGGTTTTAGAGGCTACTTACAGGATGTTGAGCATGCCATTCAAGTGCTTCCCACTGAGTCATCCTCAGCTCTTTTCATTTTGAAACAGGCTCTGGCTAAGTTGCCTAGGTTGGCCTTGGACTTAACAATCCTCCTGCCTCAGCCTCCTGAGTTGCTGGGATGACCAGGCTTTCACCCCCATAGTTCCTGTAAACTGATCATCACCTTTTCAAGTCTATCTGGGCTCACTCTTCTGTGCACTTGCCTCTGCAATGGAGCTGGCTGACACAGCCCTGGACCTCATGTCCATGGCTGGCTCCCCAGAGGATAAGGAGCCTGCATGCCAGTTAACGTGCACCTGGACTGGAGCCTTGGAGAGGAGCACTGGGCACAGGACCAGCTTAAAACAAAGCAGCAGTGGCCCAACACTGATTTGCTTTTTCATGACGTCTCTTCTATAATGATCAACAGTGGCCAGTTGATAAAAAAAAAAGTCATTTACTATAGTTTACTTAATCTTACAGAATTCTCACTAATCTAAGAATTAAATAAAAAGAATTGAGAACTGCCAAGAGATCAACCCAAACCTCCCTCAAAAGATAGCATTAGCTCACTCTCCCTGAGCTCAGGAAGTTGTGGGATGAGAAGCACTGCAATCAAGCTGGGGTGCCCAGGCCATTTGGTGTCCAACCAGGATACTGGGAGACTAAAGAAGACATCACACACAGTGGTGCTGGGCCAGCAGGTGGGAACAGGGGCTGCTCCAAACTCCATAGGACTTGTGATCTATAGTCAAGGGAGTACACACTGCCCCCACCACTTGAAATGCCAGCGGAACTGAGAGCAGTTACCTGCCATTCTTCTCAATTATCATGGTTACCATAAAAAAAAAGGGTAAGGGAATGCCAGGAGCCACAGCACAGACTTATCATCACAGGTACTTGGGAGGCTACGACAGGAGGACTGCATGTTTGAGGTCAGCTTGAGCAACTTAGTGAGACACTGAAAAAAAAGTGTGTGTGGAGGTGTGGCTCAGTGGTAGAGTGCTTGCCTAACATGTGTGAAGCTCTGGGTTCAATCCCAGGACTGCAAAACAAAACAAAACCCCTTGACACAAAAATATAAGTTAGAGAAAATAAATAAAAGGTAAAGGTTGATGTGTTCGAGTTTGTGTAGTTGGAACTTAAGACTTAAAAAAGTACAGGGAGGAGTGAGTCCCAGTTTCTCTAAAAAGACTCCAAACGCATATTCCCAGAGAATGGAGAATCACCTAGTCTTCTAGAGGAAGGAGCCTGAGGTTTAGATAAACTGGGCTCCAATCCAGCTGGCCCACCCCCCAGCAATGTGCCTTCTGGGCAAGCGAGGGGTGTCTTACTCTTCTCATCTACCCCAAATTAGAGCCTTGTTACCATGATCCACCAAGATGACATCACTACCTTGGGAACGGAGAAGTCCAGGACCCAGTTGCTACAACTTCCAAGTCCCCCACAGACTGCTAGCACGAGCACATGCCAGAGCCCTTCGTGACTGAGTCAGATGATGACATCCGTACCCATGGCTTTATCCACCCACGTCACTTGTAGAACAGACTTTGAAGTTTCAAACTAAATGTGATGGGTATTTTTGTGGTAATCTCCTTTTGCCTTAAAATTCAGTTGCCATAGTTACCAATCATCTTGCTGGCACAGAGAGCACAATCCTATTTTAAAAATCAGCTTTGTTTTTATAAACTTATTTATATACATAAGGGTAATGTGTGATTATGAACACCTAAAAAATCTATACATTGCCTACGAGTCTGGAAAACACAGAAGGCTGAAGTCACATCATCCAGAGACCCTCAGCAACACGGATGCGTTTTCTTTTTTAAGTAGGAAAAACTACATATTCATATTTTTAAACTGAAAATATGACTTTGATATGTATACTGTTCAGAAACTCGCCTTTTTAAACTTAATCATCTGTCTCAGACACCTCTCTGTGTTCATGTGGTCTCTCTCATTCTCTCTAACGCAGGCTCATTTTCTAAGCAAACCAGCAGAAAGGTGAGCGCCACAGCTGGGAGGGTGCGGACTGCTCAGGAGCCGTGTGGCTGGTTCTACGGAGGTGACCATCCTAACCACCACCTACCCGACTCCCAGGCCTGGGGACATGAGGAAGCAGGGTCAGAAATGACTTTGCAAGAACTGAGTGCTAGTGTTACTGTGATAGATCAGCCATTGTGTCTACATCATACCTCGGTTCTGAATCCTCTGGTTCTGTGCCAGAGGACACACTGCCATCAGTGCAGTCAGAACTACATTCTTCCTGCATGCACCACAGGTGAGTTAGCTGGCTAAGGAATCACCCCAGGGCAGACTGCTCCCAACAGCATGCCTACCTGCCCTAGCCCACTGAGGACCCGTGGAGCACAGCACTCCTTCTCAGGACTGGCAAGATACCACCTGAGCAGGACACACATGCCACACAGCTATCATCCACACAGACACACTTGCCGTCACGGTAAGCTTAGGTTTCTTGGCTGCACCCAGTACCTTCTGGGTCCTCCTCGCCACGCTCTGCTCTGTCCTTCAGGCTCTGCTCGCTGAGGTCTGCCACAAGGCCGCTGCTGCGCTTCTTTCCTTCCTCATCACCCGATTCTTCGGATTCCACCCGCCTGTCAACTGAACCCATGTGTATCAGTGAGAATTCAGTCCACTTCACATGCCCATGAGGAATGTTAATAGGCTAACACTCAGTTGTCAGTCAGCAAGACCTCACTCAGAAATAGTGATTGAGTTCTGTTGGTGACGATTTGTGTCTCAGCACCATCTGAGGCACGCAGTGGCAGGGAGAACTGGAGGCAGAGTGAGAAGGTCACCTGGACACTTGGGCGAATAATATAATACTCTTTCCCTCAGGGTCTTGTGAAGAGTTGCCATGTGTTCAGAAAGCCCCAGACCCCTCTGTGCTCACAGGTGTTAACAGCCACATGGTGAAGTGCATCCTGGGCAGCTCTCACTTGGGCCTAGATACAAACCACAGCGGATCACTGTGACCCTCTGGCCACACATCTCACCCACATTCCACTATCCATTTGGTCAAGAAATCAGTGCACAGAACCACATCCTGAAAGAAATCAAGACTAACTTAAACCAGACTGTGGGCAGGGAGGAGCTTTAATGAAAAATAAGAATGCACCCATACCGCTACACTCCAGCGAAGGTCACCGAAGTTAAGTGTCACTGGACAGAGAGTTACCAACTCAAGGGTTTTAAAGGCTGGTAAAAAAATATTTTTTGAGTTAATGAAAAAGGCAATGACTAAATGTGGCAGGCTAGTAAAAATTCTCTGGCAAGGTTGTTAGATAATTATTCCTTTTCATAACATTTTCCATGACCTCTCTTGGAAGCCTGTCTGGAAGGTCTGAGACACCAACAAATTACATGGAATTATCAATCACACGGAAAGTGTTCTGATTATGGCTTACTCTACAGAGGGGTGTGTTCTCTGAGGTGAGTTCAATTTCATCTTTGCTCGGCTCTGCAGGAAATACAAACCATACACAGGAAAGGACTAGTGGATAAAACAAGCCCTTCTAAAAATTACATCCATTCCTTTTTCTCTGACCTGGCAGCTGCCTTGGCTCAACCACTCTTGCCCGGGGCCTGGGATCCTGCCCTGCCTCCCTAATTAGTCTCTCTATGGCTTTTCTTGCTCGGTTTAATCTATTCTCCATTGTGTGGGAATCTGATCCATGATTCCAGAAATTTCTGGAATATCAATGGCTCTCCCTGAGTTTGCAAAGCTTGCTCCTAGAGACATAGCTTTGGCAAACCATTTTCTTTTCCAAGTCTCAGTATCCTCATCTGCAGGGGGAGCTAGCAGAGTACCCATACCTCAGTGCTGCTATCAATATTAAATTAGAAAAGTCACAAGAGCAGTTACATGTGTATGACATGCAGGAGAATTTAACAAATAAGTGACTGCTAGCCACTCTGTGGTCCAGGGTCAGGGAAAGCAGGTTCTGCACACCTCCCAGGAGAGAGGAGGGGCAGCCAGTGTGCAACCTGTGACTCTATCCTGAGGGCAACAGAGAGTGTAAAGTGTGGGACAGAGGATCAGCAAAGAAAGTGACTGTGCAGCTCTGGCTGGTACAATGGGCTGGCAATACAATTGCCCTGAGAAAAAGAAGGTCTCAGTTAAGGCATTGGCAGTAAGAACAGAGGAGGTGTTGAGGATTTGGAACTACTAAAGCAGTAGAAGTGTCAGGGCTTGTAATGACACATGTGGGAGTAGAACAGTGAAAAGTCTGACTTTTGTATTTGCCCTTTACCAAGAAATGGAAACAGCTGAAGTGGGAGAAGGAGTGGCTGGGGGAGTGGTGGGAAGAGGGATACAGAAAAGGCATCCCTTGCTTAAAAAGATTCAAGGATATCCAAAGTCCAGGAACTTTGGTGTGATCTTCCCTGGCCAGCCTCATTGGCCACCCCCACCTACATCATGTATGGTGGTCATCCTGGCTCAAACTCTCCTCCACCCCACTTCTTATTTGACAGGGATTCCTCTGGCTGGAATAACATTTGATTCCTCCCACCCCAACTCTTCCTACTCCAGTCTAAGGATTCTTCAAGGTCCAGCTCAAAGCAGCCTTCACCACTCCCAAACATGCCAGTCCTTCCTTCTGCACCCTCCCTCCTATCTCTGTGACCCACTTCCCTAGCACTTTTCACATGAGGCAGTGACTGCTTTTCTGGAGGTCTGGAGAATCAAGAGCATTGAAGCACTCCAAGAAACGATTGGTTCTCTGACTGGGAACAAGTGTGCGGATGCACAAGTCTACGCATGTAGGAATAAAGAATACATGTAACCGAGGACAAATACATGCGTATGTATAACGTACAGACACACGTAACTGTAAAACACAATTCCAACAAAGTGGTAAAGGAGGAAGAAAGTTGAATTCAGTCTTTTCGTGACTATGATCATCTGGGAAACAGGCATTGCCTTGTACAACTCAGTCTCTGGAGCTCCCCGTCATCCCTGCACAACCCGTTCACTTCCTAGAAAGGACCCTGGTCCGCCCCAGCCACGAGAACACACCGCGCACTCCCCGCAGGTGCCCGCGCCTGAGCCGACGGAGGACCGCGTCCGGCCTGTCAATCTCGGAGGTTCGGGGCCGGGCTCCCACCGCCGCCGGTCCCCGCCGGCTCCCACCCCCGGACCGGGCTCGCGCAGCTCGCTCCTCTCGGCTAAGGTCCTCGGGCCGCTGCCGCCCTCGGGCCAGGGCTCCCCGGGTCCGAATGTCCCCTCTGTTTCTAGCCTGGCGGGCAGCTGTCAGGGCTCCGCGGCGGTGCCCTGGACGTCAAGCTCCTCTTGGGTGAGGGGCCGTGCCAACTCGCCGTAATCCCCCCGGACCCCTGCCGCCCGTCGCCCGCAGGAGCCGCTCACCCTCCATCATCTCCTGCGACTGTTGCTGCCCGGCGCCTCGCTCTGCCGCCATATTGGCTGCTCTCCCCCTTTCCGGAATCTGTCGCCTCAGAACCCTCAGCCAATCAGAGCTCCCGGCTCCGCGTTGGCCAGCCAATCAGGTCCCGTCGCGGCGACTCCCCCGCGCCTGCGCGGGCGCAACGCCTCATGGGAGCCGTAGTTCCTCAGGAGGGATCCCGCCTCCCGCAGGATTCCTGGGCTAGCAGGGCTCGGGCTAGGAGCTGCACGGAAGCTGGCGTGCCGGCGGGGCGTCAGGCTGCACGCGGGCTGTTCCGCGCTCGTGGGTTCGTCCCGGTGCCCGCCCTGGAGGCGCAGAGGGCCTGCGGCCAGGCGATCTCTGGCTGCAGATGCGGCAGGCAGCACGTGATTTTCGGACTCGGGAGACTCGCACTTGTATCTGCACGATGAGCTGAGGGGCCAGAGCGACCAGTGTTCCGGGAGTCCGCGCACGGATTCACTCGTGCGAAAGGCTGCCTTCAGGGGACGACCAGCGCAGGGCGGGAAGGGCCGCGGGCTAGCACCAGCACGTTGGCCGGCCGCTGCTTACTCTGCCCTCGGTCTGCGACCCAGGTGTTGAGGACGAGGCCGCCGCGAGGCGAGCTGCTGGCCGCTCACCTTCCTCGATCCTACGGCTGGAGAAAATGCCGTCCACCGAGTCGCGGGTCAGAGGCGCCTTTCTCTTTTGGCTCCTCGGAGGTGCCGTAGGGGTTTTTCGGTGCGTCCCTAGCAACCGTTTGCGCGGGCGCCGCCGTTCTGGCTCGCTGAGTTCCGCCCACAGGCAACCGTGGTTGGCCCGTGGCATCTGTCAATCGATACGACTCGCTCTGGTATTGGCCGGTGGGCTAGAAGCGCGGTCGGCTCTCAGCTCTGCGAAGGGCCTTTGGCGGTGTGATCCTCGTCGACCCAGGTGAGACCAACGCCGTTGCTCCGGAGAGCTAGAGCCGGTTGCGGGCGCAGTAGGCCTAGGGGCCCCTACGGCCTGCGGCCTGTCCCTGTACGCAGGTCACGGCCCCGGCCCGCGGCGCGGCGGACACTGGCCGTTTGCCCCGCGCTTCGGGCCGCCCGTGCCCGAGCGTCCTTGCAGGGTAACCCGCCCGGTCCGAGGAAGCCACCCAGGCTCTCGGTCTCCTGGCCTGGGGGTGGCTTTGCGCGTTTAGTTCTCTCCTTCGTAGCCTGCGCTACTGCGAGGCTGACGGAGTCCGCGTCCTGCGCCAAGCTGCACCCCAGCGCCGCCTTCTTGCCGCTCGGTGCGAGGAGTGAGCTCTGCGCCCCACCTCAGCACTTGAATGCCCCATTCACCTTAGGCTTCGCCCCCTGCTTTTCCTTTCCTCAGAGCGTAGGAGTTGCCTCACTGAGAACTTGGGGTACCTGCACACGTTATCTCCTTGCTCAGCACATCCAGCCAATTCCATGTCTGTTCTCCTCTTTTGGGTTCCCTTCTCCACGTTTCTGCTATGATCTTTATTTTAAGACCTCACCATTTCTGACTTGAATTGCTGTGACCTTTCTTCCTCCCAGCCTTGCCCCTGTACTGCCCCTGGAATTATCTTTGTAAAATGCATAGCAGGTTGCTTTTCCTTAACTGTTGATCCCTTAAAGCTAATCTTTAGGATAAAAATCCAGGCTCCTTAGTCAGGCCTAAGAAGCCCTGGGAGTTATTCAGGCTTCTCCAGGCTCCTCTCCCCTGTCCTTCTGCACACCCAACTCCTGTGCTTCTGTCTGGACGGCTTCACTCAGCTTGCAGGGCTCTGCTGCCTTGGCACCTCCCAAGCCTTTCCCCACCATTCTGGACTCCAGGGGCCCACCATCCAAGTAGCTGTCGTTTTATGTGTTCATTAGACTGCCTTGATGCAAGACACAGAGCTGTGTGCTCAGGGTGGTCTGCCAGAGAGGAAAACAACTGGCTGTCAGGCCCAAAGTCTAGAGGAAGGCAGGTTTCAGGGTGGGTTGATTCAGTACTTCAGGTGTCCAGGCCTGAAGTCCTCATGTTTGCTGGTCTGTTGTCTACTGGTTGGATCCCCTTGAAAAGCTGGTTCTGTTCTTGTACATGGTCAGTATGTACAGTTGTTCAGGTGGGACAGAGGGTTGCTTCCAGAGGTTCACCCAGAAGAGCAAGGAGTGCATTTGCAGAGCTCTGTATTTGGGAGGTGGGGTAGCTTGTGCCTCTGGACTCATAACTAGCCAAGAGAGTAGGGTCACTCTGTGACACCCTCAGGTCTGCTCTGGGTTCATCTTCCTATTTCTACAGCTTAGAGAGGATTTTAAAAAGTGAATTCTAAAACCCTAGACCTGGGTTTGGAAGTGTTTCTGAATAACATCTGAGTTAAAATTAAACCTGTGAAAAATTAAGGGATCTCTGGTCATGTGAAGTCAGCCTGTGCTCTCAGAATCCACACCTCTGGCTGTGGAGTTGAGACATGTGAGGCTGGGACCTTCTGTTCCCGTGTGCAGAGGTGCTGGCTCAGCAGCCATGTGGACCTTGTGCAGTACAGGATACGCGGAGGGAAAAAGAATCCGTCTTCCCTGCAGCCAGTGCCTCACATCTGTCAGCCAGCATTGACTTTCCTCCCTAAATACCATTGTGACTGTTGGTAATATAACTGAACATCCCCACCCCACTTCTTACTGCATCAACTCAGACAATATTTACCTTTTTCCCATGAAAAACAAAAGTTCCATGCTCTTACCCTCCTTTTGTATTTCTTTTCTGTATTCCTGTTTTATATTACTTTACAGAGTAAACTTTTGTAACGTTTACAATGTGTTCTGAGGAGTTATATTACTTTTAGGATAAAGTTTTATAACAATTACAATGTAGTCAAAAAAATTTTAAAAAAGACAAATTTAAGGTTTTGTAATGATGTATCTGAAATTATGTTACTTTTTAAAACAAAATTAAGATTTTATAACAATGTTTTCTGAAGTCATAATTAAGGTTCCAAGCTTTTTTTATAAGTTAGTTCTAAAAGTAAAAACTGCTGTATAATAGGATCTTGGCCTTGGGATTTATTGTAGCAATATAAGTGCATTTAGATGTGAGATGCAAATCTGTAACATTTAAATGGTGTTAGGTAAGGAAAGCCACACATTCTAATAATTACTTCTAGCTTCCCCCACATCTTTCAGTTTACACTGAACCATTGCATTTCAGGATCCCAGGCTGGATTTTTGTGTGTGTAACACCTCTTGATTTTTCAGGGTATGTTAAGTGATTCATGCAAAAGAAAAAAGGCAGTAGATCATGAATCATGATAGTAAAGTAGACACGTTTAAACCCACCACCCAAGTCAGGACCTAAAGCCCCCCTGCCATTGTGTCTTCCACATCTCAGCTCCCTGTCTGCTACAAGTGTGGGCACACCAGCCTCTTGTTGAATAAACAGTCTTATACGTGGGCACCCCTAAACAATGTGTTTAGATTATTTTATTTTACAAGAAAGGAATCCCACTGTTGATAGTCTTTTGAAACTCGTAGTTTTCCACTCTTTATATTTATATTTTCCACTCCTTATATTTAGGATTTATGTTGTGTGTAGGTGTTTTATAATTCATAACATGAATCTGCCAAAATTTTAAGTCTGTTTGCTTGTTGATAAGTGTTTATTTCATTTTCTTCCTGCTTGTCTGCCTGTCTTTGCCATTGTAAACCTACTGCCCAAAGCATTCCTGTGTGTCTTGCTACCCATGTGCAAGAATTTCTCTAGAATATCAATCTAAGAGTAGAAAGAGCTCTGTTGGAGTAAGCAAATGTTTGACTTTGTTTCCTATGCGGATTATATTTACTTAATGAGTTTCTATTGATTTGTTGATCTAAATCCTTAATGACCTTTGGTGTTATCGAATTTTTCATTTTTACTGATTTATTTGGTATAACATCATGATTAGACTGATAAAAATGTTAAGACTCTGGTTGTAGGTTTCATGTTCTACAAGCTGTTGTTCTTATTTCTTGTTATTTTTCTTTGTCTATGTATATTTCAATTTTGGGGTGGGGGTGTCCTAGAGATTAAACCCAGGAGTACTCAATACATTGAGCTCCATCCTCTGCCCTTTTTGAGACAGGGTCTTGCCTAGTTGCCCAGACTGGCCTCAAACTGGCAATCTTCCTACCTCAGCCTCCCAAGTCTCTGGAATTACAGGCATGCATCCCACGTGTGGCTGTATCTTTAAAATTTCTTAAGTGTCAAATTATTCACCTTTCGAAAGCTTCTGAATATTTTCTGTTATACATTTGGCAAATATCTTCTCCCAAATTGTACCTTGTTCTTTCTTTTCCTTCCTTTCAATTAAATCTAGGGCCTTGAGCATATGTTCTACCACTGAGCTGTACCCCCAGCCCCTTACTTATGAGATAAGGCCTCCCTGTGTTTCCCAGGCTGGTCTTGAGCTTACAGTCCTCCTGCCTCAGTGACCCGAGTAATTAGGATGGCAGGTGTGTGTGTGCCACTGCATCCTGCTTCATTTTAGGTTTTCAGTGGCATTTCTTATGAACACATGTCCTCAGTTTTAATGTTAAATTTATCAATCATACTTTATAGTAGAGCTTTGTTGCTTCTGGTTTTAGAGCTTCCCCTACTCCAAGTCTTACAGATATTCTGTTCGTTTTCTTCCAAAAGCTTCATGTTCTGACACTGGCTTTGCGTGTGGAGTGTCAATGGCTGTGTTTCGGGGTCCCCTTGGGGTACGAATTATCTCAGCACCACTGCTTGAATGGCTGTCTGTGCTTCATAGCCGGTGTCCCTCCCTATCACCTGACCGGCGCCTGCATGCTTGGCCCCTTTGAGGGATCTTCTTACTCCTGCCCCATGGCAGCACACTAGAGCTCCAGTTTTCTGTCGAGTTTGCGCGTCCGGTAAACTGAGTGCTCCACGCCCTCACTCCCCTCGTGCCTGATTCACAGAGATCTTGGTTCAGTACATTTTCTTCCTCATGTGTGATTATCTCTTCACATATTTGCTTTTCTCCCTCTCTCTCCAGGCAGATCTTCCTTTTGTTGGGTTGTCTCAGTTTTTCTCAGGAATTCCAGGATGCTTGGCTCCTGGGAAGACTGCTTTTGCCAGAACCTAGAGTGATGCTGAGCTCAGCGTTGGGCACCGTCTCCCCGGGTCCCTGGCATCTCACGGCTTGGGAGTGGCTCCTCAGGATGGTTTGCTCTCACTGCCCTGTTCTCAGGTCTTAGGTGTTCTTTCACATTTTGAAGTTCCTCTTCCTCCTGCATCTCGGAGGTGCACAGAAGCCACACTCCTGTCACAGGATGCAGTGCTGCTGAGTCGTATGGCTCTTCACGCTCTCGCTCCTGATTTTTCTTGAGCTTGTTTGTACATGGGAAGTCAAAGGGGTGCAATTCTACCTCAGACTGTTTAACTCCATTTAAAATAAGCAGATCACGATTATTAGGCACCAACCTGCCAGTCCCAACTTAGCTTTTTGAGTTTTCCCGAGGGTGCTACCTGGTGAGTCGCCATTACCTGCGTTTTACCCAAGGAAGCGATCCTTGGAACATTGTGCTGGTGAGTACCCCATCAATTCCTGAGAATGAAGATGGGCCCTCTGCTGTGTGCCAGGCTCCTGTGCTCTGGTGGCCTGTCTCCTGGAATTGATGGTCCTGTTTGCATGTTTAATTTTTTTTTTTTTTTTTAAAGAGAGAGAGAGAGAGAGAGAGAGAGAATTTTAGTTTTTAGTTATTGGCGGACACAACATGTTTGTTTGTATGTGGTGCTGAGGATGGAACCCGGGCCGCACGCATGCCAGGCGAGTGCACTACCGCTGGAGCCACATCCCCAGCCCTGCATGTTTAACTTGTATTGCTTGGTGGCATGTTTTGATGTCACCACCCTCCCACAACTGGTCTGGGTGGGGTTGTTCATTTTCCTTTTATCTAAGTGGTACCTGCCTTGCTGATCTCAGGAGCTGACAGCTGAGGTGAGCAGTGGTCAGGCCCTTAGACTCAAGGGACAGGGGTGTGGGTGCAGTGGAGACCCCCTGTTGTGATGAGTGTATATCATCACTATCAGACTCAAAACCTGTTAATTGCAGTAGGTGTGCTCCTCCAGTCTCAATAGATACATCTTTATCACGACCTGAGGATCAGGGCTCCTTGGAATTCCTTGGTGGAATGTGGGGGTTTCAGAAGGGTCAGTTCCCTTTTCCTCCTGCTGCGGGTCTGTCCTGTGTTGGGAGGGGCTTGTGAGCATGTGTGAACACCACACCTGCATGTCCAGGCTTGGTCTTGTGATGCTACTCCTCGGCCAGTTCTTGGGTCTGGGTATGGCATGTGCAGAGCCATGTGGGCCTTGGAAGAGGGGTCCAGGACATTTGGTCAGGAATTTTGGGCTTCCAGACGTGCAGAAGGTGATCTGTAAGGAGGAGTACGGGCTCTGGGTGTTCTTGGCCCTGTGGCCTTCTACTTTGTGGGAACTCCCACCAGTGGCCCTGGGACTGACCACAGTGTGCCCTTTTTGTCTACCTGTGGGTGCCCAAGTGGGGCCGTGCCTCCTCCGAGCAGAGGAGCTTTTCTTAGTGGCACTGGAGCACTGGAGCAGGTATGCTTGTGTTTCACGTGCTTGCCGGTTCAGGGTCTCCCTTGGGAGCTGGTCACATGACTGCACATGACAAGACTGCACAGAATGGAAGGCGCAGGTGAGTGCAGTGAGTGCTGTGGCAATGTTGGCTTCCTGGTGTGGCATCATGTGTACAAAATGTGGTCCTGGGAGGAAGCTCAGTGACAGCCACATGGAATCTTTCTGTGTTTTCCCCATGTCTGCATTGGAACCTACAAGTACAAAAGAACAAAACCACAAACCTCTGGTGCTAGTCCTGCCCCCAGGCGAAGCAGACTCTTGCCTTGCTTTTGGGGATGTGCCCAGGTGGTTCTAGATGCAGCTGGGCCAGCAGGTTGTACAGTGGCTCTTCTTGTGGCCACCCTGGGCATCTCCTTGACCGAGGAGCGTTTTGTGTTGGTGTGGACGGCAGCTCCTGCCCTTCCTGGGGCCCCTTCCCTCTTGCTCCGTCCTGCTTTCCCAGCCCTTCCTAGAAAGGGCTGCTTTTAGCGCACCTCTGCACTGACAGCACTGGCTGCAGCCCGACCTGGGACGGCGATGGGTGTGTGGGACCTGCTGAACTCGTATGGCACAGTCTGCCAGTCGAACTGCCGTGGATTCTTGTGTGGCTGATGTTAATCAGATGCTCTTGGTTTTCTAGGTGAGAATTATTAGAGGAGGGAGCTTAGTGCCTGTCCCACCTGCTACCATGGAAGCCAGAGGCTTGCTGGCCTTCGATGATGACCGGAGATGCCTGTCTGGGAGCCTACCTGTGCCAGTGCCCGCTGAGGGCCCAGCTGCAGAGGCTGCCTCTGGGTCCAGCAAGCCATTCTCCTCAGCCCACAGACACCTGAGCAGGAAGAACGGGCTTTCTAAGCTCTGCCAGAGCAGAATAGCGCTTTCTGGTAATGACTTCCTTTCTGATCATTATGGGCATCAGCCCTGCAGCTTGGAGATGTGGAGTCACTGCTTTCCCCCAGGAAGCCTGTTGCCAGTGGCGTAAAGTGGGTCTGTGGGAAAGCTCACTTGCCGAGGCCTGGCCAAGCACTTTCCTGCTGCCTCTGGCCTTCCTGCTGGGAGCTTCAGGCACACAGTGGACATCTCCTCCATGTGAAACTCTGTGTTTCAAGGCCAGATTAGAAGAAAGTGTAGTTCTTACTAGGAGTGGACAAGGGTACTGTCGTAGACTGGGCCACGTCCCCAGGAAAGTATTAGCTTGCTGATTAGCTCACTGTGGAAGAAGGGGCTTTCCACCTGGCCTAGAGCCCCGAAGACAGGGCCCTGCTCTTGGGTTTCACATCACAGGGACAGGACAAGGGCAGCCACTTCAGTGTGGCCCCCCCACCCCACAGCTAGCTTATTGCTGGGCTATGGCCGAGAAGGAAGTGCTGCCTGCCCGTAAGAGGCATGTTGTATGATGGGGTCTTGAGACAGCAGGGTGTCTGCAGGGAATTGCCGTGGCCCTGGACATCAGGGAAGTCTTTTGGGATAGCAGATGCAGCCAGGAGCCAGAGCACAGTGGTAAGGAAGGGAGAAGGTTCAGCTTCGAGGCCAAGGGTAAGCTTGATGGGGCAGCAGGTGTGGGAACCAAGTTTGCCTTGGTCCTGAGGCTGCTGGACGTGGTCCTAGGAGGGGCTAGAGGTTGTGCAGGGAGCCAGCTGTGAGGTTTGCCGGGTTCTCAGAAGGCGCTGACACTATAGACTGGCTCTAGGATGATCTTTCTGGTGCTGCATGGGGAACAGCCAAAGGCCTGAGAACCAGCTGCTTCTTGGGAGAGGAGAGGAAGAGCGTGGCCTTCTGGCTGCCAGTGCAGGGGATGGTCAGGGAGAGGCTACTTGCTGAAGAAGTCTGGACCTTGGGTGAGGGACATGGAGGAGATGTCCAAAGGGCAGGCAGCAGGGACTCAGGTTGTGTGCCTTTGGCTTTGAGCCCCTGCAAAAATGGAGGTGAGGAGGGAGCCCATGGCACTGAGAAGCCGTGCACTCTTGGTGGGGCGTGTAGAAGGGGAAAGAGCTCCTGTGCCGGAGGGGAGGGGGCCTGGCCTGGAAGGCTGCTGCAGGCAGGAGTCTCCTGGTGGCTCTGTGCTGCCCAGTTGAGTAGGGTGGGGACAGAGGCTGGGCCAGGTCCCTTGGGAGCCGTGGGAGGGGTCAGCAGCATAGCTCTTCTGGAGCAGCAGGGAGGGAGCCGGTGTGAGGACGGGGAGGTGTGGTGCAGGCAGCTCTTGAACTGGGTGACAGCTTTTGGAAGGATGGTGGCGCCTTGGAGTGATTGTCACTGGAGAGGTGCTTGGGCTCCTTGGGGGAGTGTTGCCCTCGGAGTGTGACTGGACCCAAGTGTTGAGCTCAGGCTGTTGGTGCTTCTGAGCAGGCAGTGCCTTCCTCCCAACTGGGTGCCTGAGGCTTGTCTGAATGGACGTTAGGACTGGTTTAGGTCCAGTGTGGGAGTCAGCCCTGCAGGTGGACCAGACCCTTGGATCCTGTGAGGGCTGGTGCTCTTTCTGTTTTAGAAGGGAGCTCCAAGCGGCTATGTAAGGTCTCACACTTCCTTTCATTCTTTCTTCAGAAGACAGATGGAGCTCCTACTGCCTCTCATCACTGGCTGCTCAGAACATCTGCACGAGCAAGCTGCGCTGCCCTATGGCGCCTGAGCTCGTGGATGCCGCTGGGTCCCTGGGCAGTGCGTCCTGCTGCTCCCTGCTGCGTGCCTTGTCTGCCGGGGGCACTGCACCCCCGTTCCCAGCCCCCGTGTGCAACCCTAACAAGGCTGTCTTCACTGTGGACGCCAAGACCACAGAGGTACTGGCTTTGGTTTGTGACCAGGCCATGGATGTGATTTGGGGTTTGTACCTGGAACCTTAAACGGTTTTTTGTGTTTCAAGTGCAATTAGAAAAACATTTGATTTTAGCGATGTTGTAGCAAAAGATGAGAATTTGGAGAACTAAGTATAATCAATTAGAACAAATTGGGTTCTCAGAACAGATGCTGGGAAAGGCTCAGGTGCACTGTGTGTTTGTACATGTTGGCACAACTATGCGAGAATGGGTACTCGGTATTCATGTTCAGTACAGTGGCACCATCTGTGTGAAATGCACCTAGGAATTGCTAGACTGGATCAGAGTTTGCTGGAAATGCCCATATTTTCTATGGTCTTGATTGCCATGTGCTATTTTGCCTGGTTCAGGGGTCCTGGTTGCCCTTCCTGGTTGCCCTTGGCACTGGCCAGGTTTTGTGTCTGTGAGGTTGAGGCCTCTGGGTGCATGTGTGGGTGTTGTCTTCACCTCTGATGGGATGTGAATGATGATGGTGGGGCCCTGCTGGGGAAGGACCAGCCCCTGGGCTGCCATACCAGCTTTGTGTTGTCCTCGATTCTGCTTCTGGGAATTAGAGGGGCTGCTGGTGATGTTTGTGTCTTCTCTCTGCTCCTCCTCAGATCCTGGTTGCTAATGACAAAGCTTGCAGTCTCCTGGGGTACAGCAGCCAGGACCTGATTGGCCAAAAGCTGGCACAGTTCTTCCTGAAGTCGGACTCCGCTGTGGTGGAAGCCCTCAGCCAGGAGCATGTGGAGGCGGATGGCCACGCCGCCGTAGTGTTCAGCACAGTGGTGAGCGGGGTGCAGCGCCCAGGCCTCAAGGCACGAGCAGCGCGGGGCGGAAGAGCCCTGGTTTCCCTGCCTGGACTCTGTCTTTGAGCTGCCCTCTGCCGTGGGGCCCTCGTAGCAGCAACGGTAGCATCTTCAACTGAAAACACGGCCCTGGGTTCTGTTTCCGTCTTTGGCTGGTTGGGCTTGGGGACTCAGGACGAGCACTGGGTGACCTGGAGAGCCCCATCTTGGTGTGATGGGGGGTGCGGTGTGGCTGGCATGTGGCAAACCTGGAGGCACCACGTGAGAATCCCAGAAGAGGGGTGTGATTTCATTGTCTGGACCAGTTCTTACATCTAATCCACATTTTCTGTTTGGTGTATGTTTGGTTGGTGTGACTGGGGGAGCTTCCCTGGAGAGCTTTGGTCTCTCCTCTGTGCTTCTGGGGCCAACTTGGATGTTGATGGGTGAGCTGAGCTGTTAGATGCTGAGGACTGAGCCCCGGGCACGGAAGAGACTTGGAGAGGGTCAGCTGCATCAGGAGGTTCCTGGTTTAAGAGGCCTGCTGCTATAGAGGGAAATTGTAGGACTTAGCACATTGGTGTCTGCCGCTTTAAGAAATACCAGGTGCTGATCTTTTTTCCTGCTGTTTTACCACGGAGTTGAGTGTATTGGTCAGATTTTTCCAGAGGAATAGAACCCATAGGATGTATCTAATCATAATGGGCATTTATCAGGCTGCTTACATAATGTGAGACCAGATTGTTGCACAGTGTCCTTCTGTAGGCCAGAGAGCTGGGAAACCAGTATGTGCCTAGCCCGAGAAGCTGGAGCCTGAGAACAAGATGGGCGTCGATGCTGCCCAATCAGATCTGATGATCCCAGAACCCCAGAGTTGTTGGTTCAAGTCTGTGTTAAAAGCCGAAGAGCCTCCTGCAGTCTGACGTCCACAGACAATGGCAGCAAAACACGTATCCACCCAAGAAGGACCGAGTGTGTGTGTGTGAGGGTCCTTCTCCAACCCCTAGGTTCCGTCCTCGCCCCAGTCTGCTAGGTGGTGCTGCCCTCATTCAGAGTGCATCTTCTCCACCAGAAACACCCTCATAGACATGCCACAGTGTGCTTTACCACTCTGTAGGTGTCCCTTAATCTAGTCAATTAGACAAGATGAACCATGACACTAAGGATTAAAAAAAGAATCTTAGTAAAACATTCACTCAGACACTACAACCCTAAGTATCAGAAGCTTGTTCAGCTGGACATGGTGGTGCACACTGGTAATCCCAGCGACTCAGGAGGCTGAGGACAGCAGGATCATAAGTTCCAGGCCAGCCTCAGCAATGCAGAGAAACCCTGTCTCAAAATGAAAAACAGGGCTAGGTGTGTGCTCAGTGGTAAAGTGTTCTCGGTTCCACCTCCACGCCCCCCAAACAAACAAAACCCTTCGTTTACCCTTGGTGAGTTTCCAAGATGGAAGGTAGGCGTGGGAAGTTGGACACACTGAGGTGTGGGGTGTGGAAGGGTGGCTCCTGGTGGCAGCCCTCTCCCGTGCTTGCCGCCAGGGTCCCCAGTGCAGCCTGTCTGTGTGTGCAGGTGGACATCGTCAGCCGCAGTGGGGAGAAGATTCCAGTCTCTGTGTGGATGAAGAGAGTGCGGCAGGAGCGTGGCCTGTGCTGTGTGGTGGTCCTGGAGCCTGTGGAGAGGGTCTCAGCCTGGGTTGCCTTCCACAGTGACGTGAGTGTGTCCATTCCTTGGCCCAGGACCCCAGTCCTGCCTCCTGCACGCACCTCAGCCAGTGCTCTCCATGGCTTGGCGGGAAGAGCAGAGGATGAAGGTGTCTGGGGGTCTGCCAGCGGCGCCCCTCACTGTGTGCCCATGCCTCAGTTGTCCTGTCTGTGAGGTGGGGAGAGGGGCTGTATCTACTCATGAGATTGTTCTTATATAAAATGAAATGATGTTTGAAAAACCTCAGAACATGCCAGCACTGCAGACAGCACCTGAGTGTATTGTTATAAAAAAGAGCTTCTCCTGAGGCCAGGGCTTCCAGAGAGCACGTGAGGAAGTCAGAGGCCGAGGCACGTCTGGCACAAGAGGAGGTGTTCTTGGGAAAGCCCCTCTGTGTGCCTCTTGAACTTCTGCCCAATGTGAGAATGGTCTTGCTTTTGGCTCACAGGCACTGGAGTCTAGGCAGCTTCAAGCCCAGGTGCACAGGGCTCTTGTTGCAACCCTTACGAGTGCCGTGTGTTTCTCCAGGGAACCATCACGGCCTGTGACAGCCTCTTCGCTCATCTCCATGGGTTTGCCTCGGGTGAGGATGTGGTTGGACAGCATCTCCCAGACCTCATTCCATCTGTGCAGCTACCTCCTCCTGGCCAGCCTGTGCCAAAGGTAGGATGCTGACCACCTGGGCCACAGGGTGGGCGTCAAGTTCTGAATCCGTAACCTGACAGCAGGACAGCCTTCAGCCCTCTGTGCTCCGAGGTGTGGCCAAGGGCTGAAGCCTGTGTGTTCTCCCAGCTGACCGCTGTTGTCTCCTCAGTTCTCTTGTCAGTGTGGCACAGGGAGGGCAGCATGCTCACAGGGTATCAGTAGAGTTCTCCTCCTGGACCAATGGGATGCACATATATAGAGACAAGAGGGGATTTATTAGGGACTTGCCTTTTGAGGTCACAAGGCCACAGCCCACGACCCGCCATCTACAAGCTAGAGACTCTGGAATTGACCCGAGTGTGGATTTGCCACATTTTTGAAAGCCTGAGGACCTGGGAACACGAACGAAAGCAGTGCTTTGAAGTCCAAAGCCACCCCCAGTGTCTCGGCATCAGTGTGCGCACATGCCGTGTCCTGGAAGCCCCTTCACAGGCACTAGAGGCAGTGCTGCTCAGCTCTGGGTGTTGCTTGTCCAGGCAAGTCCATACCTCAGGTGGCCCTCACGCCCTGGAGGCAGGACGGCTGTGTCCCACAGGAAGTGGGTGGTGGGGTCTGGGCGTGGTGGAGTGCTCGGCCAGTGTGCCAGCCCTTCCCCGGGGGACTTGTCCCAAGGTCACCTCTGTCTTCCTCAGGTGGGGACTGACTGCTCTATTGGTCTCTGGTCAGTGCCAGTTCCTTTGGCGAGACGAGAGTCATCTGGAGTGTTCCCTGGGTGTAGCTCTCTAAACTCAGCCCCTGAGCCTCTTTTGCTACATCAGATTCTCCAGCTTCTAGGAGGAGCCCTTGTCCCCACCTCCTGTGCTCTGAGCATTGGCCACGTGGCCTTCACGGCTGGCAGGGCTGTCTACTTGTCTACCCTGGGCACTGCCTGGCAGCACCTGCTCACAGCCCTCTCCCCCAGAGATACACCCTGGTAAGGCAAGGCAGAAAGCACAAGTGAGTGTGTTCTTAGCCCCAAGTGGGCTACCATGTCCCTCAGGGGTAGACAGGGACATGCTGGGAGCCAACACAGAGGGATCTGTACCCTTGTCCTCACAGGGCTCACTGGGGCCTGGGCCTGCCTCTGGCTGGGTCAGGGCGCTGTGCTGCCCGTCTGCGGCCTGGCAGCTGCAGGTTTCCAGTCTGGAAGGGTGGGCCCCTAAACAGGGTGGGGGCAAAGGCTTGGGTCTACCTTACCACCCTGAAGCCCCTGAAGACTCTGAAGTGTTTGGCTGGGAACACTGTGTTAGTCAAGAGACAGGACTCTCTGGGCATGGTGATCCCAGCGACTCGGGAGGCCGAAGCAGGAGGCAAGTTGGAGGCCAGCCTCAGCAACTTAGTGAGACCCTGTCTCCAAAGAAAAAACCATTATAAAGGTCTGGAATGTAGCTCAGTGGTAAAGTGCTCTTTGGTTCACTCTCTAGTGGCCTCTGAAGTGTCTGGGGGGGGGAGTCCTAGTAGGGATGTGGTGGGACAGTGACGTGCAGGGGGAGTGTGATACATGCACTTGGTGGTGTGGCAGAGGGAGGAGCCGAGAAGGCAATGGGGAGTCAGTGACAGCAGGAAGCGGGGGCCCCCAGTCCCAGTGGACTCCGAGCTCTTCCTCCACACAGAACTGAGGGCAGTGCCCAGAGTGCGGGTGGCACAGCTACCCACCCTGGACAGCTGGAGCCCTGGTCCCTCACTTGCCCATGTCTTGGTTAGCTCACTAGGCTTTTCTTGAATACCCTGGCATGTGCTATACCCAGGCCACTCTTGAGTCCTTGGTGTCCCCTGCTGTCATTCCCCAGGCAGGGTGGGGCTGGGGGACAGCAGGTGTGGGTGTAAGGTGCTCCTGTGCTTCCTGAGGGGGTCTCACAGCAGAGAAGGTCTGCTCAGCCCCCCAGCCCAGCTGCCCTGCTGAGCCTGGCACCTCTCTCGTAGAGTCTGAAGATCCAGAGGTCTGTTGGCAGAGCCAGGGATGGCACCACCTTCCCTCTGAGCCTAAAGCTGAAGGCCAAGCCCAGTGACCCGGAGGTGGCCAGCAGCAAGGAGGCCCCCGAGCTGGACTACTGGGCATCAGTCTGGGTGTTCTGCACCATCAGTGGGCTTGTGACCCTTCTGCCGGATGGCACCATCTACGGCATCAACCACAGCTTTGCGCTGATGCTGTTTGGTTATGGAAGGACAGAGCTCCTGGGCAAGGTGGGCTCGTCGGGGCTGCGGGCTTTCCACCCATTTGGGAGGCTGGCCCTTGTGTATGGGGGTGGTGGCTCACAGATTCACCCAGGAAGGACCGCGGGCCCTGGCGGGGAGCCTTGCTGACGGCCGCCAGGTCATTTCCCTTGGCCGATTCCAGAGTCACCCCGGGGAGGGAGAGGAGTGCTGTTCCCAGTGAGATCTGGTCTGGCTGATGGGACCAGGTTTGGGTCACAATTGCAGTGGCTTCAGACTGGTTCATGTCTGAAAATTTGACCCCAGTGTCTTTCCTGACCTTAGGAGGAACTGTCCAGAGACTTGCTGCATTTGGTTAATTTTTTTGCAGTTGTTTTCATTTCAGCCCCAGCAGAGTGTGTCCAGGAGGGGCATAATGAGTCCCCCAGGTCTTGAACTGTCACTTTTTGCCTCCCAGAATATCACTTTCCTGATTCCTGGTTTCTACCACTACATGGACCTTGCCTGTGACAGTTCTTCACAGCTGCCAGACCTGGCCGACTGCCTGGACATCCACAGTGAGAGCAGGCCTGGGCAGATGAGCTGGGACCCCGGCAGCGGAGCCCAGGGTGAGACATGGCCTTCTCTCCCCAGTGTGCCCCTGGCGGCCCAGCCCCACCAGGGCCATGCCTCCTACCAGAGATGGGCTTAGGGTCGTGGCTGGGGACTGAGTGAGGGGCACCAGTCCTGTTTCCGTGTTTGTGTCTCTCTCAGCCCTTCTGTTCGCCAGCGGTAGGGCAAGGTGTGGGGGCTCTTCTTACAAGCGTATTGGCAGCGAGAAGCTGAAGGAAAGGTCTTCAAGAAGCCATGAGTCGTGCCCTATCGAGTCTCAGCCACAGTCTTGGCTTCTGGGAGGGGATTCATGTAGGTCCACGTGGCCCAAGATGGAGTGGATGAGCTGTCCTCTTTATTCCTAAGTTAGATATTGCTAGCACGTTGGTGGAGTTTGTAATGTTTACCCCTTTGGTTTTTATTTGGCACTTAAACATGTCAACAGTATTCCTGAGCCCTGTGTGTGGACAGTCTCAGCCTGCTGGTCTCTGGGGAGAAGCTCCCAGCCTCCTGTGCCCAGCAGCCTGCTCTAGCTCAGGACACTGGCAGGGTGTGGGGCCTGTGACAGGGGCACTGGCACCCTTGGTCACGCTCTGCCCTCGACCCCTCAGGTGTGGTTCTGGAGTCCCTGGGCCCTGATGGGGTTTGAGGATCCAGGTGACGTAGTGTGGGGGTGCTGGGCGGGGTCTCTGCTCTCTAGTGGGAAGGAGCAGTGGGGACAGGATGTGAGTGTCAGGTACTAGCAGGGTGCGTTGTGCGCATCGTGCTGGGCCGTGGCCCTTGTGGGTGGTGCTCCCCTGGGACGCCGGGTGCCAGCAGCTCAGGCAGCAAGCGCTGTGAGTAGGGTGCAGGCCTTCCCGATTCTGCTCTCAGATCTGAAGGTGAACGTGGTACGTGCTGGTGACCGCCTGCTGCCACCAGATGAGACCCTGAAGCTGGCAAGAAGCCAAGACATCTCCCCTGCTCAGACACAGCAGGAAGTAGGAGCCTGGCTCCCTTCCTCCTCGTCGGAGCCCTCACCGGGGTGAGTGCTGGTGGGAAGTGGAGGCTGGTGGAGGAGCTGCTCCCAGGGTGGGGGGGTGCAGTTCGGTGATGCACCTGGCTCCCACAAACCCAGCACCTGCCCTGTCTGAATGGTGACATGTTTCTCCCAGGTTGCCCACTGAGTGTTCTGCCGTGGGACGGGGTGCCCACAATGCCATCTTATCCCGTGGCTGTCAGAGGTCAGGGGCGTTTAGGTAGACTTAAGAGGGCTGAAGCTGGCCTGGCCTGAGCATTGTGGAAATCATATGAAGCTGTTTTCTTTGCACGTTTTTAAATGAAGTATCCTACATGGAGTGAAGGACGTTTATGTTAGATGACTTGGGAAAACAGGAACAAAGGCTCACTGATTCTGTTTCTCAGTCCTATTGTGCTCAGTATTTTGGTGTTTTCAGCTAGTTTTTTCATTAAAAAAATATATACGTATTATCGAATAAAACATGTGTATGTATATGTAAAACGCATATATGTGTGTGTGTGTGTGTGTGTGTGTGTGTGTGTGTGTGTATATATATATATATATATAAATAAATGAATCATATTTTGCTGCTGGGCATTGAAGCTGGGGTATTCTAGCCCTGGGCTACATTCCTAATTTCTTAAATTTATTTTTATCTTGATGGCCTTGTTAAGTTGTCCAGACTGTCCTCATACTAGGGGTCCTCGTCCTGCCTAGTTGCCAGGTGGCTGGGATCAAGGGTATGTGTCACATGTCCGGCTTAAAACCCTGTTTTACGCACAGTGTCCAGGAGCATGCCTGAGCCTCGGGTGTGCACATGGAGGGCAGATCCATGGTCTTTCCTGCCCCCGGATCTCCTGCTCTCTACCCTTACCACCATGCATTGGAGCATACGCCAGAGTTTCCTGTCCTTGGGCCTGAGCTGTCCCCTTTGTCCTTGGCTCTACCTTCTTTAGTTTGTTGTTGTGGCAGCCTTCCTGGACTTATTTTAAAGGAGTACACGAGTGTGTTTCAAGGTCAGAGCAGCAGTGACAGGTGGACTCCCCTTGGCCCTCTCCAGACCTGCCTCCTCCTACTCTGAGGACACTTGTCAGCAGCTCCAACCCTCCAGACCCTCCCCCTATGCGAGTCAGCATGGATGTGTGTCGTGTGTGTGTGTGTGTGTGTGTGTGGTGTGTACCCTTGTGCCTGGCTTTTGTCTAACAGGACAGGATTGCTGCATGTTGTCCTGGCTGTGTGTGCTTGTGCCTGCTGACCTCTTCCCAGCAAGACCCCCAACAGCACCTGTTGTTCCTTTCCTGCTGTTTGGTGTCAGGGTGTTCCTTTGATTTGTCTCCCTGGCTCCCTCCTGGCTCAGGTTTGCTTTGGGTGGCATGACAAGTGTACCCATCTGCAGATGAGGGGAGCTGGGAGCTGGCATGAGTGGCTGATGCTGGTCAAGTGCCCCAGCCTGGCTGGGCTGCTTACTCCTGCCAGCTGCCAGTGAGTGCATCATTCCAGGAATGGGGTGTCCAGTGGGGTCACTCGCCAGCCGCTCTCCTCAGGATCAGGGCAGAGTGCCTCTTCTAGGCTCGTGTTGTTCAATGAGGAAGCTACACTGCATTGGTTAAGTCTTACATTTTCTTTAAGGTGGGACAGTTTTAGATCCTAGGGGTTTGCGTAGTTATCGTTGGTGGTGCTGAGGATGGAACCGTGCCTTGCTCACACAAGGCCAAGGTTCTGCCGCGGAGCGGCTCCCAGCCCAGGTTCTGCAGCTCAGCTGGCACCCATCCCACCTGCAGCATGGAGTAGTGCGTGACATGCCCTTCAGTCACCCACTCACTTGTTCAACAGATAACGGGCGGAGAGTCGAGGCTTCTCTGTGACATTGTGGTCTAATTAGGAATGCAAGCTGCTGCGTCACCAAGTCCAAGTGGGAAGTACAGAAGGAGGAGGGAGGCACATGTTCTGGGGTTCTGTCGGGCTTCCTCCGCCACCGCCTCTGGCCCCAGCATTCACGCTCAGGCTGAGCTGTTCTAGTGAATTGATGCTCATGCTGAGGGGGTTCTCCTGAGAGGCAGAGGCTCAAAAGGACTCCACATGAAGTGACATTGGTTCAGGGGTCTCCACGGTGGCAGGTCTTGGTGTCCCTGCTTTGGGGCCTATGATCCCTGGGGTGACCTGGGTGCAGGTCCCAGCAGCTCCTGACGCTGTGTGGACTCTGGGAGGTGGGAGTGGAGGTGCCCTACTCTCCGATATCACGTGGCAGCCACACCCCTTGCTCCCGTGCTGAGTGGAAGGCAGAGCGTGGTCTCCAGGGGAGCTGGGGAAGGCCATTCCGTGGTCACGCTAACACGTAGAGACTCTGCAGGCTCACAGCCTTAACCCACATCTTGAAATCTAAAAAGTCCCCAACATGGAAATTTTTCCCTAAATTTGATGCTGGAGCATGTTTGATGATTAAACCCACCCTGAGCTGATGGGCAGCCATTGATGTTTTCCTGCTACCCCACAGTGGGGTATGTAGAGGCCTCATGCTGGGTTTGTCCTGTGGAGTTCCTTCAAGTGACTGATGATCTTTCTGAAATCCAAGAGCACATCTGGCCCAGGGGTTTAAGGTGGGAGGGCTGTGGATGGGGTGATCAAAGAGGAAAATGGACCCTGGGGGCCCCCAGGGGTTAGCACCTCAGAGATCCTCCGGGGGTGAGTGAAAGTACAGAGCTGCCCTGAGGTCAAGGCCGCATGTCCTGACCATGGAACACCACATCCAGAGGCTGCCCAGATTCCTTGGTGTGCACCCCCCTCTGCTGGCCCTGGAGAAGGACGCATGGTCCCCTGAGCCACACGAGACTCATCTCTGGACATGCAGTGCTTGGACAGAGAGGGTGGGAGTGGGCATGGAGGGATACCTCTGCAGACACCCCCCCCCCCCACAGGACAGCTCTGCTTCTCAGACCCCTGCTGACAGTGCCCTCCTCTGCACTTCTGTCCTGGTGCTGGCCCTGGCCTCTTCTGTCAGTGGGAATCACTGCTGCATTCTTGCTGGGTGGCAGGTGTGAACCTGCCTCTGTGCCCTGTAGGGTGTGCACTTGTTTGGCATACCTGCTGCTCAGTGGCCAGGCACAGGCTACAGTTTGTGGTGTGGGCCTGTGCCCTGGGGGCACTGTGTCAACTGTCGCAGCCTCCTCCCTGCTCACCACTTGCTGGAGGCACTTGGGGGAGTTTCTCTTTGTCCTCACCCCCACCTGCTCCCTTCAGCCTGTTGGCTGGCCTGACCGTCTCCCCACTTGACTGTGAGGGTGGTGGCATTCCTAGCCAGTCAGTGGGCTGGTGTGGAGTTTGCCAGACACTGAGTCCCCTCTGGCCCCTCACTTCAGGCCTTCAGTGTGGCAGAGTGAGCTGCACACTGGCAGCAGGCTGCCTGGGCCGCGTGCAGGCTGAGCTGAGCACTGGGCCTGGGTCTCTGCACTGTGGCAGTCGCAGCACCATCTTGATAAAGCCTTGCTAAACGAGGATCTGTCTGACAGTACTGGAGAGTAGGTGCTTTATGTATTGACTTGGTTGCAAAATTTAATCTTTTTTGTTGTGAATTTTATGGTGTTAAATGCTTTGTGTTTTAACAAAATGGTCCCTCCTGTCTCCTTTTTTGTGACTGCTAATGCCTGACATCTGAATTCCTATTTCCAGGGTAGACAGTGTCCCCGAGGGAAGCCCGCCCGCCCCCCACGGAGAACAGTCATCATCCACGGACCAGCAAAGTGTCCCTGAGGGAAGCCCTCCAGCCCACGGGGAACATTTGTCACCTATGGACCAGCAAAGTGTCCCCAAGGGAAGCCCTCTAGCCTATGGGGAACAGTTGTCACCTATGGACCAGCAAAGTGTCCCCGAGGGAAGCCCTCTAGCCCATGGGGAACAGTTGTCACCCAGGGACCAGCAAAGTGTCACTGAGGAAAATCCTTCAGCCTATGGGGAACAGTTGTCACCTATGGACCAGCAAAGTGTCCCCGAGGGAAGCCCACCAGCTCATGGGGAACAGTTGTCATCTATGGACCAGCAAAGTGTCCCCGAGGGAAGCCCGCCAGCCCATAGTGAACAGTCACTGCCTGAGAGCCAGCAGAGTACCTCAGAGGAAAGCTCCATGACCCATGGTGAGTCTTCGTTGCTCCAGGACCAGCAAGATGCCCCAGAAGGGAGCCCAGCAGCCCAAGATGACCAGTCACTGGTCACAGACCAGGAGTGTGCTGCCTTGGCAGCAACAGAGGACCCCAGGCAGGGTCCCCTGGAAGAAAGCAGGTCTGAACCAGTGGATACAAAGTCCTGGGCTTTGTGTGAGGGTTCTGAGCCTGCAGGCCCTGCTGAGGACAGGGACAGTGGCCTGAGTCTGGAGGCCCAGCAGGAGCTGCTCGGTGTCCTCAGCCCTAGCCCTTGGACTGATCCTGCCAGACTCCAGGCCCAAACTGCAGGACAGCTGGCAACGGGGGGCCTCCTGATGCACTGCCCTCTCTATAGTAGCGAGTGGGCCCTACGGCAGCTGGCTCCCAGCCCCTCAGGGAGGGCAAGAGTCTCCTTTGGGACGCCCACTCTGGATGAGCCTTGGCTGGGGGCACAGGACAACCGAGAGGGGCTGCTGACTTGCTTGACAGAGGAGAGGCCGCCCAAGCTGAGCTGCACAGGGCCTCTGGGCCTCTCCCGCCATGAGCAGGTCCCAGCAGAGCACCCGCCCTCTGCCCCAATGTCCTTCTGCGATCTTGGAGGCAGAGACCTTCACAGCAGCCACTTGGGCAGCTCCTCGGCCTGCTATGCCTTGGCCACTGACCTTCCTGGTGTCCTAGAGGTGGTGGAGGCCCAGGAGGCCCAGGAGGCCGATGTGAATTCTTATTCCTGGAACCTAAAGGAGCTCTTCCTCAGCGACTTGGCGGAACGAGCTTCACCCAGCTGCTCCTGTGCCACATCTGAACTCAGTGAGACACCTTCTCCTGTGGTGGTGGACTCTGATGAGGATGTGGGCCATCTCCATAGGCAGAGATCAGATATCCTGGGGGACAGGGAACTGTTGCTATTGGCTGGCACCTACTTTGACCCTGGTGATGGCCTGCAGTTCCAGGAAAGCCATCTAGGACACGATCAGACAGAACCCTCTGAGATTTGTTTGGTGTCCTCTGAACATCACAAAGCACATGACATGGAGAGCCCGGACTACATCCTTCCCACACTGGATGTGAGCCCTGAGCATACGTGCCCGTCAGCAGAGGACCCAAGGCTAAGCGCTCAGGTCACTTCCACACCTGTGGCACCCAGGGCTACCAGCCTGCAGCAGCAGATCCAGGAGGGCACCTACTCTGGGAGTTGCTACCACCGAGACGGACTGCGGCTGAGTATGTCTTGGCCTGGGAGGGCCTGCAGCTCAGTGTGCCTGGGAGGGCCTGCGGCTGAGTGTGCCCTGGGAGGGCCTGCAGCTGAGTGTGTCCTGGGTGGGGCCATGGCTGAGTGTGTCCTTGGTGGGGTTTGGGCTAAGTGTGTCTGGGTAGGGCCGGAGCTGAGTGTGCCTTGGGAGGGCCTGCTGCTGAGTTGTCCTGGATGGGGCTGTGGCTGAGTGTGTCCCTGGTATCTGTGGGCTGGGGCTACATGGGTCCCTGGCCTGGGAGTGGCTGGGGGGCCTAAGTGTGTCCTGGGTGGGTCTGGGGCTGAGTGTGTTTCTGGCCTGGGTGGGACTGGGGCTGTATGTCACCCTGACCTAGGGAGGCACTGCTGCCTCAGAGCATCACAGCAGAGCACAGGTGGTCTTCATCTTGGGGTCTATGCAGATCTCATCTTGGAGAAGGTTTGCTAAAGGATAATATGTTGTCGTTTGACATTAGGATTATGGCACATTTGCCTGAGGAGAGGGAGCCTGGGTCCCCTTTGTGGTGCTCCGTGCTCTAGCACCTAGTCTTGATTTCCAGGAGGCTCAGAAGGAGTGGGGGTCTCGTGCTGGGGCCTGTCCTTCCAGCTCCCACTGGTCCCCAGGTCACACTGAGCTGCCAGGCAGAGAGTGCTATGTGCCCAGCAGACATCTGCTCTGCCCTGTGCTCCCTTGCTTCTCTGCAGGGGCCCTGAAGCCCCTTCTTCATGGGCACTACAGCCAGGCTCTGACTTTTCCTAATCTCTGGGTCCCCCTTGTTCTAGCTAGTTGTTTCAACATTGCTGATTTTGTGGTGTTGATTGCTTACTCCATTTTCTAAATTAAAAAAAAAAAAATGTGAGTAACACACGTTATTTGTAGAAATATTAAGAAATAAGGAGGAAATACAATCAGCTCTAACCAGAATTCCACCACCTGAAAGTAGACACCAGGGTTTTAAAAAAAAATTTTTAATTTGTTCTTTTTATACATGATAATAGAGTGCATTTTGACATACCATACACATGCTATATCCTACATGGAGTGTGAGTTCCCATTCTTGTGCTGTACATGATGTGGAGTGCCCCTGGTCGTGTGTTTACACGTGAGCATAGGAAAGTGATGTCTGATTCATTCTATTGTCTTTCCCATTCCCTTTTCTTCCTTCCCTTCATTTCCCTTTGTCTAATCCAGTGAACTTCTATTCTCCCCCCTCCACCTTAGTGTGTGTTAGCATCTGCATATAAGTGAGAACATTCAATATTTGGCCTTTGGTTTTTGGGGTTGGCTTATTTCACTTAGCATGATAGTCTCCAGTTCCATCCATTTACTGGCAAATGCCGTGATTTCATTCTTCTTTATGACTGAGAACATTCTGTTGTGTATATATACCACATTTTCTTTATCCATTCATCTTTTGAAGGATACCTAGCCTAGTTTACCTATCATGAATTGAACTGCTATGACATTGATATGGCGGTGTCACCGTAGTATGCTATTTTAAAGTATTTTCCATATAAACCGAGGAGTGGGATAACTGGGTCCAATAGTGGTTTCACTCGAAGTTTTCTAAGGAATCTCCATACTGCTTTCCAGAGTGGTTGCACCAATTTGCAGTCCCACCAGCAATGTATGAGTGTACCTTTTCCCCACATCCTCGCCAACACTTATCATTGCTTGTATTCTTGATAATTGCCATTCGGACTGGAGTTAGATGGAATCTCAGTGTAGTTTTAATTTGCATTTCTCTAACTGCTAGTGATGTTGAACATTTTTTCACATATTTGTTGACCAGTCTTACTACTTCTTCTGTAAAGTACCTGTTCAATTCCTTTGCTCATTTACTGATTGGGTTTTTTTTTTTTTTTACTTATTTTATTTTTTCATTTTTTAGTTGTAGTTTGATACAATATCTTTATTTATTTTTATGTGGTGCTAAGGATCGAACTCAGGGCCTCGCCCGTGCTAGGCGAGAGCTCTACTGCTTAGCCACAACCCCAGCCCCCTATTTGGTTTTTTCGGTGTTAAGTTTTTTGAGTTCTTTACGTATCCTGGAGATTAGTGCTCTGTCTGAGGTGCAGGTAGTAAAGACTTTTCTCCCACTCTGTAGGCTCTTTCTTCATGTTCTTGATTGTTTCCTTTGCTGTGAAGACGCTTTTTAGTTTGACACCATCCCATTTATTGATTCTTGATTTTACTTGTGCTTTAGGAGTCTGGTGGAGGAATTTGGTTCCTCAGCTGATGATAGGTGATTGAGCCTACCTTTTCATCTAGTAGGTACAGACCCTGCCGTCTGCCTAGGTCCTTGATCCACTTTGATCTGAGTTTTATGCAAGGTGAGAGATGGGGGGTCTAATTTCATTTTGTTACATTTCCAGTTTTCCGAGCACCGTTTGTTGAAGAGGCTTTCTTTTCTCCAATGTATGTGTACGGTGCCTTTGTCTAATTTGAGATAACTGTATTTATTCGGGCTTGTCTCTGTGTTTTCTATTCTGTATCGTTGGTCTTCACGTCTGTTTTGGTGCCAATACCATGCCATTTTTGTTACTATAGCTCTGTAGTATGATTTAAAGTCTGGTGCTGTGATGTCTCCTGCTTCACTTTTCTTGGTAAGAATTGCTTTGGCTATTCTGGCCCTCTTATTTTTACAAATGAATTTTATGATTGTTTTTTGTATATCTGTGAAGAATGACATTGGGATTTTAATAGGAATTGTATAGAGCTTTTGGTAGTATGGTCATTTTGACAATATTAATTCTGCCTATCCAAGAACATGGAAGATCTTTCACCCTTCAGGTCTTCAGTTTCTCTCATTAGAGTTCTGTAGTTTCACTGTAGAGGACTTTCACCTCTTTTTTTTATATTGCTTCCCATCACTGATGTGTGAAAACACGGTGGATCTAAAATACCTTGTTCATATTGATGTCCCTGAGAGGGCCCTGTAAAAGTGCCTGGTGATGCACACGACACCGGAGCTTTGTACCAAAGCCCAGAGTGGGTGTGTGGCTTGGACCTGGTGTGACTGCGTGACCAGTGCCTGTGTTTGCGTCATGGCTTTGATTGAGACTGTCACATTCTTGTCCCCTCTGCCTGGCTGTTCTGAGGTGGGCTGTGTAGTCTCTGGTGCTCTGCAGGGCGTCCCTTGGCTCCCAGCTGCCCCACATGCTGCGGTGGTGGTGTCTCCGGGCCGGGGGCTGCTTGCCCTCACGTGGACTGCTGTGTGTGGTCCGCGTGCTGTTCGGGGAGCAGCGTCAGCAAGGTCCCTCCTCCTCACCTCTGTGCTTCAGGTATCCAGTTTGAAGTGAAACGCGTGGAGCTCCAGGGCTCTGCAACCCTGTTCTGCTGCTGGCTGGTGAAGAACCTCTTGCAGAGCCACCGCAACTCAGCCACCAGGACCCGCCTGCTCATCGCCAGCCTGCCCAGCTCCACCCACTCCATGAGCGAGCTCCCTGGACCCAGCCTCGGGGAGGTTGGTGTCTGCAGCTGGCGTGGGCCTCCTGTTGGCCTGGACTGGCTGGCCTTCCAGTTGGCCTTGCTGTTTGGCTTTGTTTCCCGGGGGTGGGAGTGGGGTCTCGTGGTCTTCTGTCTTCTCATACCCTGTGTGCAGAGCAGATGCAGGCCTTTGAGTCTGCACATGCTTTGTGTCCAGGGTTGGGGGTGCCAGTTTGGATCAGGGTGTCCAGGCTGCCTAGAAAGGCTCCCTGTGGGCACGGGAGGAGGGGCTGTGCTGCTGGGGATGGTGGGCCTAGGGGGGGGCCACCTGGCTTTGTGGTGGCAGGTCTTCCTCAGACCTTCCTTTGCCTTTGCAGATGCTCAGAGCCAAGCCCTGGTTTGAGGAGAGCCCCACACCCGTGGAGCTGGCAGAGCTGGCCGCCTGTGAGGGGGAGTACTCCCACAAGTACAGCACCCTCAGCCCGATTGGAAGTGGGGCCTTTGGGTCTGTCTGGACCGCAGTGGATAAGGCGCAAAACAAGGAGGTGCTCTGGCTCTCAGGGGGGGCCTGGCTCTGCTCTTGCTCTCCCTCTGTGGGTTCAGTGGGAGAGAGGGGTCTTAAGGAGAGCACTCCCTGCAGGGCTCACCTTGCTGCTGGGGTGGCAGTCCTGCTGCACGTGGTCCAGAAGGCTGCAGCCACTCCTGGGGTTGGCATGCTAAGGCCCCCAGCTCTCTTGGCATGGGGGATACTCTCCCGCCCACATGCCTACTTTTAAACCAAACTTGTACCTCCTCCTCTCACCTGGAAAGAAATCCTCCCAGCATTATCGAGCAGGCCAGAAGGTATACTTGAAACTAAGTACAGAGCACAGTCCCTGGCACAGCCATCCTAATCAAGGGGCACAACTTGTCCGCAACACACAAGCCTGTGTCCTGGCCACAGACCCTGGGGCTTAGCCCTGCCTGCCTGGATGCTGTGTGGACTGAGTGCAGCACCTGTGCTCTTGGGGTGCTGAGCTGTGTGGACTGAGTGCAGCACCTGTGCTCTTGGGGTGCTGAGCTGTGAGGGACTGAGCGCAGTACCTGGGCTCTTGGGGTGCTGAGCGCTTTTTCATGTGCTTATTTGCCATCTGCTTATTTTCTTTGCTGAAGTGTCTTTGTCTCCTGTGAACTTTTAAAAAATTGCTTAATCTTGGAGCTACTTCCCCAGCACTTTTTATTTTTTATTTGAGACCGGGCCTTCTTCAGTTGCCCAGGCTGGCCACATACTTGCAGTCCTCCTGTCTCAGCCTCCTGAGCTCTGGGACCCCTGGCCCCATGCCGGCTCCGGGTGAGCTGGTTGCATTCCTTCATCAGAGGCCTGCTGTGCAGATGTGTTCTCCAGTCAGACGCCCGTCTTCTCGTCCGCGACAGTGCCTTTCAGGGACAGAGGTTTGGATTTTGGTGAAGTCCAATTTTATCAGTTTCTTCCCATGGATCATGTGCTCCCTGTCCTATGTGATCCAAGGTCACAAAGATTTCATGTTTCTCTCTTCAGGTTCTGGGTTTGAAGCTTTGCTTGAGGCCTGTGATGTAGTTGGAGTGATTTTGCACGTGGCACAAAACACACTTGAGGGTCATCTTTGCATGGGCATGTGCACCAGTTGGCACAGTTGTTAAAAGGTGTCCTTTCTTTGTCTGGGAGCATTGTCAGACATCACTGGACCACTCCACCAACCTTGGGTGTGGACTGCGAATTCCGTCAACTTTGTGTCCTGACTTAAGTGTCCCTGGTCTGCCGTGTCACTGCTGTCCTGAAACACTGCCGTATTCCCTCTCTCAGTGCTCTTTGGTGGTGAGGCGTGTGGCCTGAGTGTGGCGGAAACGCTTCTTCTGCCTCTGGGGTCAGTGAAGTGGCCTTGTAAAGACAGACCTGGAAGTAGCCCCTTCCTCTGTCCCCTGCAGGAGTCTGTGCACAATTGTGTACAATGTGATTTCCTCTTTAAACATTTTGTAGGATTGAACAGTAGAATGGTCTGGGAGTGGGTTGCTCTTTAAATGCAAGTTTTAAACTACGAATCAAGATTCTGAAATAGAAGGTGACTTCTGTTTCTGGCTTCTTGAGTGAGCTTTGATGGTTTGGGTCTTTCAGGAGCTTTGTTTCATCCACATTATCCAATGTATCAGCATAAAGTTGTCTGTGATGCTTCAGAATCTTTCAGTGTCTTTGGCGTCTGTGATTTTATCATCTCTCTCATACTTGATATTGTGTCTTATTGTTTTTTGATCTGTCTGGTTAGAGGCTTAATGTTATGGCTTCATTAATTGTCCTTATTGATCTGTTTTTAGTTTTGTGGTTTCAATTCTTTATTATCATTATTATTATTTTATTTTGGATTTAATTTGCTTTGCTTTGCTTCTTCTTCTTTTTTCTTTTTCTTTTTCTTGTTACCAGAGATGGAGCCCAGGGGCACTTTACCACTGATCCACGTGCATACCCCTTTTTATTTTTTGTGTTGAGATAGGGTCTCACTGAGGTACCCATGCTGGTCGATAGCTGTGGCCCTCCAGCGCAGCCTCACTGGTGGCAGGGATCACAGATGTGCCCACCACGCCTGGCTCCTACTTTTCTGAGGTGCCTTCTTACATGGCTTAGTTGAGCTTTTCTCTTCTCTAGTGTAAATATCAGTGCTCGGAATTCCTCTCCAGCTTGGCTTCATCTATGGCCCACGTTGCCATATTCTGTGTTTTGTTTTTATTCACTTATAAATGTTTTGGTTATGTGGAAACGTGTTGTTTAATTTCCAGGTAGTGGGAGCTGTTCAGGTCTCTTTCAGTTTTCAACTTCTAGCTTAGTGTACCCACAGTCAGAACACGCTTTGTGTTATGTTCCGGCACGTGGCCTGACTTTGTGAAGGTCCTGTGTGCTCTGCTCTGTCCGTCCAGTTTGTGGACTTGCTGGCTGGCCTCAGAGTCAGTGTTGAAATGTGTCTAAGGATGGATTGTCCTTTATTTTCTCTTCTCCCTGGGCTTGTTATTTTGACACAGAACTTCAAGGAGGATGAGGCTGCATGGGTGGTCTGGGCAGCACCACCCCAAGGTCTCCACGGCTTCTTTTCTCAGGCACTGCTTCCTGGGCCCCCTTCACTCCAGTCCATGCATGAGACAGGACAGGCAGGGATTCCCCCACATGTGCTCAGCTGATGACAGCCTGCTTCTTCCCGCTGCGGGGCTTGTGTTTGCTTGCGGGAGGAGAACACTGCCGCTCTGCTGTTGCCAGGGGCAGGTAGTGGACATCATGTGGAATGGGACACAGAGGACTGTCCATTATGTCCTCACTGTTTCCACAGGTGGTGGTGAAGTTCATTAAGAAGGAGAAGATTTTGGAAGACTGTTGGGTGGAGGACCCCAAACTTGGAAAAGTCACTCTGGAGATCGCGATTCTCTCCAGAGTGGAGCATGCCAACATCATCAAGGTGAAGGACGGAGCCCTGACGTCGCTCCTGTAGGACATCCTTCATCTGGTGGTTGACGTCAGCAGAGCTTCCCTTGGCCTTGCCTTTCCCAGGTGCTGGACGTGTTTGAAAACCAGGGCTTCTTCCAGCTGGTAATGGAGAAGCATGGCTCTGGCCTGGACCTCTTTGCTTTCATTGACCGTCACCCTAGCCTGGATGAGCCCCTGGCAAGCTACATCTTCCGGCAGGTGAGAGGGTCCAGGGCTGTGTGGGTTGGATGGGCACCATTGATGGACATGGGTGGCCAGGGACTCTGACTGGACTCACTTCTTTCTGAGCTGGACCTGGTCTTCAGCCTTGGGATTTTGTGGAGTAAGATACCTACTTTGAGAAGAGAATCCTGTGGTTGAGACAGAGAAACTAAGAGAAGAGGCCAGAGAGTGACGTGGCGTGAGCAGAGAGAGGTGCTAAGTGACTGCGCTTCCTTTGTATGTGTAGAGTGTCCTCAGAGGTCACAGACGTGAACCACTCAGACCCTCACGGAGGCTGAGCCTGTGAGTTAGCTCTCAAGTCCTGTCTCTGCAGACCAGGAGACCACAGGAAAATCAGTACTGCAGTCTTCTGGTAGACATTCAGGGAGTGACTGTGGACCTGCAGGTCACGGCTGTGAGTCCTAGATGTCCCAGGAGCACAGGTAGAGCCACCGTGTCACCTACAGGACAGGGCTGTGAGTCCTAGATGTCCCAGGAGCACAGGTGGAGTCACCGTGTCACCTGCAGGACAGGGCTGTGAGTCCTAGATGTCCTAGGAGCACAGGTGGAGTCACCGTGTCACCTACAGGACAGGGCTGTTAGTCCTAGATGTCCCAGGAGCACAGGTGGAGTCACCGTGTCACCAACAGGACAGGGCTGTTAGTGCTAGATGTCCCAGGAGCACAGGTGGAGTCACCGTGTCACCTACAGGACAGGGCTGTGAGTCCTAGATGTCCTAGGAGCACAGGTGGAGTCACCGTGTCACCTACAGGACAGGGCTGTTAGTCCTAGATGTCCCAGGAGCACTGGTGGAGTCACCGTGTCACCTACAGGACAGGGCTGTTAGTCCTAGATGTCCCAGGAGCACAGGTGGAGTCACCGTGTCACCTACAGGACAGGGCTGTTAGTCCTAGATGTCCCAGGAGCACAGGTGGAGTCACCGTGTCACCTACAGGACAGGGCTGTTAGTGCTAGATGTCCTAGGAGCACAGGTGGAGTCACCGTGTCACCTACAGGACAGGGCTGTGAGTCCTAGATGTCCCAGGAGCACAGGTGGAGTCACCGTGTCACCTACAGGACAGGGCTGTTAGTCCTAGATGTCCCAGGAGCACAGGTGGAGTCACCGTGTCACCTACAGGACAGGGCTGCTAATTCTAGCATGTCCCTGGGGCACAGGTGGAGTCACCATGTCACCTACAGGACAGGACTGTGAGTCCTAGATGTCCCAGGAGCACAGGTGGAGTCACCATGTCAACTACAGGACAGGGCTGTTAGTCCTAGATGTCCCAGGAGCACAGGTGGAGTCACCGTGTCACCTACAGGACAGGGCTGTTAGTCCTAGATGTCCCAGGAGCACAGGTGGAGTCACCGTGTCACCTACAGGACAGGGCTGTTAGTCCTAGATGTCCCAGGAGCACAGGTGGAGTCACCGTGTCACCTACAGGACAGGGCTGTTAGTCTTGGATGTCCCAGGAGCACAGGTGGAGTCACCGTGTCACCAACAGGACAGGGCTGTTAGTCCTGGATGTCCCAGGAGCACAGGTGGAGTCACCGTGTCACCTACAGGACAGGGCTGTTAGTCCTAGATGTCCCAGGAGCACAGGTGGAGTCACCGTGTCACCTACAGGACAGGGCTGTTAGTCCTAGATGTCCCAGGAGCACAGGTGGAGTCACCGTGTCACCAACAGGACAGGGCTGTTAGTCCTAGATGTCCCAGGAGCACAGGTGGAGTTACCGTGTCACCTACAGGACAGGGCTGTTAGTGCTAGATGTCCCAGGAGCACTGGTGGAGTCACCGTGTCACCTACAGGACAGGGCTGTTAGTCCTACATGTCCTCGGAGCACAGGTGGAGTCACCGTGTCACCTACAGGACAGGGCTATTAGTCCTAGATGTCCCAGGAGCACAGGTGGAGTCACCATGTTACCTACAGGACAGGGCTGTTAGTCCTAGATGTCCCTGGGGCACAGGTGGAGTCACCGTGTCACCTACAGGACAGGGCTGTTAGTCCTAGATGTCCTAGGAGCACAGGTGGAGTCACCGTGTCACCTACAGGACAGGCTGTGAGTCCTAGATGTCCCAGGAGCACAGGTGGAGTCACCGTGTCACCTACAGGACAGGGCTGTTAGTCCTAGATGTCCCAGGAGCACAAGGGGAGTCACCGTGTCACCTACAGGACAGGGCTGTGAGTCCTAGATGTCCCAGGAGCACAGGTGGAGTCACCGTGTCACCTACAGGACAGGCTGTGAGTCCTAGATGTCCCAGGAGCACAGGTGGAGTCACCGTGTCACCTACAGGACAGGGCTGTTAGTGCTAGATGTCCCAGGAGCACAAGGGGAGTCACCGTGTCACCTACAGGACAGGCTGTTAGTCCTAGATGTCCCAGGAGCACAAGGGGAGTCACCGTGTCACCTACAGGACAGGCTGTTAGTCCTAGATGTCCCAGGAGCACAGGTGGAGTCACCGTGTCACCTACAGGACAGGGCTGTGAGTCCTAGATGTCCCAGGAGCACAGGTGGAGTCACCGTGTCACCTACAGGACAGGGCTGTGAGTCCTAGATGTCCCAGGAGCATAGGTGGAGTCACCGTGTCACCTACCGTGTCACCTACAGGACAGGGCTATTAGTCCTAGATGTCCCAGGAGCACAGGTGGAGTCACCGTGTCACCTACAGGACAGGGCTGTGAGTCCTAGATGTCCCAGGAGCACAGGTGGAGTCACCGTGTCACCTACAGGACAGGGCTGTGAGTCCTAGATGTCCCAGGAGCACAGGTGGAGTCACCGTGTCACCTACAGGACAGGGCTGTGAGTCCTAGATGTCCCAGGAGCACAGGTGGAGTCACCGTGTCACCTACAGGACAGGGTTGTGAGTCCTAGATGTCCCTGGGGCACAGGTGGAGTCACCGTGTCACCTACAGGACAGGGCTGTTAGTCCTAGATGTCCTAGGAGCACAGGTGGAGTCACCGTGTCACCTACAGGACAGGCTGTGAGTCCTAGCGTGTCCTGGGGGTGTACGCCCATGGCGTTAGTTCCTGGTTCCCTGGTGAGTACAGGTGAGATCCTGGTGTGTTACTTTCACTCAGTGCCTTCCTCTGTTTTGTACTGAAGTGTGCATTTGTCCCTGTCCATTTGTCATTTTAGTGGCTAGGGAGTGATCAGCAGAGGGGTGGGAGGGGCAGGACTCTGCCTTGGGAGGTAGAAGGTGTTGTTCCCTGGCTGCCCCCAGCTCCTGGGAGGGTGGCCACCAGGCCTGTGTTGATCTGTTTCCTGGGAGGGCCTGGAAGTTCCTTGGTGTCTGTGGGACTCTCCTGGACACCTGCCTGAGGGCTTCGGCTGCCTGGCTTTCCCTTCCCATGCTGGACCCTCTTGGTCCCCTCAGCTAGTGCCACGAATGTGTCCGAGGACTTTGTGGTCCCTAGAGCCCCTATGTGAGGTTTCCTTGTAGTGAGCTCTTAACAGTGTTGCCTTGTAGTTGATTTTGTGGCTGATGACACAAGTAACTATAGCAGTTCATATTTTAACATTTTTGTAAAAGTTTCTGGGTGTAAACTTACATGTGTTAACATAGTTGAATATAGATCCTTAGTTTGGAGTAAACACATTATCATATACAATACTGCCAGTTATCAGCACCTTGCTGCAGCTCCCCGTCTGCCAGGCCTGGGGTGCAATGGGAGCCGAAGCCTGTGAACTGTTGTGGAGTCCTGCGAGCAGCCCTTATGTGCAAGGCATGGGAGAGCGGCAGGAGGTTGGCTTCTCCTCCCCGCTCAGCACTAGTTAATAAGTCTTAGTGAGACTTTCCATGTTGTAATGAAAACGTGGCTTCTGTCATTGACTGGGCCTGACGGGAATATGCTGTGTGTGCATGTATGCATGTCTGTTTGGTTTATGTCTACATATGAATGCACATGCACTTGTTTATGTGCAAGTGTGAACACGTGTGCATGTATGTGCATGTGAATGTGTGTAGGTGTGTAGGTATGTACTACTTATGTGTGTGTGTGTGTGTGTGTGTGTATATATATATATATATATATATATATATATATATACATACATACATATATTTGTTTATTAAGTGTAAGTTACTTAGTGGGCTTAGTGGTCCTGCCATTAGTTTGCTTCTGATTGATTTTGAAATGATTGACTGCACTCTGGGATTGTTGAGTTGATGGGTCCAGCTACCCACACCATGATGCAGTCAGACCCGCTGTGTGTCTTTCTGGAATCCATGGAGAGGCAGGAGAGGTGGGGCCTCTGCCATCGGAGATGCAGAGGGGGCCAGGCAGGTGGGTCCATGATTTTTGGAGAGGAGCTTGTTTCCAGTGGAGCCCCTCGTTCCAGATGGTCAGAGTCCTGCTCCGTGGGGAATCCTTGTGGGTGTGCCTTGCTGTTCTTTGAAGATCTCCCAGAGCCCTGGGCAGGAGCATCTGTACCTTCTCAATCACCCCCTGCCGACTGGACCCTGGGCAAGTGGCTCTCCTGCCCCATGAGCTGCTCGTGGGCACTTCCTGTTGGACACCAGTCTATACGGTTGTTTGCTCTCCGTGTGTTCTTGAGGTCTGTTCCTGCCAAGCTGGTTTCTGTGCCTCCCACGAGGACCAGATCGGGTCTCCAGCCCCCAGCATGATGCACTGGCAAACGAGTTTTGTTGGTGGTATTTTTCTTGTTTATATATATAAACTATTTTTTTTTTTTTTAGTTGTTGATGGACCTTTATTGTATTTGTATGTGGTGCTGAGAATCGAACCCAGTGCCTCACACGTGCTAGGCAAGCGTGCTACCACTGAGCCACAACTCCAGCCCCTCTTGTAAGCATTTATTTTGACAATAAATGCCTCTGCCTAATTCCAGCTGGTGTCAGCAGTGGGTTACCTGCGCTCAAAGGGCATCGTGCATCGGGATATCAAGGATGAGAACATTGTGATCGCGGAGGACTTCACTATCAAGTTGATCGACTTTGGATCGGCTGCCTACTTGGAAAGGGGCAAATTGTTTTACACCTTCTGTGGAACGATCGAGTACTGTGCTCCTGAGGTTCTCATGGGGAATCCGTACGTAGCTCGTGTGTGCCTGTCACTGTGCCTGCCCTTTCCACTGGGCCTCAGGATTAGTTTGATTTTAGGGGAAATGGCTTTGGTCAGTGCCTCTTTGTGACAAGGGTGCTGAGTGATAAAGGGTTATGTTTCAGAGAATAAGTGGGCAAACATGCAGAGTGGTCAGAGGGTGCAGGGCAGTGGACATGGGTTCATTCTACTATGTTTTGTGTCTCAATTTTTGTTTTTCTTGAGTTTGATATAAATTAGGAAAATATAGAAAGTAAAGATGAGGGTCCCCCAAAATGGGACTTGCTGGGAGCAGTGGCACACACCTGTATCCCCAGCAACTTGGGAGGCTGAGGCAGGGGAATCACAAGTTTGAGGCCAGCCTCAGCAACGTAATGAGACCCTATTTCAGAATAAAATTTAATAAAGGGCTGGGGGTATGACTCAGTAGTAGAGCACCCTGGGTTCAATCCCCAGTACCAAAAACAACAAAAAAATACGCAAAACCCTGCAAAAATAAAAGATGGGACTTTACTATGTAAAGTGAAGACACTTCTTTTTTTTTTTTAATTTTTATTTGCAGATGGACCAATGTCTATATTTTATTTATTTATTTTTATGTGGTGCTGAGGATCGAACCCAGTGCCTCATTCAGGCGAGGCAAGAGCTCTACCACCGAGCTACAACCCTAGCCCGAAAAACTCTTCTTTAGCTAGGTTTATTTGGTGACAGGAATAATAACCTACTTCAATAAAGTCTTGTCAGGCTGGCCATATTAGAAATCAAGCAATAGCCAGAGTAGAAGCTCTAGGAGTTGTGGGGAGGATGGACGGTGGGGGCTTAGTCCCTGAGAGGCCCTTCATTGGTACTGCTTGGCCACAGTCAGCCCCAGGGTACTGCCCCTGCTGGGGAGGAAGTGGACCCTGGGGGAAGATGAGTTTGCTTCTCCTCAGGTGGGGGAACCTGTGGACGGCAGGGGATGGCCCTCGCAGCGTCTCCTCCTAGTGCTAGGAGTCCCCAGAGGAGTCGGCTGACAGTGGTTTCTGCTATGTACACATCCTCACCGTCTCTTGCATGCACAAATTGGGTGTCTCCACATACGAAGTATTTTATTAAGTCAGGTTCAGACACGTTGGTATTAAGAGAAATGCAGCTAACATGCACCTCTGGAGGGGAGTGGGTGATTGGGCATGACCCGCCTGTATGGTCCTGTCAGCAGTGTGCAGGGTTACCCTGCTGGGCTGGCTGGAGCTGGACTTGGCCCTTGGCCTGGATCCAGAGTGTCTGGTTGTGGTCACCACTGTGCCACACACTCCGAAGGCTCACATGGGAGGTGAGGGCCCAGAGCACAGTCTCCCAGGTCCCTCACCCTGAGCTGGGAGGTGAGGGCCCAGAGCACAGTCTCCCAGGTCCCTTCACCCTGAGCTGGGAAGTGCAGGTTCCAGGCTGCTCATGGCAGTCCCAGAGCATGGCAGCCCTCAGCCTGCTCCAGCCTTTTCCTGGGCCTGTCTGGCCCCTGTGTGCAGTGACTGGACTTTTTGCCTGCGTGGAGTGTGGGGTTCTGTTGGAACCTCCATAAGTGACGTTTCGGATTGATTTGGTTACCCTGGCATCCGTGAATGCTGGGGCGGTCACCCTACTCCAGTGTGGGAGGGAAACTAAATGTCTACTGTGGCCCAGGACAGGGCTGCCTAGGAGGTCCTGCCCCTACGTCCAGCTGTGCAGCTTCCATGAGGGGTGTGGGTTCCAACCTGGGCTGTGGCTCTGAGCTGCTCAGTGACCTCCTCTCAGACTGACCAGCTACAACCTAGAGGAGCCCCAATCCTGCTCTCACCTCTCCCAGAGCCCTTGTCTTGCCTTTTCTTCTCATGCCGTGCCTCCTATTACCTATGCAGGGGGACAGTCCTGCTCCTGGCCTCTGGGTCAGCCCTGGCTGTGTCCTGTTGCCCGTCCTCTCCACTGTCCTGAAAAGGCTGTCTGAGCTGCGATTTCCACCTTCACTAGCAGTGGTCTTCCTTCCTGGGCCGTATCCAGTCTGATTCTTGTTTTTTTTTTTTTTTTTTTTTTTGTGGTGTTGGGGATTGAACCCAGGGTCTTGTGCATGTGAGGCAAGCACTCTACCAACTGAGCTATGTCCCAGCCCCCAGTCTGATTTTTATATATATTTTTTTATTATGGTAACATACATAACGTAAAATTTGCCATCTTAAGCCTGAGCTTAGGGGCAGTAAGCACATTCATGCTGTCTTGCAACCACAGCCACCACCTACCCAAAGAACTTTTTTTTTTTTAATATTTATTTTTTACTTATAGGTGGACACATATCTTTATTTTATTTTTTTATATGGCGCTAAGGATCGAACCCAGGGTCTTGCACGTGCTAGACGAGTGCTCCACCTCTGAGCCACAATCCCAGTCCCCCAAAGAACTCTTTATCTTCCTGAACACTAACACCCACGACCCTCTGCAGCCTCTGCCTCTGGTGTCCTACCTCTGTCTCTACAGACCTGCTTCCTTTAGGGACTGGACCTCCCAGGAGTGGGATTCTGCGGTGCTTGCCTTCCTACTGCTGGCTTGTCTGGCTCAGAATCAGGTCCTCAAGGTTCCTCACGTGGCCGCTGGGGCACGGTCTCCCTTTTGTGGGCTGGTACCAGCTGCTGGTGGGTGCTTGCTGCTGCCGCCACCTGGATACTGTGAACCTGTGGTTGTGTGCGAGTAGCTCCTACCCTTGGCTTTGCAAATAAAAGTCTTATTAGAACATGGCCATGTGCACATGCGCCTTCTCATCCTCTGTGGCTGCTCTGTGCCATCACAGCAGAGCTGAGTAGCTGGCACAAGGCCACACGCCTGCGAGCCTAGAACATGTATCATTTGGCCAGTCCCAGCCCCACTCTTTCCAACATTCTTGAAATCTCTGCCATGAGATGACATAAAGGCAAAGCCGTTTACTTGACTACCTGCTCTAGCTTCCTGCAGCCGCCCCTTCACTCGCTCTGTGGTGGCCTCTGCTGCCCTTGCCTGGGTTTCTGCCTCTTATGGCCCAGGCTCCTGTGGTCCCTGGACAGCAGAGGCCCTGTCCTGGGCCCCTCTCATGCTGTGGCTGCTCAGGGCTCCGTGTCTGATGGTGGCTCTCGTGGGCACTGTTACTTCCCAGCTGGTGCCTGCTTCAGACTGCTCTGAGCTCCACAGACTGACACTCAGGGCCTTGGGCAGCGTGGGACAGCACAGGGCAGTGTAGGGCCATGGGCCTGCTTGGCAGCTGCTCCACCTTGCCAAGCCCCGTGTGCTCTGGTGTAGAATGAGGACGACATTCCTCTTGCTAGGCTGCTGGGAGGGTTAGGGTTCAACCACCTGACGGCCTGGTGTAGCTGGCAGCATGCGTGAGGTTGTGTGATAACAGGAAATAACAGTGCCCCCCCCTCCCCAGTCTTCTTCTTCCATCTGGACCAGTTCCTGGCCCCACCCTGTCCTACTGTCCTCTGCCTGCTCTGTCCACTTGTCCTGTGTTCTCACTGCTCTGAGCCTGACCTCGTTGTCATGTGGTCTTTCTACAAAGCACACCACTCTGTGCTGATGACCCCTCACGAGGCCGCTCCTGACCTCCCTACCTTCTCCAGGAAGCCCTCCCCCCGGCCTGCGGTCCCCTGAAGGCCTTCCCATGCAGGGAAACCTAGCTGGTGGCAGAGGGCCCAGTGCTCACTGTGGGTGGGCTGGGCAAGCCTGTGCTACTCCATGAAGCCCTGAGATGCTCTCTCCTCCTCACAGCTACAGAGGTCCGGAGCTGGAGATGTGGTCTCTGGGGGTCACACTGTACACACTGGTCTTCGAGGAGAACCCCTTCTGTGAAGTGGAGGAGACCATGGAGGCAGCTATACACCCCCCACGCCCTGTTTCCCAGGGTGAGCAGGATTCCCAGAGATGTCGTGTCCTGAGCTACTGTCAGCTCCTGTTTCTGTTTCCTCTCATACCAGTGATCTTATTTACCTTCCTTTTCTATTTCCTGTGCTTTGATCTGAACATAAGAATGATTTGAGTCGGGCATGGTGGCACACCAGGGCTGAGGCAGGAGGAGAGCCCAAGTTGCCCCAGACTGGGGCAACTTAGTGAGACCCCGTAAAACAGAGCACTGGCCTAGCATGCACAGACCCTAGGTTCAACCCCTAGTAATGCGTGCGTGTGCACACACAGGTAGATGAGTGATTTCAAGAAGACTTAAAAAACTCTGGATGATTTAGTTCTTATTATTGTCTCTTGGGTGTTAGAGGCCCTTTGTCAGTGATAGACTTCACAGTTGTACCCTTTCTGAGCAGCACCGGGAAGATCAGGCATGTAGGTCAGAGGAAGGACTAGACCCCGACCACTCACCTTGGAGCCTCCCCTTCCAGAGCAGGGTGATGGTTGAGGGCTCAGCTCCCCTCAGGCTGCATGCTGTTTGCCTCTGGAGTGAGGACCAGGTGGTGAGGCAGATGTGGGATCAGTGGCCAGAAAGGCTTCCCAGCCTGGAGTGGGCTGCTCAGTGCTTCCACACCAGGAGGGGCCCCAGGGACTGGCAGGAACAGTCAGGTGTTAGCCAGGTGACTGGACACCAGGGTTCCCAATTCCCATGTTAAAATCTATAAGACAGCAGCATCCTCGTGCTCAACATCTGTGCCTGGATTCTTTTCTTGTTAGAAACTGTTGTCTGGGTCAGCTCAGGCGGGGTGACTGCACTGCAGATGGGCCCTCAAACAGCAGACATTGATTCCTCACAGTCTGGGAGCTGGAAATCTGAGGACGAGGTGCCCTGGGTTCTGTTCTTGGTCAGGGCTCTTTTTCTGGCCCGTAGGTGTCCTCTGTGGATTGGAAGCCTAGTCCTTTCCCTCTCTTATAGGGATGCTCACCCTGTACCTCAGGGCCTCAACTAACCCTGATGGCCTCTGGTGGTCCCAGCTCCCTGATGTCACAGCGGGGTTACTGCTTCAACATGCACAGTTTGGGGGACACAACCCAGCTAGGGCACCCTAGCAGAGCAGTTTTAGAGCTGTGCTAAGGCCACAGCTCTGTAGCATGCTGCTCCATTCACAGAGGTTGCCCCAGGGGCTCTCACAGGTTCACAAGGTGTCCCTGACACCCACATTGTTGGAGGAAATGGAACCCAGATCTAGAGCCAAAGCTTCAGCTTCTCTCAGAGTCCATGCTCTTCCCATGGGGCCAGTTGGGGGCACCTTGCCAGCTGCCTCTCTCCAGCCTCTGTGTCCACCCCGAGTACTCACAGCTCTGCAGAGCGGCGCTCCTGACAGCAGGCCATCTGGGGCGCCAGGCCTCTGAGTCTGAGTGAGTTGGGTCTCAAGCTCCAGGCTTCCATTTTAGGGGTGTCTATCTCCCCAGGAGGCCTTCCCTGGGCATTCCAGGCCCAGCCTGAGCCCCAGCCTCCTCTTCCTCCTGCCTCGAAGAGACTCTGTGGGGGTCTGAGATGTACTCTGCTAGCCCCAGCCTGGATCCACCTGTGTTTCTTCATCTCCAGCACTCATGAGCCTTGTGTCTGGGCTGTTGCAGCCTGCCCCTGAGCAGCGCACCACTCTGGAGAAGCTGGTGATGGATCCGTGGGTAACACAGCCTGTGAATCTGGCTGCTTACACCTGGGAAGAGGTGTGTCGAATAAGCCAGCCAGGTGAGAGCTTGCTTGGTGTGGGGAGGTGCCCAGGCTATCTGGCCAGGGGAGGCCCCCTCCTCCTTGCTGTCCTGGATACATGTCAGGCCTCGCAGCTGCCTGTCAGAGAGGGATGGATTCTGTGCCAGAGGCCACTGGATGTCACCAGGGTTCAGGGAATGGCTGTGGCCTTGAGGGAGGGCAAGTGCCCAGGAGAGCCCTTGGCAGGAGCAGTGGGGGCCAGGGCCTGAGGAGTGCAGCTGGTGTTGGCTACAGATGTGTGACACCCTGGGGATCATGGGGACAAGTCTCTGGTACAAGCCAGAACCACGGCTCAGAGCAGGTGGACCAAGTTGGCACCAGTGGCCCTGGGCTTAGAATCCCCCAGCACCTTGTCATGTCCAGAACACTGACTGTGGTTTTTCCAAAGTCTCCCTCCCCCTCCTTGTTCCTCGGACTTGTAGTGAGAAAGCGTTTTAGAATCTTCTGTTGTCAGGCATGGTGACGCACACCAGTGACTTGGGAGGCTGAGGCACAAGGAGCGTAAGTTCAAAGCCAGCCTCAGCAACTTAGCAGGACTCTGTCTTCACATAAAATATTCAAAAAAAGAGCTGGGGATTTGGCTCTGTGTTTAAGTTCCCCTGGGTTCAATCCCTAGTACCCCCACTTCCCCCACGCCCCCAAAATAAAATCTCCAATTGTTAGCATGGGACACAAAGTCTTTTTCCTCCCATCAGAGAGCAGCCTCCTGTCCACTGCAAGTTTGGAGCTGGGCAACAGGAGCCTGAGCGACGTGCCTCGGGCTCGGGGGCTCTGCAGGCTTCCTGCCTCTAGCGAGTCCCCCAGTGGCCAGTGCTGCTTGTGTCCTGAGGACCCCTCCCTACCAGTGGGCTGAACACACACACTTCCTGCTGCTCTTCTTCACTCAGGTTGGAGAATCATAGATTTCAGGTCCTGTCTACTTAAAAGAAAGTAAATTCTCAAGAATGGAGCCCAATTTACCTTCTAAAAGCCCACATACAACTGGACAAGTGCCACAATGGGAGCAGGTGTGACTGTTTTCTTAGGTTTATAAAGTAAACTTGGAGTCCGTGTTTTTTTGTGACCCTGAGAAAGCATTGTAATGTACAATTACTTTATTAAAGTTCTTTTATTTGTGAGCTTATAGAGGGAAGAGTGTTTTAATTATCTATTTTTTTTATGTGTGTATGTATATATATACAAACTTTGTTCCCTGTGACTTGGTATGTGCTCAGCGGGAGAATTGATGTGTGCAATCTATACAACTGGTTAGCAAATAACCAGACTAGTTCATTAATTTATTTCCTTGAATACTTTCAAATTAAAGCCATTTTGTTAATAAATGATCCCCCTAATGGGAACTCTATGAGCTGTCCACCAGGCCTGGTGTGAGGACTTGCCTTGTTCTTCTGTTTATGCACAGCTTGCTGCAGCTGGAGAGAAGTCTAGTCTCTGTCAGTCTGGGAGACAGTCTCACAGGGTGCTGGACACTGCCCTGGGCTCTGAAGCTTTTCCCCCTCAGATGCCTGGGGAGTTGCCACATCCTCAGACACTTCCCTTCTCTAAGCACAGCTCAGCAGGGCCAGGTCTGCCAGGTGTCTGAGCTCTCAAGGAGACTGCTGAGGACCCAGGGTGGCCTGCTAACACTCTGCAGATGCCCTACAGCAGACCCAGCCCCATCTCTGTGTTTGCATGAGGGTCTCCAGGCCCAGCTACCAGGAGTTAGTGACCTTTTTTGCTTCAGAATTAAAATGAGATTTCTGATGATCTGAATACTGGTTTCATGAATTAAACGTCTTCCCTTGTGTTCATGATGGTCACACAGCACAAGATATCACAGAATGCATTGTTTTAATAAGAAAAAGCCGTGAACACATCTGGCTGGCTGGCAGTAGGTGGTCTGAGGCTTTGCAGATGTTCTCTGCAGAAAGAATCTGGAGAGAGAAGTTCTGAGGCTGCAGATGACAGTTGTTCCTCTGCATGTTTCAAGTATGGTTCAAGAAAGCAAAGTTTCACAAAACGCTGAAGATGCTGCCCATTTTTCATGGTAACCCCTGCAGCCAGACATCACTCTATCTAGAGTGCTGATGTGCTCAGGTTCCTTGATTCCTCCCTGGGGGTTGGGGGACACTCATAGGATTTCCTTTGGCTTTGGATGTAAAAGCACTAACAATTTATTTTGTGGTGTTAACAGTTGAGCATTTAAAGAAAACTAGATTTTTTTTTTTTAAAGCAACCAATTCTTTAGTTTTACACAATCTTCCTCTTCTGTCAAAAGACACATTTAAATAAATAGCACCAGCTCAGTGTCTGGCACAAACAGGTATCCCTGCAAGAATTAAGTCCTTTTGTCAGTCGAGAAAACAAAAAAATGCCTATAAAGTAGGCTGCATGGGGAACAGCTTCCTCCCGCTGAGATCGGAGACTGAGGGCTGCCGCCATTCAACCTGACCAGCACCACGGAGGCTGCCGATGGAAACCGCCTCTGCTCAGGCCCAACCCAGGCCAGCTCAGGCCACACGGTGCACTTCCCGCCTGGGTCTCACTCCCCTGCTGGTCCTTTAAAGGTCCTGCTCATCTCAGGGGTTTCGAAGATGGCGCTTCCGAGCAGTAAACTCCGTCTTCCTCCAAGGTGGCGGGGAAGGCGCCCTCCTTCCCACGGCTTGCTCCGAACACTGCTGGAGCGGCGAGGGCCCCTCAGGAAGACGCTTCGGCCTGCGCGGGCCCGCCGGGGGCTGCGGTGTCCTCGGAGGCTAGCGCCCCGGGTGCTGCCGTTTCGCTCCGGGCCGTGCGTTCCTGCCCGGCCCACCTCCTCGGCTTTCGGAGCCCGGGCCCTCCGCTCCGGGCCGGAACCGACGCCCCGAGCACCCGCGCTGGCGCGGGGGGGGGGGGGGGACGGACCGCGGACCGGAAGTGGCGGACCGGGCAGGGCCTCGCTTCCTGTGCTGCGGCGCCGCCTCGGCGCTATGGCTGCGCTTGGCCGGCAGGTGAGGGCGCCCCGGGGACCGGGCACAGGGGTCGCGGGGCCGCGCCGGGCAGGCCTGGGGAGCGGGTGCCGGGCGCGGGGCCTCCCCTGGCCGTGGAGGTGGCGGGTGCGTCGGCTCGCTGGCCGGCTCGTGGCCTGGAGTCCTCCTCTGGTGGCAGGGATTTGGGGGACGAGTTGGGAACTCGTCTGCCGCCCAGGGTTTTCCGGCAGGTGGTGCCCGGTGGCTTTGAAACAGCTCCCTCTCCCTCCCCGGCTCCCGCGGTTACAGCGCAGTCCCCCCGCCTGGCGGGCGCCGGCGTCCGCCGTCGGCACTGGGAGTCCTCCACCCTCGGTGGGACTGGGGCTCTGAAGTCGGGTCCGGCCTTGCAGGTTGCTTCTGTCTTCCAGGTCCTCCGGGGGCAACGCCTAGTCCCACTCTCCTGGGCCTGTGTGGCCAGGCGGACTCCTCATCCCCCCGAACGGGGAAGGACTAAACAGACGACCGCTTCCCATGGAGGGAGCCTGGAGGAGGCATTCCGTGTTGGACCCAGAAACTCTGTGCAGCAACCAGGGTGCAGGACAAATCCTGTTCAGGGCCTCCCTGAGAAGCAGAGCACACCTGTGGATAGTGGGTCGTTAGAGCCAGAAAAGGTCATCAGTTCCCTCCTGGACATGGGTTTCAGTGATGCCCATGTCAAGGATTTGCTCAGCACATTGCCAGGTGCCAATCTTCAGCAGTTGCTGGACATCATTTCAGAATTGATACTCCTGGGTCTGAATCCTGAGCCTGTGTGTGTGGTCTTGAAGAAGAGTCCCCAGTTACTGAAACTGCCAGTTGTACAAATGAAGAAGCGCTCCAATTACCTGCGAAAGCTGGGCCTTGGGGAAGGTACAGGGTGCAGATTTTATGTGGTGTGAGAAGAGTCAGAGTTGGGGAAGGAGGAGCTTAAGGTGTGATGGCTTAGGAAAGGTTTCTGAGGAGAGTTCAGTGTCCTAGGGGAGACTGTTTGCAGCCTTTGCAGACGCCATTGCAGAAAGAAAGTGGGGAGATTAGGAGGGAACCGGGGCCAGGGCAGTCCTTGTGTAGTGTGTTCACCTAGGATCTCTTGCTTCCAGGACAGTGTTGGCACATGGTCTGTGTTCAGTAGGTTACTCTTGCTGTGTGGTGCTGGTCTCTCTGTGTGTGTGCATATGTGGAGGCTCTGACGTGCAAGCCCACGTGATGTGTTCTTTATGCTTTGTGCATTGTAGGGCTGAGGACACCATCGCTTATAAAGACCGAGAATCCAGTGGAACCTGAGAGATCCTTCAGTTTCCTGGGAAGCTGGTAGAATGGCTTCTATAGCTGTCCCCCTCCTCCAGTGGTGTTCACACCTCAGAGATCCTTGAAGTTTTTTTGGGTCACTTTAAGAACCTTCTGGAGAAGGAGCATGTTGTCTGCTTCAAGGACCCCAACCACTTTGACCACAGATGTTCCATTATTATTTTTTTTCACTTCCTAGGATTTTTTTTTTTTTAATTGAAAAGGAATATTTTTGGCCCCATTATTTGTTAGGGTCTATATGGAATTCTTTGTCCAGAAAATAAACAAGAAGGTAGTCTTGTGTAATTCTCTTAAAGGGTAATACGAGATACTAGATTTAATATGGTATGTGCTATGGTTATTAATTAGCAACTCAGCATAGCTATAAGAGATGAAGATAACACCTAAACTCCCAAATCCATTTCTCACTTTTTAGTAAGACAGTGTTTGGGAAACTGAAATGTTTAAAGAAAGTGACTTTCAGTTTCTAGTTATTAAATTTTTCTGAGTGTTTCCTGTGAAGACCATATACCCTAGTTTGCCTGGGATAGTCCCAATTTAGACCATCTACCTTTGTGTGTGGTCCTGGGGACTGAACCCAGGGGTGCTTTACCACTGAGCCACATCCCCAGCCCTTTTTATTTTGAGATAGGGCCTCTCTAAATTGCTGATGCTAGTGTGGAACTTACCATCTTCCTGCCTCAGCTTCTTGAGTTGCTGGGATGACAGGTGCTGCTGTGCCCCTCTATACAAGTCATCTTAATGCAATTACTCTCAAGGCCTCTTTCACCCACAGGTGACCTGGTTTGGATAGAACACATGGTCACCCTGTTAGTCAGGGCACTGGTGTTTGTGGTTGTGTATTGGGAACATCTTTCTTGTCAACATCTTTCTTGTGTTCTCAACATCATCATCATTGATATGGAAGCCTTTTCATGGAGGTCCGACTCCCAGGTCTTGAGAGTGCTGGTGGACAGTGCTTCAGTGATGGTTTTATTAAAGAGAGAAACCACAGTCTGTAGTCCCACTCTGGGGAAGCCAGTTTCCCATCTTGCTGTCTGATCTTCTTGGTGAAACCCTGTAAAATTCTTTTCTAGGTGAGGAGGGCAAGAGGAGACCTAGAACATGAAGCTAGCACCTTCAGATGGGAAGCCAGAAACAGGCGGGGAGGTGTGGGGGGGGGGTGCTGGTGAGTCTAGAAGTCATTTCTGTGGTGAGCTGGAACAAGCACTCATGCTCTGGGGGAAAGGACCTTCCTCCTTTTTCTCATGCAGGCTTCGGTCAGGGCTGTTGGAGCTAGTCTTTGTGTTCCGGCATACCGTGAAATTATGTGCTGTCCTTTTCTTCACCTTCTTCAGGGAAACTAAGGCGGATGCTCCACGGTTGCCCTGAAGTCTTCACCATGCGTCAGCAGGACATTGATGACACTGTCAAGTTGCTCAAGGAGAAGTGCCTTTTCACAGCTCAGCAGGTCACTGAGATTTTGCACAGATGCCCCAGTGTTCTTCAGGAGAACCCCAGTGAATTGGAATACAAATTCCAGGTAAGCACAGCTGCAGCAGCCAGCAGGAAGGGCAAGGGTTTTGGGTGTAGTGAGGTTGGTTCTGTGTGTAGGGAGCCTCTGAGTGGATGAGGGAAGGGCTCCTCCATGCCGTCCTTTGCGTAGAGAGCCTCTGAGTGGACGAGGGGAAGGGCCTCTCCATGCCATCCTTGGTCCTAGGAAACATGGTGCTGGTTCTATTATTCCTCCTTTCCAGATCAGACCTGCTCTATTTCTTCCATAATAATGAATGACAGTTCCATTCTCTGAGTCCTAGGTGGGTATCCAAAACAGCTATGAAGCAGCTGAAACTTTCCTTTCCTTAGAACATACTTTCGCATGATTTTGAAAATGTAATTGTGATAATTGGCCTAATGTCTGAGTAAGTTATGCCAACTTGGGTCGGATTCCTGGGTGCTTTCTGAGTCTTGCCTGCACTTTCCACACTCATGGTCCTCCACGCCTATAGCCTCCTCCTGGGTTTGTCAAGAACAGTGTTGATTTCTTCCCCACTAATTTACTTTCTGCTGCGTTTTCCTCAGTATTAGATTTTGAAAACCATCAGTTTCCACACAAGTGTCAGTAGAGTAGTGAGTTTCTGCTGTTATTAATCAGGCCTTTCTTTCTCAGTGCTCTATAGAGCGTGGATTTAGAGTGTGTGGGGAGGAGTCCTCACTGTGTGTGTCTCCCAGTATGCATACTTTAGGATGGGAGTCAAGCACCTGGACATAGTGAGGACTGACTTCCTTCAGTACTCAGTAAACAAGATCAAGCAGAGACACAGCTACCTGGAGCGCCTAGGACGGTACCAAACCCCTGACAAGAAGGGGCAGACGCAAATCACTAACCCTTTGCTTAAGGACATTCTCAGAGTGTCAGAAAGTGAGTTTTTGGCCAAAACAGCCTGTTCTTCTGCTGAAGAGTTTGAGGTTTTTAAAAAGCTCTTGGCTCGGGAGGAGGAGGAGCAGGAAGAGGAAGAGGAGCCTGAGAGCAGCACATCTGAGGACAAAGAGGAGCAGCTGTGACGAAGGATGGATGGGGAGCAGGGCCTGGGCCTGTCAGGGGACATGCACCTTGTCCAAGCCTTGGGAGCTTCACTTGGACTTCCTCAATGTTTTTCATTCTCACACAGGTCTTCTGATGAAAAAGTCATTCAGACCACACAGGACGCCCTGGTGTGGTCTGTCACCAGGTTTTGTGGGCAGGCACTGTTCTATCCTAATAAAAGGCAACTTTTAAAATGGGACTCAGTACTTGCAAATTTGATTTGATTTGATTTTTCCTGTCTTAAAATGTCAGTGCTAATACCATGAGGGAGTGGAGGAGGGGCCTGCTGGCTGAAGAGTCCTTGTGTATGTCCTGTGGTGATAAAGGTAAAATCAAGGCCATAGTACATCATAGCACTTTATTTTATGAAAACAAGCAGCGAGTTTCCATAAAAATACTCCTGTTTTTAATCCAAAACATCTCATTGCTACTCAGTTGCATTCAGTGTATAGCAGAATGAAAGGCGCTGCTGGTGATGTGTTCTGGGATTGTGCACGGCTTCTGCAGGCCCGCAGAGCAGCAGCACTTATCTCTGAAGACCCGTCCTTCCAGCTCAGTCATGTTGGCTTTCTGCCAGCTCCTGGTGGTCACTCCAGGCCTGATTCTCTGACCTGTTGCTAATGCTGCCAGAGTGAGGGTCTGGAGAGTGCTGGCTCGGGAGGGGCTGGGGAGCAGGCTGAGACAGTCATACCCCACTGCGTGACAACAGGTTCTGAGGACCAGAGGAGAAGAGCGCAGGCCCAGGACTGCTCGTGGATTTGTTCCAGAGGGCTCCTCAAATGCCCAGGGTGTGGACATCACCCTGGGGAACAGGGGTGTGAGGAGCAGTGTGACATGCTGGAAATGGGGTGAGGCAAACTCTGAGGTAGAAGCCTGGCATTGATGGTGCGAGTGCTCAGAGGGGCCCAGAGGACTAGGGCCTCCTAGAAGGTTCTCTGTTGCTTTTCGTAAGGGTACTGCGAGGATTGGTGCTACAGAAAGCACCTTGGGTCTGCTTGGTGGCATTTGATTAGTCACATGACACTCCTCTGATGCTTGGCCTCATTCTTCTCATGTATGTGAGAATCCTTCAAGGCCACAGTGCTTACCTGGGGGTGGCCTTGATCCTCAGGACATCTGGAAGTCTTGGGAGACATACTGGTTGCCATGACCCTGGTGTAGGGTGCTGCTAGGATCTATGGACAGAGGCCAGGGATGCTGCAGAACACCCTGACATACAGGGAGCCCCACACTCATGGTCAGCCCCAGGTGTCAGTGCCAAGGCTCAGAAACCATGCTGCAGCCTGGCTGAGGACTGCAGGAGGTGGGTGACTTAGCTGTGTTCCTCCTTCAGAGTGGGGTCGTGGCAGGCCTAGGCTGGGTTGTGGGGATTCAGTGCTGAGGTGTGGAGGTGCCTGTGCTCTCCACGCACCATGGGGCTGGGCTGCAAAGAAAAGCAGTAGCTGCTAGTGGAGGAGGTCCTGCTAAGGAAGGTGCAGGGGCCTATGGGTCTCCACAGGGAGCACATGAGTGAAGGCTCTGGGGAAAGGGCTATCTGTGGCTGTGGGTGAGCGGGGAGTGCAGGTGCTCACTGCCAGGTTGCTGCTTGCTCTTCACTTTGTGTTATCCAGTGACCATCACTTTTTTGGGCCCCATGAGAGCTGAGAAGAATCCTAAGCCTGAGCATGATTAAATGGGCCGCTGATCCCCAGTGCTGGTGGCAGACGGTGGCCTGAGTGTGATTAGAGGGCCACTCATCCCCAGTGCTGGTGGCAGACGGTGACCTCGGCATTCGGATTTCCTGTTCTGGTTCCATGTGACCTTTGCTGAGATGGACTTGAAGTGTTTCTGAGGAAGATGTTAGTCTTAAGAAGGACATTTTAGAACAGCAGTGGCCACTCCCTGGGATGTCTGGGTGGACTGTAACCCCTCAATACTGGGACATTCTTTTACCAGACACTCCACCTGTGTGGCCTCAATGTGGGTTGACAGCGTGACAGCACAGCATCCTGCTCTGTCTCTTGTTGAAACAAAGACTCTGAGCTAACACCCGGGTCCAGGTCATGGCTGGCTGGTGGCTAAGGGTCTTGGTCTTCAGTGTGGTAGAGAAAGTCTCATCTCCTATCGTGGGGTGACCTTGGTCCTGCTATTTCCTAGTGATCTGGGGTGTCATGTAGAGGGACAGTGATGGGCCTGGTGCTGCAGTGGAGGTCAGCCTGCATGTCTGTGGACTGGCTTCTGACTGACTGTGTCTGGGGCCATCTGTCCTTGGATGTTTGCAGGGCACAGTAGGGTTTTTCTTGAATCATTCTTCCTCCCTTCTGAAAACAGCAAACTTCACAGTGCACAGGTGTGCACACACCATTTCAGTTAAATCTAAAATGCACCTCTTCAAAGAATGCTTTTATAGACCCCAGGAGGAAGGAGGCCTCTGGCATGATGTGACTGTGCTCCATTTCTAGTTGTGTGAGTGGCTGTCCTCCACTGAGAAAAGGGGCCTGACTACTGTAGTTGTGCCCACACTGCAGGGAGAAGACAGCTGTGTGGGGCGGTGCTGGGGCGCACACGTGCTCTATGATGTGTGGTAGGCTGTGTTTCTACCTGGAGGCCCCAGAGGTCTGCTCTGGTCATGGACTGAAAGGACCCCTGCGTGTGGTCTCGTCCAGCCTGCCCAGAGCGTTCCTCTGTTAGCTTCAGACTGGCGAGAAGAACTTGCTGCTTCATGGTGGTGTGCCTTGGCTTTCTGAGGAGGGTGTTTTTTTTTGTTTTTTTTTTTTTCTGTGTAAGTCTTCTGTGGGTCTTTGGAGCCTTGGTGGTGACTTGTCACCCAGGGGATGGCTTCCACTACATGAGGCCAAAGCCTGGGTGACCTCACATATCAGAGGTCCACCCTGTGACTATTCTTTTGAGTGGAGCTTCAGGGGAGCACAGCCACACACATTCAGCTGCACATCCATGGCTATGCTGCAGAGGCAGAGCTGAGCAGTGGCCACAGAGCCTCTGATCTGCAAGCCAGAAGCATTCACTGCCCTGCACAAGAAGTCTGCAATCACAGTGCAGCCTGAAACTGTCCAAGCTCCATTTTAGTAGTAATGAACACTTCCACCTCCAAATGCATGGACCATATGCAGCATGAATGATGTGCAGCAGGTAGGAGGATTCACCTTGTCTCCACTTCCCCACTGCCCACGTCTGTGGTAGAAGTCTGTCCTCCTCCTGGTTCGGGAGACCTTTCTCACACTGGAATCTGAGGGCTGGTTTCTAAGCACTGCAGAAGTGATGTTAATGGCCCCGCTAGGCCAGCTGCGTGGAGGATAGACCATGCTCAGGGATGCCATAGCTTGCGCTAGATCGTAGGTGCTTCAGTGACTCTTGGGGGCTGGTGTGTGTGCAGGCCTGGCCATCTGTTTTCTAGAGGCCTGAGGCCAGAGGTCACAAAGGGAACTGACCCATCCAGGGCCTTGTTTCTGTATCCTTTTCTGTATCCAGTTTTTAGAGCTCATCTTCCTAGGTTTTGGAAACTCCTAAGGTGGGTGGAGTGTAGTGAGCTCGTCCCAAGTCCTTTGAAGGATCAACAGATCCAGACACGAGAAGAGCACCAGGCATGCCCTCCCCGCTGCCCTTTGAGCCCAAGCCTGGCCTGAGTGCAGGGAGGCAGGGCCTGGAGTGGGGGAGGACCTGTGCCCATCCTGGGAACCTGAGCGGGCACTGGGTTCTTAGACTGGCATCAGCAGGTGGCTGCCCCTCCACCCACCTCCACTGGGCACCCACCAGGCTGCTCTGTGTTGAAGGAGTCTCCATGTGGTTCCTGGCGGCGTCTGAGTGGTGTGCTCCTGTTTCCTGCTTGTGTTTGCCCCAGCGTGTCATAAGAACAGATGTGCTCCACAGCTGGTGATCCATCATTAGCTGGGGGTTTCTCATTTGTTTCTATGGAAATGGGTTTGCTAGGTGAGCTTTTAAAAAGATGCATAATATTTCAGGAGACTTACTGCCATGCAGATATTTCCCACCCAGATGGTGTATGTGGGCTCTTGACCTCACCAGGGTTGGACTGCCCGCAAGCCCTCGACTGTCTGTTTGTGTGTCCTTAGAGGCAGAGTCAGCAGGGGAGGTGGTGCCCAGAGTGGAAGGAGCCCGGCACTGTCGGCTGCTTTCGCAGAGAGAAGTCCCATCTGAGATGGGACCCTGCTGCTTGCGAGGTCTCCCGGGGGCCCGGGGGAGCTTGTCTTTCCCTCAGTGTATGAGCCAGCTGGAATGCTCCTTGGCTTTTTAGACATTCTGTTTTCTCAGCCCAGAAGTAAGGACCCTGAAAGGGCCCATGACCACAGAGCCTCCCTGTCCCCCAGTGCTAGGAAGGCAGGCTCTGTGGGCTCTTGGAGAGGTGGAGCCGAGAGCTTCATGGGGTCTCGTAGTGTGGCCCGGTGTCTCCACAGTGTTGTGAAGAGTGCCAGTGCTCTGAAAGAGCCAGCAGAGTGGCGTGTAGGGAGGCAGGGGTTGGGTGGGGTTTGTTTGCCAAAAGAGTTTGGGAAATGCTGGATTGAACAAAGGTAAAATTTCTTCCATCCCAGAGTCCACGATGCTTAGAATTCCAGTGTCTCCTGTGACCATCTTGGTCGGGGACCGTCTTCAGGACTTGCCAAATGTTTCTTGACTAAGGCCTCCATTTTAGCTTCCAGTATGATACCATTCCGGGGTTTCCCCAGAATTCCTCAGCACCTCAGGCCTCCCTCCATGTGGTCTCCTCCCTCCAGGCGCCGGGTGGTCTTCCAGCTTTCTGTGAGCCCCTGTGGCAGCTGCTCCTTGTTCCCTTGAGAGAAGGCAGGATACGCCCTCACCCCAGAGCCTCACTTCCTCCTGGAGATGAGTTTGGGTCTGTGGCTCGGCCGGGCTCTGTCTGCTGGGAGGCCTGAGTCAGGGACCTGAAGCCACCTGGCCTGAGGCTTTAGCAGGGCCTAGGGAGTGGCAGCGCTCTCAGAGGCCCCGGGTAGGTGGGCCCCTCTCCCTCTTCCCAGCAGCTCTCGGGGCACAGGGGAATGGTACCTTTTGTTTCTTCAGTGTTTGACGGTTACTTTGTTTCCTGAAACAACTAGGAAAAGGGCTTAATGAGGAGACTTCTGTGCCCTTAGTCCTGCCTCACTCTGCCCTCTTGCTCATGTGTTCCATGCCCCTGTCTGGAGGCCGTGGCTGTGGAAGGAGAGGACACAGCCTAGCTGGGGAGGGCGTGGAGAGTGGGGGGGGTGGGCAGGAGGAAGCAGGAGTGGCCTCGGGGTGAGGCCTCATACTCAGGCTGAGCAGCGCCGGGGCTTAGTACTCTACTCGGCCAAGCCAGCAAAGGTGTGGGGCCACAGTGGGTCTTGAAGAATGAGACTGAGATTGGGGCTCTGATTTTGAAAGCATATAATGTTCTCAGGCACTTCTTTCAGTAAAACCCCAAAGAGTACTTGTGAGCACCTTGAACCCTTTGGGGACGGAACCTGGGTGTAAATGAGCAAAGGTTAAAAAGGTCTTTTCTGTTTCTGTTGTTGTGCACTTGGCCTGCCAGGAGTGCTCTACGCTTCTCCCCGGAGCGTCTCGCTCCTGCAGGAGCCGAGTGACACCCGCACTCACCATGCCCACTGTGCCCGTGTGTGTGTGTGCCCAGATCTCACCCACACACAGTCTCAGGCATGCATGGCACCACCCCTGCCCATCACCCTGCGAGCCGTATGCAGGACATAGGTTGGACCCGGGTTTACCTGTATGGGGCTTCTTGAGGCTGGTACTCTCACAGTGCTCTTTGAAGCAGACATCTTGGTGAACTTTGTAGACTCTTTTGTACCTGTTGTCACAAGAAAATTCTGTGAAACTGGACGCCGAAGAGTGTGCTGCCCACCTACTTGGGCTGTGGACCACCTGTGAGTGCAGAGGTGTTCGAGGGAAAGACCACTGTTTCCTGACTAGAGGTTGCCTGTGGGTGTGTTAAAGTGCCCAACGTAGAAGCCATGTGATTTAAGATCAGCTGTACTGAACACAATTGACATGTGAGGTATACCGTTTCAGAGTGCACTTCACGACTGCTGGCAAAGCCACGTGGCACCGGAAGTGAAATGAGTTCCAACATAATGACTGCTGAAGGCAGGCCCCTTGGCCCTGTCCCTAGGCTCTGACCCTCCCGCTCTGCTGTTTAGACTTTGGAGAAGGCCAAGCCACCTGGGCTGCAGGCTGCAGAGGCAGCAGTGGAGGGCCAGAGACTTGGTTTCTGCCTCCTCTCCCATTATTAGCCAGGGCACCTTGATCAGGCTTCTTTGACTCTGTCGCACCCATTTTGTGTCCTTGGGAGACTTATGCCACCTCTTGTCACAAGGAATCTGAAGATGATAGGAGGGGAAGGTGTTTAGTGTGAGAGCCCTTTAGAAGAGGCCTAAGGAGCTGCAGCGCTGGTGTGGGCAAAGCTGCAGCCCACACGAGTCTGTAGCCTTGGTAAGACTTCCACTCTGGCCTCCAGAGGGTGGTCAACTATGGAAGGAACTCCCAGAGAGCTGGACAGATACAGGAAGTAACTGTCTTCAGGTGTTAGGAAACAGCAAGCCTGGGAAGAGGGAGACAGGCACAGGGTCACCTGCATGTTGGCCGGCAGCAGGGCTAGGGCAGAGTTGCAGATAGGTTCAGGCTCAACTCAGGGTCACACTTTGTATGGCCAGAGTACCCATGAAGCTGGGCAAGTCCACTGAGGAGCCGGTCACCCTGAGAGCCAAAGCAGAGAAGGGTGAAACCATGCCAGGACAAAGCTACTCCACAGCAAGCCTCAGGAAGACCAGATCATACCCAGAACTGCCTTGCAGAGAGAATATTCTTGAAAAGAAATACAAAAAGTGAAACAGTTTGGCACCTTTTTAATGTTCAGCATTCTATGAAAATTTATAAGACGTTCAAAGAATCATGTGAAGAATTTAAAAAAAAAAAAATGACCCCTATCCTGGAGAAAAAGAATTGAACAGAAAAAGGCCAGAAACGGCCCTGAAGACAGATCTAAGTTTGTGCCATGTGTTTGGTGATCTAAAGGAGAAGCTTCTCACCATGAAGGGAGTGGTGGTGGGCTAGAGAAGGAGCCGAGTGGAATTGCTAGAGTTGCACACAGCTGTGTGGGTGATGCAAAAGCAAAGTCGATGGCCCTGACTGCAGAGGTGGCGCGTCTGAACAATGGGAAGCACGTGGTGACAGCACCAGCCCAGCACTGTCCTAACAGGAGAGAAGTGAAGGGGCAGGGAAAACGCACAGAGAAGCGGGGTCCACACATTCCAGATGTGACACAAGTGAACACCCGAGATGCAAGAGCTTAACCGTTCCAGAGGATGCACACCGAGAGCCACATCATCAGGTTGGCCAAAGACAGTCCCCGAGAGAGTGCGAAAGGGCCCGGGTGTAGGACACCTTATGTGGAGTGGGGCCCGGTGAGGGGGGCCGTGTCTCTGCAGGTAAAGTGCTGCAGGAAAAACTGTATCAAACAGTAATTCTGTATCTGACCACATTTCTTCAGAAAAAAAGGTGAAATAACCTTTTCAGACAAACAAGCAGAGAATTGGTCACCAGCAGACCTGTGCTGTAAGAAGAGTCCCATTGTTTAGGCTGAGGGCGTGATGCACGGGTCGGTGAGCTGGGCTGCTGGGTGTGCCCTGGCTGTAGAGGACTCACTCAGCATGTGGAAAACAGTGCTGACAGCAGCATCGGCGTTGGCGGGTGGTGGTGTGTGTGAAGGAAGAGGCTGAGGGCGATTCAAAGGATGACAGTTGCAGGAGTCTCCCCTCAGCTGCGGTCGGCCACAGACAGGAAAGGCAGGTCCTGATAAGCTGAAGGTGCGTATTGAAAACCTTGCAGCAACTCCTGAGTAACAATGAGCCAAAGAGGAGGGACCAGCAAGCCCTGCACAATTACTCCTGAACTAGGAGGGAAAGAAGAAAAAGTCATGCAGAAAGATGGGATAAATGGAAAAAAGTAGCCAACAGCCACATCGCCATTATCTAAGAATGATGTGAATGGTCTAAACAGTGACAGAAAGCGGAGATGTCACCCTGGATGTGAAGCAAGGCTGCTGTATGTTCAATACAAGGTCACTTCAAAGGTACAGGCAGGTTCCCAGTGAAAGGGCAGAAGGCCTTTGGGAATGAAGGCTTTCCTGTAGGCATGCTGGGGACATGACAAGGCTGCAGGCAATGTTGGGACCAGCCCAGTCCAGCAGCTGGGGACTGCCCCCACAGAGTCCAGGCCAGTGGCGTCACACAGCCTCTGTGCCCTGCAGCCTGGTACTGCCTCTGTTCTGCCCTCAGCCTGGTTTCACGTCCAGCTCAAACAAAGCTCTCTGCCCTTGCTGCCACCTCTCCTCCTCTGTGGAGCATCCAGAGCAGTCTGTGAAGTGCTGTCACATGTCCCTCCTCTGCTGAGTGACCTTCAGTCACTCCTCACTTCATGGACAGCAAACACCACCATCCTTATGGGGTGTCCTCGCGTCTCTCCTCTGCTGTTCTCAGACATGCCAGGCATACGTGATGCAGGACCCAAAAGGGATGCTCCTTCAGGAACCTTCTTCCTTCCCACTGCCTCCACATCTGCTCGGTGTCACCTCATCCCTGAGGCCCACCTTAGTCACCTGTCTGATGTAGCATGGCCTTCACCTGGCTCCCCTAGCCTCACTTCCTCTCTCCCTTCCTTCCTTAGCACTCACCACCTTCTGTGACTGCATGGCACCAATGCCCATGTCCCTGGTGGGCTGTGCCTGCAGCACCCTGTCAGCCTGAATGCCCATGTCCCTGGTGGGCTGTGCCTGCAGCACCCTGGCACACAACAGTGCTGTCAGGGTGTGCCTACATGACTGAGTACCACCTAGAGTCACAGGATTTGGGGGAGGTCCCAAGAGATGCATGAGGCAACTGTCCCTCCACAGCCTGCTTTACAAATGAGGAAACGGAGACACGGGTGACTTGTCCAAGACCACATCATGAGTCAGTGGCAGTGCTGGACTCAAAGTTACCATGTGCCATTTGTTTTCCAGGGACTGTGATGAAGAGAGGGAGGCCAGGTCCTGGAATCCTTGGGCATAGGACCCTCTGTCCACTGGGGCCTAGGGGGTGCAGAGGAGAACCAAGGGCTTGAGAGACAGGGACCAGCTCTTCTCAGCCACTGTTCCTGAGCCGCAGGGGCCTAGGCCCATTCCTCTGCCTCAAGCCCCTGGTTTGCTATGTGGTGGGCATGAGCCATCCAAGCCAGTGTCTTCTGCAGCCTCCATCCCTCGGGGTTAGTAAGACAGCACTCTGGAAAGTGAAGACCCTGTCAGCATCATCGGAAGCCAACTTACACGTGGTGGCAGACGGCTCCCTCCCAGACCGGAAAGGACTTTGTCTCCGAGAACAGTCGAGTGCAGGGGCGGGGCACCTTTTTACAGGCTGCCGGCACAAAGGAGAAGGGCAGAGGCTTAGGAGGAGGCTCCATGCCACAGGAACTCTCTTCCTGCCCTCGCGAGAGACCCCTGCCCGAGGGAGACCCAGGCAGCTTTTCTCAGACCCTGTTGGGCCTGGGGATGTGTGCCAGCTCCTCCCAGGGCTGCCCAACATCTGCAGAGACTGCCCTGGCTGGGGTGACCTCGTAGCCTGCAGGCTAGTATAGTGGTGTAGGGGGTTCTGCCCCCAACCTGGACACTCAGTCCAAAGGAGCCTGTGTCCCTCCCATGGACTCTCTTGTCTCCTGCAGCCTCACCCCACTGTGGCACGGCCACTGCTTATGGCTGCCGTTCTTGGCTTTTCTCAGTCCCTGCAGCCAAGGGCCACCTTTCACCCTGGGACTCACAGATCATTCCTTGGTTTCCTTGCCTGTCAGCCTCTGTCCCCAGATGCTCTAGGCCTCTGTTCTGGCCCTTCAGTTTGGAAGGCCTGGGACAAAGCCACCTGAGCCCAGCCTGCCAGGGCCTGGTGACACTGCTGTAAGAGGCTCTGGAGGCCAGTTCCCAGCTGGGTGGCCAGCCCTGACTTACCGAGCTCACAGCGCCTGCCTTTGAAGCCTGGCCCGCAGTCACAGTGGTGGGCATCCGCACCTGGCACACAGGTGCCTCCATTCTGACAGGCACCTTCTGAGCAGCTCTCAGGGGCGCCTGGAAACAGACCAGGAGAGGTCGGCCCCCAGTCCTAGGGAGCCTGCCGGCACCTGACTGGGTGCTCGAGGGCAGCCGTGACAGGCTTTTCCCTCCTGCTTTGGCCTTCTGTGCCCTGCTGCTGTGGGCTCGTGACACAGACAGCAGAGAAGGGAACATGGGCCTCGGTGTGCTGGCCCTGACCTGATGACTCAGGGAGCAGGGAGGAGAGAGCCCACGGCCTCCTGTGTGAGCCACCTGGCTTGCGGCCACCCCCAGGTTGTCTGCTTTCACCCCTACACACGGCTGCTTCTGCCTGGACCTCGAGACCCTTTTGTCTCTGAGTGTCTGCCCCCAGTTGGCAGAGACTTCTCCACCACATCCCCAGCCCCAGACAGCCCTGTGTGCAGAACTGCACCTGTGCCCCTGTGAGTGGTGGCTGCCCACCTCCTAGCACATCGCATCTTGCTGTAGTGGAGGCCAAGGTGGCCAGCAGTGCTGCCTGGGAGGAGCTGGCCTGGCCTGGCCTGGCCTCCATCCCTGAATACATTCTGGCCCTATTTTTGTCATTATTTTTAAAGACACCTGTTATTTTATTTTAACTTAAAGCACAAAAGAGTAAGAATTGGCCTTCCCCTATGTCTGGTCCTGAAGGAGTCTCAGTCTCCATCACACCATCTAATGGAGCCCCACCTGCCCGACACTTGCAGCATGTTCCTCAAAGGCTTCTCCAAGTTCCAATCCCATGGTTGATGGCCGTGGGAAGACCTTGCTGCCCCTGCAGGTCACTGCCCCCCTCCTCCGCCCCCATTGGATCCACTTTGCCTTCTTCCCTCCCCCTGCCGTCTTCTGGGCTTTCCTTTTGTCCTTCTTGATGTACTTAAAATGAATTGTGGGCTTAAAAACACCTTCATTGTGAACTTTCCAAACTGACAGTGTGTGGAATAGGGAGACCCCAGGCGCTTCACACTCGTCTGTTACCCTGAATAACCGCAGGGCCGTTCTCATGTCCCCTTTCTCCTGTGGACAGCCAGCAGTGTTTGTACGTAGACTGCAGTGCTCTGCATGACCAGTTACCAGGAACTCTCTAGCGTGGAAGACCACGGCTGTGTCCATGCTGACTGGCGAGTCTTTCCTTCTGAGTGTTGGTGTACTCAGCTCTGGATGCCCCTGTTGCTTCTGGCTGGTGCTGTCACGTTTCTTGGTGCTCAAGCCATCCTGTCTTGGGCGGTGGGAACCCTTTCAGGCTGGCTCTTTGGCCCCTGGCAAGGTGCCTGTTGACTTTGGATGTGCGCTTGTTGCCTGACGGTTTGTGCCTGGTCACTTTTGTCCACATCCTGCTGCAGTCTTGGAATCAGCCATTTCTCCAGAGCCCCTTCCTCCAAGGAGATGGGTTTGGACCCACAGTCAGGTGCTCTGAGAGATCCCCACTCCTGAGCTGCCTCTGTCTCAGGCTTTCCAGTGAATAGGACAAGGAAATTAGAGTTTTTAAAAATAAACAAGTCGTGGGTTTATTCTGGTATTCCCAGGGCCTCACACCTGCTAGGGAAGTGCTCTACCACTGAGCCCCAGCCCCAGCCCCAGCCCCAGCCCCCTGCCTTTTCTTTTTTGTTGTTTAAAAATATTTTTCTTGGTTCAAAAGTCAAAACTATGCAACAAGGTCGATATAGTCAGAGAAGATTAGACTCTGTCCATCCCTTTCCCTGCTCTTTCCTTCCATGAATAGCTCACCCTCTTTGTTAGTTTTCTTCCTAAACATAATAAAAACACATATTCATATTCCCCTCTTGTTTCCCGTACGACAGCACACCAAACACACTGCAGCCTGTGGCTTTACTTTAATGAGATGTCCACAGACCACGTGGGCCCCCATTTGACATGTGCAGTTCCTTGTCACCATAGTCAGTCTCCTCCAGAAAGAAGGTGTGGCTTTTAGCTCCCCCTGTCCACCTTGAGCCTCCACCCTGTCCTAAGCAGCCCCTGAGCGGCTTTGTGTCTTCACAGTCTCTTCTTCTGGACTTGGCTGCACGTGGGAGCCTTTTGCACGTGGTCTTTTGTAGCTGGCCCTCCAGACACACCCAGGTGGTAGTGTGTAGCAGCGCTGTGTGCCTGTCACCTCAGCTGTCCTCTGATTGGAGTGGTGCCCTGGGGGGTCTCCCTCCAGCAACCGTCAGGCATGGGTGTTTCTGCCTGTGGTGGTGGTGCTGCTGCTGCTGTGTCCATCCACGTGTGAGGCCTCGTGTGCATGCAGTGTCCATTTCTCCTGGGGGCAGGTGTCAGTGGGCTTGCTGGCCATGTGATCCTTCTGGTTTACTCCTCTGAGGAGCCACAGCACTGGCCTCCTGGCAGTGGCAAGCCGGTGCCATGTCCACACCCTTGCCAATGCTTGCTGTCCTGGGGCCAGCCGTCCTCTGGTGAGGGACATCAGGCGTCTTTTCCTGTGCTTACTGGCGATTTATGTGCATTCCTTGGAGAAGTGTCCCTTCATTTTCTTTGCTCATTTTTAAACTGGGTTCTTGAGGTATTTTAGATACACGTCCCTTGTTTACCCATTCTGTGGGTGTCTTCCACTTTCTTGGTGGTGATCTTTGAAGCACAGAAGTCTTGGATTTTTGATGAAGTCCAATTTTCCTTTTGTTGTTATGTGTTTGGTGTTTTATCTAAGAATCCTCTGCCAGAACTAAGGTGAAGATTTATTCCTGTTTTCTTCTAAGAGTTTTGATTTTTTTTCTTTTTATTGGTTCTTTTTAATTATACATAACATCAGGTTCATTTTGACATAATTATTAAAGTATGGAATATAATTTGCTCTAATCAGTCCCCAGCACCATCACCCCTACCCACTCTATCAAGAGTTTTGATTTTAACTCTAACACGTGGATCCATCCTGTGTGACTTAGGGCCTTAGGTCATCGGTGTGAGGTGAGGGTCCACTTCACCTCCACGTGTGGACATCCAGTTATCTGAGCACTGATCTAAGTGCTCACCATTCAGCAGGACCACAGTGACTTGATTCCTATGGCTTCATAGTCAGCTTTGACATTAGAAATGGAGTCCTTCTACTTTCTAAATCTTTCAGCTCTATCTTCCTTCGTTCCTTTCCTCCCTCCCTCCTTCCTTCTCTCCCTCCCTCCCTCCTTCCTTCCCTTGCAATTCCATTTGAATTTTAGACACTGTACACAATTGTCTAGAGAGATTTTACAGCAGCCCTACAGAATGTGGCAGTGTGTCGGGTGTTAAGGATCTACAAGCTTGTGTCATTGTGTTAGTCAGGTTTTCATTGCTGAGACCAAGATGCCTGATTAAAAACAACTTAGAGGAGGTAAGGTTTATTTTGGCTCATGGTTTCAGAAGGTCGGTCCATGGTTGGTCAGCTCTGTGCTCTGGCCTGAGATGAGGCAGCTTTAATGAGATGTCCACAGACCACGTGGGCCCCCATTTGACAGAAGGGCATGTTGGAGAAGAGCTGCTGAGCTTATGGCAGAGCCGGGGAACACAGAGGGAGAGGAGCCAGGGACATGATCTGGTTCCTGAGATCACACCCCCAGTGGCCTTCTTCCAGCCACGCCCATTCTGCCTGCAGTTAGCATCCAGTAGTCCATTCAAATCATTAACCCATCAAAGATCGACCCACTGATGAGTTTACAGTGCTCATGATCTAAGCATCTCACCTCTAAACACTCCTGCATTGTCTAGAATGAGCTTTTGAGAGGACACCTAATGTCCAATTCATACAGTCATCATTTCTAACCCTCTGCAATGGGACAGGTGTGACTACAGAGACCATGCTTGAACTTATTCCTTTGTGGACTGATGAGGCCCAACGCTGCAGCTTGTGTGGCCACAAGAAGGCAGGAGGGTACAGAGCTGACCCTGCAGCCTGTTCCCTATGGCCATCTCCAGGAGATCCCGAATTTACTGTCACACCCACATACACAAACAGGGAGAAGGCTGCTTTGAACTGGGTAGGGAACAGGGTGTGGATGCACCCTGGGGGCTGGGCACTGAGCTGCTCCCATGCAGGACGAATGACCAAGCAGCGCGGTTCAGTCCCTGCCCTTGCCCAGTTTCACCTAGGGACAGTGTCCCTTGCCTGGTGTCACCTAGGGGCAGCGCCTGCCTGTCCTTCTGGTGGCATCTATTCAGGCCATTGGGATAGTGTCCTTGGTGATAAAATCAGAACAGAGCAGAAGCCCTGAGTGGAGTTGGGGCGAATGGGGTGGAGGGGATCATTTGACCGGTCTTAGCACTCTTTGACTCCTGCACCTGCAGACCCTCAGGGTGACTGACTCTGGTCTTGGGAACCCAACTCCTCTCAAGGAGGTCCCCTCCCAGGCTGGAAGGTGCACTGGGACAGGATGGTTGCTTGGCAAGGGCAAGCTCATTGGGAATATTAACTGTGCTTTGTGGGTGGGGGCTCTCTGGGGTCCTCCTTTTCTTGAGAAATCAGTCTAACAGCTTTGAGAGAGAAGGAGCGAATTGCCTTGCAAAGAAACAGGAGCATGATGGATACCAGAGTTAACAGGACCGGGCCCGGGGCGGCAGTGGAGAAGGAACCCTGACGTGGGACTCCACTTCCACCACACTGCACTGCACATGTGGGGGCTCATGAGAGTGTTCTCAGGTACACAGGGTCTCAAAGTCCCAACAAGTGCTCTGTGGAACTTGATCAGCTGACATGTAAAGGGGTCAGGGATAGTTGAGGCTTTCTCCAAGGTCAAGGTGGGAAGACTGGCCGAGTCTAGCAAGTCAGATGTAAGGTTCCAATATTAAATAGGGTGGACTGGCTCAGAGAACGCCAGTGGATCAGAGGAGCCAGGCCAGCATGGACTCGTGTGCATGAACACTTGATTGGCAGCATGGGAAGGACAGTCAAGAAAGGACTCTGGAAGGACAGTTGTCCATAAAAAGAGCTATTTATACTGTTTTTATTTATTTATTTTTTTTTTGAGGAGGGGCAGTTCTGGAGATTTAACCCAGAGGCACTTTACCACTGAGCTATATCCCCAGCCATTTGTTTTGTTTTGTTTTGTTTTTTGGTTTCTTTTAAAATTTGGGACAGGGTCTTACTAAGTTGCTGAGGCTGGCTTTGAACTTGTGATCCTTCTGCCTCAGCCTCCTGAGCTGCAGCAGTTACAGGTGTGTGCCACTACGCTCACCCTGATTTGTGCTTTACAGTAGGACAATCAGGTGAGTTATAAGTCTGAGTTTAAAAGGCAGACAATTAAGCTTTAAGTGATATGATTGTATATATAGAAAACCCCGAGAATCTATGATAAGAATCAGAGCGTTTGGCAGGATGGTTGGGTGGGAGGTCACAATGTAAAGGCCAAATAAATACCTATACTCCAAGAATAAATAATTGGGAAATGCAATTTGAAAACTACTATTTATAGTAATATGAAACTGTGTAATACATCTGTATTCTGTATAAGACTTCCTAACCCAGCAAGACCAGTGCTGGGGACTGGCAGTCCCCGCTTGAGTGCCCACGGGCAGCTGTCACTGCTAAGAGACAGCTTGATGTCCTCACACACCAAGATCCAGCGTGTCTACTCTTTGGCATGTGGAGAAGGAACCCTGATGTGGGACTCCTGGGAAACCTGGTCAGGAGCATCCACAGCGCCTCTGGCAATGCCAGTCATTCACAAGCCTCAGGCCTGGGTACAGGGAGTGGGTGGGGAGACCCGGGAGCCCGCTCCATGCTCCGCAGCATGTGAGGACACTGCACCGCCCATTAGGGTCTAGCCAGCACTATCCAAAGCCCAGAGAAGGCTCTTGTCTTTGCAAAGAAACCCCATCAGGACACACGGGAAATGATAAAGGGGCCACAGGAGAGTGCAGGGAAGACCAGGGATGGTGACCAGTCCTGCACACCTGGGCTGCTGTTTTCATCTCATTTAGAATCATCCTGCACCTCAGCAGGACAAGCAATGCAAATGGCAGTGGCCTGGGGGCAGCCCTGTGGGGGCAGCCAGATGAGCCAGCTTGGGCTCTTCTCATTTCTGGGTTTTACTGAATGGCACATCTGGTACTTAAAGGGCTGACATACACAAACCATGTGATGGAAAGTTTGCTTTACTCCATCAAAAACGGTGTCCCTCACTGCTGGCCGCTGACACACAAGCCCGCCCTCCTGGTGCTCACAGCCCAGGAGTCTGTCAGACCTCATGTGGTGAGGGGACAGTGCTGGGCTAGATGTAGGCTTGGAAGGCACCCTCTGCGCTGCAGCTGCCCTGAACAGGTGTGTCCAGGGGCAGGGCCTTGCTGTGAGACCACCCACAGAGGCCACATCTTTATCAAGGACCTGCTTCTCTGGGGTTGGCTGATGGGTGAGCCTAACCTGAGTCCACAGTGTGACTAGGGGAGAAAGGACCACTAGGTTCTGGACTGTCCTAGAGGGCAGAAGTCGGGGAGCAGAGTGGTAGTCAGTGTAAGGAACTGGCATCTGTCCTGTCCCTGCCCTGCGTGGTGTTTGGCCGTGGCTTTCACAAGGCACAGCGGCAGGCCAGGCCCTGTGTGGCCCGCATGTTGCCCAGGCTGGGAGGCACCCCACCGGCGAGGCTCGGTGTGACTCCCTCCACCCTTCTCACGGTGCTGACTGGGGCTTCCCCTGAGGAGGAGCAAGGCAGTGGTGCCTGGGGAGGGAGGCCAGCTGCTGGAGGCAGGGCCAGCCCTTCTAGCAGAGGCCCTGGTCTCCTCGCTGTCTGGCAGGATGAGTCACCACCCCAGGTGGTGTAGTCTGCCCTGCCCTGTCCAGGCCGGGGTGCTTGGCTGTCCCTTAGGCAGCCCTGTGGACCCCTCACTGGGGGTCCAGCAGCAGTCAGCCCTAGGTCCCCTCCACCACTGTCAACTTACTTTCAGCATCCTTGTCGCTGTCTTTGGGGAGCTGGAGGACCACGTGGGTCTGCTGGGGGGCCTCTTCTGTGTTCCCGAGTGGCACTGGGGTTGTGGGTTCTAGGAGAAGCCAGGCGACCACATGGCACCCTGCTTCACTCGCAGGTTCCCAGAGGGCTGCTTCTGAGCCGCTTCCCGTCCACCCCTGGCTCCCCCAGCTCTGGCACCAGCCCTGCGGCCCCAGAGCTGCATCCCCATGGGATCAGGCCCCACTCTCCTTCTGCCCCTCAGCAGGGCCCAGCTCCGACTTCCCAGGCCCCATCAGGCTGCTCCACCAGGAGCCTCACCCTCCTCACGACTGGCGCTATGGCACTGTCCTTCCTAGGGTCAGACTCTGCCTGCTCCTTCCCCCACCCCGGCTTCTGTGTCTGCCCTACTCTGCAGGCTGTGCTCAGTGGGATGTCACCTCCGTACAGTGTTCTCACTGTGCCCCTGAGCATTTTACATTTGTCCCCACGGCTAGAGTCCCATAAGCTCTGCCTCTAGACCCCAGAGCTCACCCTGCCCACCACCTGGATCCTGTGCTGAGCCCGACCATCCTGCCCCCACAGGCCCTTGGCCTGGCCTCTCCCTCACCTGGCTCACCACATGCAGTGGCCCCTCTGCTGCCCCTCTGCTTTTGGGCCCCCGTGCCCTGCCCTCCTCTCCCTCTCCTTGGAGATTCCCACTGAACCAGTGATGAGGCTCTCTGCTGGAGAGTCCCGTGGGGATTCTTCTACCCAGCAGGTCCTGCAGCATCTCAGGGAGCTCTGAGTTAGTCATACGGGAAGCCTGCCTCAGGCAGGTTCCTAGACACCCCTTCACCTGTGGGCTAGAAGGCACAGGGCCTCTAGGCTCAGACGCCTCTTTTCTGCTGGGCCAACCTTCCAAGGGACGGTCTGTAGGGGTGCCCATGTCTTGTGGTGCTGGGCGAGGCGGAGGCTCGTCAGGCCTGAGCAGGAGCCCAGAGGCCCCAGGTAGCTGCATACTCCTGGGACAGGGACGTGTTTCCCTTGTTTCAGGATAGTGTGGCCAGAAGTTCTGGGCAGGGTCCATCCTTCTGGAAGCTCCCAGGCAAGGCTGCTGGTCCAGGGACCACGTTTTGAGTAGCAAAGAATGAGAGCACCCAGCCTCCTTAGCAGAACTGGCAGGCCACACTTGACAAGCAGAGCTCCCAGTGCCTAGACCTATGGCTGACGGTCTTCTCTGGCATGTCAGCAACCTGCACCTCCAGCCCACAGGCTGACCACGTGGAGACCTCACCAGCCCAACCCTCCGTTGTGTTCAGTGTGTGCTGACCCCAGGACCCAGAGCCTTGCTCGTGGCTGGGGCTGAGGCCCTGGCTAGAGACAGGGTGGGGTACTGGGGGTCTTCAGGACCAGGCCTTGCCACTGTCACGGTGGGACAAGAAGTGGGTGAGAGTGGCCGGGTGGCCACTTGAGCTGCCCTGAGCTGGTGCTGGGAAACGTAGCACTCACGTGGTCTCTCTGTGGCTGAGGTGATGGGCAGGACCCCGAACCTGGCACTTATTCTTCTTCTTCCGTCCACAAGCTCCGAGAAGCTGCAGAGGGTGGGAGGGTCACGAGGGTTGCAGTGTCCCTTGGGTACCCTGGGGTGGCGACTGGGACAGGTACCTCGGGGGCGGGGTTGGTGTTCCGGGGGCGCCGTGGGTGTTGAGTAGACGCAGCTCTGGCAGGTGCACTGGGGGCGGTCTGTTTCTGAGCACCCGTGGGTGATGTCCTCCCTGGTGCCAGCGTCTGTCAGTGCCATCTCTGGGGGCTGCAGAGCAGGTGGGAGGAAGGGGAGTGGCCACGCTGTCCCCGGCATCTGACCCTGCTGCAGAAGGGGCAGCTCACACTGCCAGGCTTGGGGAAGGGGCAAGAGGTATGTGTGGGCCTGAGAAGCCCGTTGCCCCACAGCCTCTGAGGAGGACCGCATGTTGACACTGTGACGTGCTGGGCTCCGGACCTGGACCCCGGCTGCTCCTGACCCACCTCCTCAGGCCAGGTTCCCACCTCAGGTCCAGGCCCGGGTACCTCCAGGCCGCCAGGGCCTCTGTCCTCCACAGGGCTGTGACGCGGTCCTAGTGCACAGCTGGCCTGCCCTTTCTACCTGGCAGCTGTGCCCAGAGCCGGATAGGGTGGCAGGGCTGGGTGTGAAACCTCACAGCCTGTGCTGGCTGGCAAAGCATCTCCTGGGCCCGGGAGGCCGAGGCAGGATCTAAGAAAAGCTGGGTCTGCAGTTCTCTCTCGCTGTTCCCCTGATGTCTCACCTTGCACCTGCACTCCCCAGAAACCCATCTTCCCACAACAGCACAAGACAAGTGGGGCCCAGTGGCCCCTGGCAGGACCCTCCGCACCGGGAACAAACCCGGTCCTTGGCCTGGTGCCTGAGCCTCCACACCCCCGCAGCTCTGCCGCCTCCTCATGGCGCTTCCTGCTGCTCTCTCCCACGCTGTGTCCAGAAATGACTGTGGGCTAGGCCTGGGTGGCCCCTGAGGTGCAGCTGATTCCCTCTCCTTCCTGCTCAGCCCGCCTGGGACCTGCCCCAGGAGCTGTGCGAGACGGGGTTCATACGCTTCTTGTCACTGTCAAACTTTAAGTCCTGAGGTAGGACCAGCCTCCGATCACGCAGGCTCCTCTGTGTCAGACTGGACCTGTTTCTAGGTGGTCCAGACCAGTGAGGGGCCTGGGGGCTGATGACCACCCGCATTTCCTGGACAAGGACTGTGTCCACGGGGCTGAGCACACACCCTCTGGCCCTGGCCTCACACTCACACGTGATGATGTAGAGGTGTGCGGGCTCGCTGTGCAGCTGGCCCTGCCCGCTGCTCTGCACAGCCATCACCGAGAGCTGGTACCGCCGCCCTGGCAGCAGATCCCGAACAGTGTAGGACACCAGCTTCCCGTTGGGGACGTAGCGGCTCTTGGTGCTCTGGCCTGTGGTCACGTTGATGACATATGCCTCCAGTGATGTGCCTGGAGTGGGGGTGTCCCAGAGTACATGGGCAGAGGTGGCTGTGACTCGGGAAGCCGTGAGGTTTGCTGGAGGCAGGGGACCTGGACAAGGCAGGGACAGCAGAGGAGGTGATGGGCAGGTGGTGGTGGGGCTCTGACAAGAACGCCAGGTGGGATCTGAGAGGGTCACTGAAGCCTCACCTGAAGCCAGGCCTGTGACTAGGGACAAAGGTGCAGTTCTGAGAATGGCGTCAGAGCCCACTGCTGCAACCAGGCACAGGCAGCGAACCCGCCATCCTCTGGGGTCCCAGTGCCAGTGCCACCACGAGGTGGGCCATGGACAGTGGACCAGCAGCTCAGGGCCCGGGGAGGCAGAGTCGTCCCTGCTGGGCCAGCTCTTCACAGACTCACCACCCTGCCCACCTGCCCTCCCCATGTAGTGGCTGTTGTGCTCTCCACACTTGGGGGTGGACTTGGGGCCAGTGACACCAGGGAGCTTAGAGTGGGCTGTCACATGCTCCAAGAGCCCGGGACTGTGTGTGCATCCTTGTACTCTCTGGTCCGTGTTGAGTGGGAAACTGACCTGAGGAGCTGCCAGGTGCTGAGGGCAACATTGGACATGTCCCCAGTAGAGGACCCAGACCAGCCTGGTGCAGGGACCCTCCTGATGGTCTAAGTGGAGAGGCCTCAGGGAGTCTAGGTCTGAGCTCACGGTGCTGTGCACACTCTGGAGAGGGCTGAGGAGGCTGGCCGGAAGCAGTCCTCTCCAAGGGTGCCTGTGGGGCAGAGGCCACACTGGCCTACTTACGTGTCCACACGTGCAGTGGCACGGAGGCCAGGCTCTCTGTAGGATGCTCTGCTCCCCCAGGCCCACTGAGGGCGGCCACCCACACGGTGTATCTCCTTCCTGGCAGCAGGGCCCTGCCGTGGGGAGGAGGACAGGGACATGTGAGGGCCCGTGGCCAGCTCTGATCACCAGGGGTGGGGCCTACTGTGGCTGGCAGTCCTAGGTGCTCCTCTGGTGGGAAGCCCCTCCACTGTCTGGGCTAGTGAGGGACTGAGCAGGGTCCTGTGCTGAGAGCAGCCACACTGTGGTCAGAGAGCTGATGTTCCCTGTGTCCCTTCTCTGAGTGGGTCCCAGCTCCCAGTGCCACTCTGTGCTCAGTCCCCCTGGTGAACCTGGCTGGGGGCAGTCCTGGGACAGAGTCAGCAAGTGCCCTCCGGGGCCCTGCTGGTGTTTCTTCCATAAGCCACATGGGGTTCTTCTGTGGAAGAAGCTGGGATGTGGATCAAGGGAAATCACAGCAGAATTTGAACAGTGAACAGGAGAGGGATCTGGGCAGATGTGGGGCAGGAAGCCCTGGGAGGCTGCCTCGCTTTCCTGTCACTCTGGACTTTGATGAGGGCCTGCCGCTCCCGAGGAGGTGGGGTGAGAGCCTGTGGTGGCTCTCCATCAGTCGCAGCGCTCAGCAGAGCGGCCTTGCCCTCCCGCCTCGCCTGGTGCGCCTGGGTCAGCCCGCACACAGCCCACAGGAGCCAGGAGGCAGAAGATCCTTTCCCCAATAGCAGGGAGCACAATGTTGCTTCTGCTCAGAGGTGGGACACAGAGACAGTGCTGTGTTGGCAGCCCCTCCCTCCAGCCAAAGTGACTTGGTGATTTGAAGGCCAGTGCCCTCCTGCTTCCAGCCAGACATCAAGGACAAGGATATTCGAAAGCAACTGCTGGTGGCGGGAAATGGGAAGGTAGCTCCTCAGAGACTGTCCCGGCAGGGATGGCTTACAGCAAAGCCAAACAAAACAACCGAGACCTGAGTCTAAACCAGATGAAAAGAGCAGGGGCCCTGTCTAGTGGCGCAGGCCTGCCACCTGCCACCCAAGCCACTCTGGAGGCTGAGGCAGGAAGACTGCAAGTCCAGGCCAGACCTACAACTTAGCAGACCCTGTCTCAAAATAAAAAAACAAAAAGGGGATGTAACTCAGTGTGGAGTGCCCCTGGGTTCAATCCCAGCACTGGGGAAAAACAGAGGGGACATCAGTTCCAAGGGTGCCATGTCATTTGATTCAAATTCAGTTTCAACAACAATAACAACAAAGTCAGAGTGTATCAAGAAACACGGCACATTCAAAGGAAAACAGAAACTCCCTGAGAAAGATGGCTACCTCTACTGGAGAAAGACTCTGAAGTGACAGCCCTGGAGCAGCTGAGAGAAGTAAGGGGGTGTGGAGCGAGGAAGGGAGCCCTGTGACCAGGAGGGCAGAGAAGGGGCTCCGCAGAAACCAGCGGGCCCGGGGAGAGCAGGCAGGCTGGTCTGAGCACCGGGGACTGTCTGCTTGCTTGGGAAAGAGCACACACTGGGGAAGGGTCTTGGCACATAAGTGCAGGTGATTCCAAGGTACCCGGGTAGGGTACCCAGGAGTGGGGCTGCTGGAGGCCACCTGGCCTTGCCATGGTCCCCAAGCTCGCCCTGCAGCGCTCACCTTCTGCATGGCCCCTCTGAGCCCCCTGAGCTGGGCACTGCTGAGATGCCTCCACCTGCTCCCTGGGAATGCCCTTCACCCTGTGGACACAGGAGCCACAGGAAGCTGCCAGCCAGATGCCCCTCCAGTTTCTCTGCCTCCCCAAGCACTGCTGGAGCAGGGGTCCAGAACTTGGCCTCTGGCAGGTGGACCCTGGGACTGGAAGAAACCTGGCCGCCCACCCCCCATGACTGGTTTCCAGCAGCCAAGGTGCTGCCCCAGGACCCTGAAGCTCTCTGGGCACTTTGCCGTGAGGCGCTCCTTAGATGTCCTTGTGAGGAAGCAAGGCAGGGGCCGTCCCAGAACCAAGCTTGGCTTTCCCGGGCCCCAGACCCTCCTCCCAGGCAAGGGACAAGCCGGTGCACAGACCCAGAACAGCTGAGACCTTGTGTCCCCCAGGAGCCACCTCTTACCCAAACGTGAGTCGGTCCACGCTCTTGTCCACCTCGGTGGATTGGGCCTCGGTGGCCTCAGGGTGGAGAATGGACACTCGAATTCCACTGACGGTGGCATGATGGATCCTGTGCAGAGCCCACCGCACTGAGATGGCATCAGCTGACACGTTGGTGACCTCTATGTCCTCAATGGGGCGGGGGCCTGGGGGCAACAGATGGTTCAGCAGACACCAGCACATTCATGCTTCTGGGGAAGCAGGGCTTGAGACAAGGCTTGAGAGGCTGCTGGGGTCACCGAGAGGCCACTGGTGAGAATTGTCCCCTCAGCAGCCCAGCAGGGATTTGGGGTAGGGGAGGTGCCCAGGTTCCTCGCCTCCAGGATGGCAACTGCGGAGGGCCCACTGTGGGCACCCTGAGCCAGCCAGGCCCTTAGAGGCAGGCGGAGTCGCCTCCCTCTTTAGATGTGACAGTGACGTGCAGAGGGTGGGGTGAGGGTGGGAGTCCTTCCTGACCCCAGTGAACCAGGGCACCCTCTCTTTCCTTTGTGCTGTTTTGGTCCAGCAGTTAACATCTGGGCAGTGCTGGGCCCAGGGGATGTAGGCTGCAGAGTCTGCAGTGACCACAGGGAGGGGAAGCTCGGGAGCTCAGCCCCTCACCTTCTGTGTCCTCAGAAGCTTGAGAGCTGCTGCTGAGAGGCCAGGAGAGCCTAGAGGGCTCATGGCACAGTGCCCAGCCTGGTGGATGTGGCGTGGACAGTGGCCCTTCCCACAGGACCCTGGTCTCCAGTGGGGGCAGGGGAGAGACGCAATCTCTTCCAGATGCCTTTGGAGGGCAGACTCCATCTTGGGAAGCCGCCCACGTGCATCTTTCTGAAACTGTGCTCAAGACGAGCTCACCCACCACCAGCCCTCTGATGGCCCTACTGGCCTCCTGCTCAGGACCACCCAAGTGTGCACTGCAGGGCTCCTCCTCTGAATAGAGTGTACTGTGTCCTCAGTGTGTGGGGACCTCTGGCCTTTGCCGCCTTCTGCACAACAGGTCCTCTGGGCCCCCTGCAGTGGGCACAGTGTCCTGAGAACCTTGGCCTGTCCCTTGCTTGCCAGAGTCCAGCCGGGCTGAGCTGTGCCTCCTGGTGTGAGCCTCTGAGCTCCTGCCACTTTTCCCCCCACCTCACCCATCACAGTCCCCGAGACAGGTCCCTGGCTCTCACTGCCTGCTGGGCCAGCGGCAGGGACTCCAGCAGGTGCTGGGTTGCATGCTGGAGCACAGCCGCCCTCACCCCTCCTGGTCCAAGCTCCTTGGCCCTTCCCTCCTTCCTTAAGACTCCAGCACCCCTTCCCCATTCACTGCTCCTGCCTCTCAAGTACACAGGTGTGGCCTCCACGGCCCCATCTGGACACAAACCTCCTGTTGAAGCTGATGCTGGTCACCTGGCAGAGGGCCAGCCCTCGGCCTTGTAGCAGATCCCACTCCTCAGCCACCCATGGGCTTGTTCCAGGGACTCCTCTTCCTCCCTGAATGGTCTCCAGCAGCAGACAAGGGAGCTGAACCTCGACACCCACTGTCACACTCCCCTGATAGCCACACCCTCCTCGTGGACACTGTCTGACACCCTTTCTTGACAGCTCCGGAAGGCTCCCTCTCTCCACCCTCAGTGGCCTGCAGCCTCCCTCCCCTCTTTCAAGTGCTGTTGGTCCATCACGGCCACCACTTAAGCTCCTGCCTCCCGGGCTCTGGAACTTCCTTTGTCTGGCTCCCCAGACTCTCGTGTCCCCCTCCACCCACCCACAAGTGGAGAGCCCATTCCTACAGCTTCGTCCACTGGTCACAGCCCTCAGTGCCCTGAGCTGACACCTCCAGAAGAAGGAGCCACATGGCTCCCAGGCGTGTCCTAGCAGAGATACTCCTCATTCCCACAGGACAGAACCCCTCCCCTTGGCCATGTCCCCTACCCAGACCCTCGCAAGCCTTCAGCTTTCACTTTGGAAACCCGCGCAGGGCTACTGCCCTCAGTACCCGTCTGCCCCCTGCCCGCCGTCTGGGGGCCTGTTCTTTCCTGCATTTGCCTTGGCCTCTGCCTTTGACGCCTGCTCCTGTGAGAAGCTCGGCCCCTGCCTGCTGACTCCCTGTGTGGGGCGGAGGCCGTGCTGACGGGCACTCACGTGTGCGGGTGAGCAGGGCTGCAGGCCTGCTGATGTCATTCTTGTTGTTGGTGTTGCGCTTGACGGAGAAGACGGAGATGTTGTAGGCCCGGCCTGCCGCCAGAGCCCTCAGCTGGTGTGAGGAGCGGCTCCTGTCCACAAAGTCCGTGCGGCGGTAGGAGCCGTCGGAGGAGACGTAAGTGACCGCATAGCCATCGAGCACCTGCCTGGTGGCAGGGCCCTCGGGTGGGCTCCAGGAGATGGAGACCCCACTCTCCTCCACTCTCTCCACCCTGAGGGCCGTCGGTGGAAGGAGCTCTTCAGGGTTTGGGCCAAAACACAAAAGAAGGGAGTGGTGAGCTGCTGCAGGAACCCTTGTCCCTGTCGGGCACCCCTTTTCGGACCCTGGGCCGGGACAGCACGGTGCTGTGGCAGGGAGGCTCACCCTCGGCCCTCCCCCTGCAGTCCTTGGCTGCTGCCCGCACTGGCCTCCCGGAGGGTCACCCCCCTCTCCCTGCTTCTCAGGAGAGGAGCCTGGGTAAGCAGTGGCCCGTTCTGCCCTGGGGGCCTCTAGGTCCCCTGCCTGCCCCCTGGTGAAGGGGATTGCCGCCCCAACCCCAGCTCCCTGTCTCTCCCTCTGAACCCCTAACTGCTCACCTTTGGCACAGTCCTTGCCTGTGAAACCCACTTTGCAGGTGCAGCTGTGGGACCCATTGATGGCCAAGCAGTAGCCGCGGCCCCCACAGGGGCTAGAGAAGCAGGGGTCACTCACTGAGGTGGGAAACAGCAATGAGGCCCAGTGTCCTTGGGTCCCCTTGCTCCTGGGAACTGGGCTGCTCCCAGGTGAATGGGTGTGGCAGGGTTGGCCCAGTGACAGCACCTGCCTCCCCATAGCTGATGGTGGTGGTCAGGCCCCTCCTGGCCATGAGTTGGGCCACCACACTGTAGCTCCTGTCGGAGGGGAGACTCAACACAGGTAGGGAGAGGCATTCCAGATAACGCTGGGGAGGCAGTGGACAGCGGGGCTACTGCGGACAGGGGCCAGGGAGGGCATCACCTGGAGGGCCCCTGCTGTGGGCTAATTGGGGGACCGTTCCCGACGGGAGGGACAGAGAGTGTCTGGTCTGGGCTACAAGGAGCTTGGCCTGTCCAGGGACAGCAGGGCCAGGGCTGGACATGAGGCCACAGAGTGGGTGTGTGCTCAGGGTGTCCAGGACTATGGTGAAGGTGAGGGCTACACACGGTGTGTGTGTGGGGGGCTCTTGGAAAGCACCGTCTGGGGGCCAAGGAGGTCAGAGGAAGGGCCACCTGCCCAAGGACTGAGGAGGCCCTCCCAGGGAGTGGGCCTCAGGCAGGCCTGCCACCCTACCTGTCTCACAGTGGTAACCGAAGAAGCCCTCGGGGCAGACGCACAGGTAGGCCCCACCGCCGTTCTCACACCTCCCTCCGTGCTGGCAGGGGCTGGGGTCACAGGCATCCACCTCTGGAGAACACCCAGAGGGTTGGCCCGCGCAGCAGGGGGGGCTCTGGGGGAGGGAGGAGAGGACAGCAGGAAGAAGGGGTAGGGGGAAAGGAGCATTGGCCGAGAGAGGGGTGTGGGGAGCCCACGGGGTGGAAGGGGCTCCTGGGGAATCCCCCTCAGCCCTCCCCACAACTTCCCTCCCAAGGTGGCCAGAGCCCTGGCTGTCACTCGCCCTGGGTGTCCAGCAGGGAACGGGACCCCACCACCCCTGATCTTCCAGAGGCCAGGCTCTGTTTGGGGACCCTCCCAGGAGCCCCCACCTGTCCCTCAGTACACTCCAGTGAGGCTGCAGAGCCCTGGCTCGCAAGTGGCAGGGAGGTCCCTGCAGGAGCCCCCGTCCCTGCAGGGCTACGCTCTGCACTCATCTGTCTCTGAAGACAAAGTCCAGGCACCAGCCTGTCCCTCAGGACTCTGGCTGCTCCTGGAGGAGCCTTCAGCCCCAGGGTCACCACTCTGCATCTGGGCCTTTCCTCCACGAGCCCTCGCTCCCCTTCCTAGGTGCGCCACCTCCACTGCCTGCCCCTCCTCCTAGGGACCAGTGTCTCTGTTTGGGCTTAGAGTCAAAATCATAAGGGGCATAGTGCTCATCCAGCCACGCTCTGGCAGGCCTCCCACCTCTGCCAGCTGGCAGCAGTGGACAGGGGTGAGGCCATCCCCACCTGCCCTCAGGCAAGTGTCTCTCAGTTGAGCTCTTAGTCCCCAGGATAGGAGGAGGCAGAGATGTCTGCAAATCTCTGTCCTGGACACTAGAGCTGGCAGGAACTTGGGGAGCAAGAGGTGGCCAAGCTGGCCATCTGGACAGAGACCCATCCAGGGGAGGAATGACTAGGGCAAGGAGGCTGTGCCAGGGCCCCAGTGCCTCCAACTGTCACACCCAGGAGTCTCTTACCCAGTTCACAGTGGGCTCCCTCATAGCCTCTGCTGCAGAGGCACAGGTACCCGGCAACGTGGTCCTGGCAGGAGCCCCCATGCAGGCATGGCTGAGACCGACACTCGTCCACTTCTGAGGGAGGAAGACCCCAAGAATAAAGCCATGTGCCCTTAGTTAAGCCAAGTTCAGATGAACACAAACTAGTGCTGAGGGTTCAGAGTCCATGACACCCTGTAGTTCTTGGAAAGGCCAACACCAGGGGCCAAGCCCCTCGGAGGGAGGGGCAGGTTGTAGCCCCAGGACTCAGAGCCTGGCCACGGCTATGAAATTATGGGGATGATCATGGTCATCTTAAGGGCTCACGGAAGACACTGCGGATTTAATTCCAATTTTGGATAGGTCCAAAACACACGAGGTTTGGCAGAAAATGTTCCGTGTCAAATTTTGCCATTTCAGTATACAACAGTCCTGTGTGAAACCAGTGTATTTGGAGGCCAATCTGGTTCTGTGTGGTGAATCTGTATGGTGAATCTTTTAAACTGGGAGTTGTGCTCCTGAGTTCAGATGTTCAATCTGAGGAAAGTCTAATGTCAACACCTACAAAGCGAGTGAGCAGGAACGGCCTGGGGGGCCGGAGCCAGCACCCGCCTGGGAGCTGGGCGCTCTGTGCCCTCGCACTTGGGCTTCCTCCCTCCTCATGGAACTGGCTTGCAAGTATGATTTCTTTGCCTTTTAAAAACCCTGTGAATGGCTAGACAATGGGCGGTTCTGCTTTTGCCTGTGACCTGTACTAGTGGAAGATCACAGTGTGTGTTCTTTCCCACCCAGCATTTTGACGGTGGTCTCTGCGGTGTGTGACCACCTCAGACTCATCCTTCCTTGTCTGGTGGACACTCGTGTTGGTTCCAGACTATGGCAATGACAGCAGATGCTGCAGCAAGTACCCCACCTGCCCCCAGTATAGATGTGCAAGTGTCTCCAGATTTCCCCCAAGCTGGGTCGCTGAGGTTAGCTCAACAGGCCAGTCACCACATCCAAGTGCTCATACTGACTTCCTCTCATCCCGCCAGCCATCTGCAAAACACCGCTGGCCCACATTCTCACCAAGACAGGCTTCTTAGACTTCGGAATTTTGCCAACAGAATGTCTCGTTGTACTTCTGATTTGCATTTTCCTAATTACTAATGAAGTCGACTTTTCATGTTCGTTGTCCACGTGTCTCTTCTTCCACCACAGGCCTGTTTGTGTGTCCTGCCTGTTTCCATACTGGTTGATTGTTCTCTCCTATGGACACATTGGCATTTTTCACACCATCTTGAAACAGCTCCTCATCAGTGCGCATGTGTGCTGGCATGTGCCTCTGTACCCTCTTGAGGTTCCAGCTGACGTTTCACTTCTCACTTAAGTTCCTAGTTCTTGCAGGAACAAGTTAGTCCATTCATTTCTTTTATAAGTGCATTTTGTGGCTTTCCTTAACCAAAAGTAAAAAAGATATTTACCTATATTCTACCCACATAATTATATAGATTTTGTTTTCGTTTTGGTACCAGCTCATGAGCTATTTCAAAACATCATTTACAATATGGGGATGGTGGCTCACACCTGTAATCTCAGCAACTTGGGAGGCCGGGGCAGGAGGATCACGAGTTCAAAGCCAGCCTCAGCAATTTAGGGAGGCCCTAAGCAAATCAGTGAGACCCTGTCTCAAAATAAGCTTTACAAAAGGGCTAGGGAGACAGAGCACTAATCTCCAGGGTATATAAAGAACTCAAACACACACCCCCACCCCCCAAATAACCCAATCAGTAAATGCACAAAGGAACTGAACAGGCACTACACAGAAGAAGAAATATGATTGTCAACAAATATATGAAAAAATGTTCAACATCTCTAGCAATTGGAGAAATGCAGGTTAAAACTATCACTGAGATTCCATCTCACTCCAGTCAGAGTAGCAATTATCAAGAATAACTATAAATGTTAGTAAGGATGTGGGGAAAGAGGTTCACTTATACATTGGGACTGCAAATTGGCGCAACAACTCTGGAGAGCAGTATGGAGATTCCTCAGAAAATTTGGAATGGAACCACCATTTGACCCAGCTATCCCACTCCTGAGTTTATACCCAAAGGACTTAAAATTAGCATATTACAGTCACACAGCCACATCAATGTTTATAGCAGTTCAATTCATAATAGCTAACTTACGGAACCAACCTAGGTACCCTTCAACAGATGAATGGATAAAGAAAATGTGGATGTATACACAATGGAATATTACTCAGCCATAAAGAGAAATGAAATTATGGCATTTGCCAGTAGTAAATGGATGGAATTGAAGACTATCATGCTAAGGGAAATAAGCCAACCCCAAACAAGAAACCAAAGTCCAAATGTTCTCTCTGATATGTGGATGATAACACACAATAGGGGGTGGGTAGGGAAGACTAGAGTACTTTGGTTTAGACAAAGAGGAATGAAGGAAAGGGAGGGGAAATGAGAATAAGAAAGATAGTAGAATGAATCGGACGTAACTTTCCAATGTCCATGTATGAATACAAGACCAGTGCAACTCCACATCATTTATAACCAGAAGAATGGGAAGTTGTACTCCACGTATGTATATGTTAAGATGTACTCTACTGTCATGTATACAGAAAAGAACAAATTAAAAAATAAATTACTTAACAGTGATAAAAGGGCCAGGCAGGGGGAGCTGGGGATGTAGCTCCGTGGTAAAACACCCCTGGGTTTAATCCCTGGTACCAAAGAATAGAATACAGTAGCTCAAATCTGCATGGAGATTTTAAAATGTACCTTGCTACTACTAACTTTTTTTGCTTGTTCAGAGAATGCATTATCTTGGGTGTTCACCTGCATAACAGTTCAAATCTTCTACCTCTCTGCTGTTTGTCTCCTTAGCCTGCAACCAACCAATTGGGTACACATTTTTAGATTTTAAGTTTATTTTAATATTTATCCTTTTGGGGATTTGCTGAGCTGCTTGGATCTCTGTGTTGACATATTTCTTCAGTTTTTAGAAAAAAAAAAAAAATCATTCTCTCTCTGAATATCTCTCTTATCTACTGTGTCATCTATCACCGGGGCCCAGTTACGGACTTGTTTGCGATCGCCCACAGACATGTGATCTCTGCCCGATCTTCAGCATTCATCTTTTCATTATTTGTCTCCGCTCATCTCCCCTCTGATCCACAGATGAAGAAGCTCTGTGGTCCTGGCTTTGAGTCCAGCTCAGTCTTCATTTCAGATTGCACTTTCAGTCCTAGAATTTCTGTATTGTTACATTTAAATCTTTCCTTTTCCTGGTTGGGTTCTCTATCATTTCATTCATTTCACCTCTTTTCCCCTCTGTCTTCTGAGCTACAGTGGCGTTTTAAATTCCTTGTCTGTGAATTCCAACATCTGGGGCGCATGTAGGCCTATCTGGATTGACTATTTCCTTCTAGATTACCATCATGATTCCTTGCTTCTCAGACACAGTTTGGACAGAAACAGCAGGGCCTGGGAGTGGGGCTCACAGCACAGTGAGGGCCTGAGTTGCTTCTCAGCCCTGCAGCACACAAAGCCAGTGGAGACTTGGGTGACCGCTCCTCCCTGGAACGAGCCCTATCCTGGGTGAGGCAGGTGGGCCGAGCAGCTTCTCACTCTCCTTGATGCTCCCAGGGGCAGAGCTGGCTTGGCCTGCAGCACCACTTCAAGTGGCTTCAGTTTGCAGTGGCTGTAAACACTCAGACCTCTCTCTCTAGAGCTGGCCTTGGATCCTGGCTTTGCACCCGAGAAGGTCATGTGGGGAGAGCCAGTGGGACCTGAATCCCTGCGGCTGTGCTCGGCGCCACCGTGCTTGCCCACAGTATCGAGTGCTGGCTGGACTGCTGTGCTCCCCAAGGCACCTGCCCATGCTGGGGAGAGACGCACCTGCAGTCTTTCTCACCTGCGAAGGGCTTGCCCAAACTGCTTGCACCCCAGATCCTGGACAGGTCAGCAGACATGATCCTAGGCTTGGCGGTGTTTCTTCCAAGTCACACCAGAATGCCAGTGTCCATATGATCAATGTGTCTCCTTGGGGTTTAAACCACCTCCTGTGGCCTTACTTCTGATGCTGCTGTTGGTTCTTTTTCCTCTGTAACCTGCTCTTCTCTCCAGATGTGCAGATGCTCTCATTATCCCACGGCACCTTTGCATTTCCCTCTGATGTGGCTGGGCTCCCTTTCCTCCTGCGGGATGTGCCATGAGTCCTTCCAACCCGTCCTTCTTCTGTAATCCTGGAATTTAACTCACAGCTGCTAGGAGTTTTCTCTCTTGTATTTATCTTCTCTGTATATCTATATTTCTCTACACATTACGGCTCTCTTCTTCTTGGGTCCCTTTATCCAGGGTGGGCACTGTGCTTCACCCTCCTTTTGATGCACAGTCTTTCCCTCTTCTTCCGACTGTCTTCAACTTATTCTTCATCTATGTCCACTACTAAATTATGTTTATTTCAACTATTGTAGTCTTAAATCCTTTTATTTATACTTTCTCCTTAAAAACTATTGATCCTGTTTTGTATGGGCAACGCCAAGTTGAGGCTTGTGCGCCACTTTGTACTATTTATAGTGCAGTGGCTGTAAGCACTCAGGCCTCTTTCTCTACAGCGGGACTTGGATCCTGTATTTGTACTGTACAATATGAAGCAGGCATGATCTAGAGTGTACTTGCTATTTTGTGCTGTTAGTCTGCTTTCTGCGCTTTCCACTCCCGGGGCTTGCTGTCTCGGGGGCCTCAGGGTCTTTCTGGTGAGCTCCTGTTCTCTTGAGGACACTGGCCTCTCATTTGGCAACAAGCTGGGGAGAAGCAGCACTGGAAAGGTCTCTTGACAGTCAGGCATGAGCCTTGGGAGGTCAGGAGTAGAGGACAGATGGTTGTGAACCAGGCAGTCCATAGAGCTCTTCACCTGGGTAGGGCTGCACAGGGTGGGTTGGGCTTTGGGGACATTTGGGAGATATTAATGGGCTTATGTGCCCCATTCCTGTCTGGATGATGTCACCACCAGCCCTAAGCTTGTTGCTTAGAAATCCTTGTTTTATGAAAACCATGTAAACATCACACAGCTTTTTGGAGGAAGAGCCTGGATGCCTTGGCTTGGTGCAACACTCGTGCCATTGTGTCAGAGCCCCTGCGTCTTGAGGCCGCCTGCTTCCAGGTATGCACCCTAAGCTCCGGAGCAGACACAGGCAGGACCCAGAGGCAGTGCTCTCTGGGGCAGCCCTTTGCCGTGCCCTGCGTGTTGTGGGGGGTGGGGTGGGGTGGGGGGTGTTGTGCAAACACATATCTGACACCACAGGTCTGGGTGGGTGGGAGTACGAGGCAGGTCCTAGCCTGGGTCTGCCTCCTTAGGACCCTGCACTTGGCCACGTCTTGGCCTTGGCGGCTTCATCTGCAGAGTGGGCCTGTAGGAGGTTGACCCTCTGTTCTGAGCTACTCTGAGGATAGGGAAGCCCTTAGTGAGGATGTTCCCGAGTAAAGTTGACAGGATCCACATCCTCAATGCACAGAGAGGAGACAGGGAAGGTGGGGCTGGGCCAGGAGGAAGCTGGCTGGTGGTGGTGGGGGGGTGTCCCGTCCACCCTCCCCTGAGGGCCCACGAAATCACCTAAGCACTGGGGAAGCTGACTCCAGACACCTTGCGGCAAGCAGATGCTGGTGTGGCTGGGGGCACTCAGGCTGTAGCCATGGTCACATGTGTACAAAGCCACCGAGCCCAGGCGAGTTCCATTGAAGCGCATGGTGGCATGCTTCACCTCTTCTGGGCGGCCACAGTCCACCTCTGCAGGAACAAGAGCACAGCAGCCTGTCCAGAGCCGCCATTCCTCTGCTGGGCCCAGGGTCTGAGGAGGCCCAGCTCGCACCCTTCTGGAGCAAGGTGCTGGACTTTTGGGCACTGGCAGTTTCTGAGGTTTCCTTCCTTTTTTCCTTCCCGTCTCTGCCCGGTCCCACCCTTGGCATGGCCCCCAGCCCAGTCCCCTGGATTGCTCACCTGCCTGGCACCGGTGTCCTGTGTACCCTGCTTGGCAGTGACAGGAGAAATCCATGCCTAGATCCTCACAGGTGCCCCCATTTACACATGGGCTCCGGAAGCAGGGGGAGGGGGCTGAAAGAGAGCAGGAGGGTTCCCATCACCAAGTCTCCCGAAGGGCTCTCAGATGCATGGGGGTGTCCTACCTCCTGAACCCAGATCCACCTCCTATTCCTGCAGGACCCAGGCCAGCCCTGCCCACTGGGCCTATATCCATAGGAGAGTTCCCCTGCTGTTCCCAACCCTACCTATCTCACAGTGCCGCCCGGAGAAGCCTGGGGGACAGTCACACTTGTATTTGCCAATGTAGTGGAAGCAGGTACCACCGTTGTGACAGGGGCCGGAGGCGCAGGAGTCTGGTTTCCCTGAAAGCAGAAGGCACCCAGCAGGGTCAGGTGTCACGGCTAGATGCTTCCCTTCACCCCCACCCACTTCCCTAACATCCTAGGGCTGGGAGCCTTCGTGATGGGGTATTCCTGAGAGACACACTCAGGTGGCTGGGATGGGGGCTGGGGGTCTCAGGTGGAAGTTTGGCTCCCTCCCACTCTTCCCATGCTGATTCCAACTGATTGGGCCCAGTTCAGGGCTTGCCAGCCACCCCACTCCATGCTGGGGCCGCACCGATCTCACAGTGCCTCCCGGTGAAGCGGTAGGGGCAGCTGCAGTGGTATTCGCCCCCTGACTCCTTGCACGTGCCCCCATTCCGACAGGGCCCTGAGCTGCACAGGTGTGGCCGGGCTGTGTGGAAGGACAGAGACGATGGTGAGCACAAGGCAGCCCACTGCTCGTGCCTTCTGCCCCTGGCCGGCCAGGCCTGCTTCTCGGCTGAGGCCAAGTTAGCCAGGACATACACGGGGGCAGGGCTTGCAGTCTGTAGACCCCTACTGAGCCTCAGGTGGGCTCTTTGGTGGAGAGCAGGCCCCACACCACAGCACACGATGCTCCCTCCTTCCTGTTTGGCATCTGAAGCGGGGGGGGGCGGGGGGGGGCTGAGTTGTGATTGATGTGACATCACCATCCATAGCAGTGGTTCTGATTCCAGTGCTTTCTTGGCTCCTGAAGTATAGGTTGTGAGGCCTGTGCTTTAAAGGTGTGATTTGAATGGCAGTTGCCAATCAGACCTGTCTGTCTGTCCTCCCATCTTGACCACCACAGCTTGACAGGGCCTAGTGAGTTGGGTCCTTGGATTTCTTGCTGTCCTGCCAGGAAGGCATAGCAAGAGGGGGCCTTCCTATCCCTCAGAGTCCACCCCTCCTCTCCCCCACTCTACACCCTGGGAGGCCTCACAGCTGCATGTCCCACCTCTGAAAGCAGACTCCTGAATCCTCCCTGGGTCCCCCTTGGGGCTGTCCACACCTGTGGCTTCCTCTGCTCTCAGGAGTGGGGCCCCTGAAGGGAGCCTACGCAGTTCCTCAGGTGGGCACAGGGACAATGGTGCAGGGATACTGGGTACTGGGAACCGGGCCTAGGGAGGGGTGGCACGTGCTCTGGGAGCTGTGGCCTCCAGCCCTTACGGGAGGTGGGTTGCTGGAGGAGAGTGCAGATGAGTTCTGGGCAGGGCCCAGGACGGGGGCAGTGGTTCCAGGAGCATATGGAGGAGGAGAGCTCAGCAGGTCTGGCAAAGAACTGAGCAGGGGCCCCTTCTCTTGTGAACCCCCTTTCTTGCTGCAGGGGTAGGAGAGGCCAGAGGGGTCTCAGGGGCCACTGTCAGGGACAGGTGAAGAGCAGCAGAGGTGTCTGGGAAGCTCCTAGGTGGATCAGATAGGGTATTGGCTCTTCAGAGAAGCTCAGGCCTGAGCTGGGATAAAAGGCCTGACCACACTGGACTCTGGCCAAGGGATGCCTGAGATGCTGGGAGATGAAGGCTGTAAAATGTCTACATTCTCCACGTGTAATAAGGTTAACAAACTTCTAATGAAATACTTAAAAAAAAAAAAAAACTACTCAATACAATGATTCTAAGATCTATTTGGAAAAATGCTGAGCAGAAAGAAAGTAAAGCCCGTTCTGAGGGATGCAGATCAGAACAAATGACAAAAAAGACAGTCAAAATAATGAGGCGCTGCTCCGGATAAGTACGACAGAGCAGCATCGCAAGGGGGGTCCCAGAGTGATCCCAGGAAAAAACAGAAGATGCTCGGAAATAGAACTGGGGCCTGCGCACAGGCGCTCTCCAGGGTGCTGACCCCGCAGCATCCCCGCAGGCCCCGCCCCCGGCAGCATCCCCGCAGGCCCCGCCCCCGGCAGCGTCCCCCCCAGACCCCGCCCCCGGCAGCGTCCCCGCAGACCCCGCCCTCCTGGGGCACCTTTCTCGCAGTGCCGGCCGTGGAATCCGCGCGGGCACTCGCACGTGTAGGAGTCGTCGTGGGAGTCACAGGAACCTCCATTGAAGCAAGGGTCTGAGTCGCAGGGCGATGGCAGGGCTGTGGGGGGAGGGCACGCAGAGGCCGGTCCTAGAGCATGTGCTGCCAGGGTCGCCTAGGAATCATGACTGGAGCCAAGGCCACTTAAAATATTCTGTGGACTCAAAGGCTCCTCCCTGGAATTTCTCATTCTTGGTTTTAGCATAATTCACCCTCGCTCTTCATGGGGTAGCACTGAGCTGTGACACTCAGATGTCTTATCATCACTGCTGGCAAACTCGATATATGCAGAATTATGTCACGAGGTTAAGCATCTTGACACTAGCAAATAAATAGTAGGAAGTGCAAATACCCTAATTATGTATGCACTAAGCGGTTCAACAGATCTGCGGGGGGAGGGGCTAGGGAATCCACACTGTTGCCCGTGTCCTGCTCAAAGTCTTTCTCCCTCCGCGCCCAGGAGCTCGCCGCCCACACTGCAGGAAAAGCTGTTGCCAGAGGCCCCTCCACCTGCACGGCTGCTGGACAGACAGCAGCCCTGGCCCTGCCCGCGTGGTGCTGCCTTCTCCTGCAGGACACCCCGCCCCTCCTCTTTGGCCAGGACCCCCGCAGGCCCTTCTGGAGCCACTAACCGTGGGTGACATTGTGGCCCGTGTGGCAGACACACAGGTAGCTCCCACCGTACTCCATGCAGTAGCCTCCGTCTGGGCACTGGGTGTTCATGTTGCAGGGTGTGGCTGTGACTTCTGCAGAGAGGAAGAGGATGCTCCCATGTGGGCCTGTATTCCTGGGGACCTCAGGTCCTCGACAAGGGTGGGGCTGCCCAAGACCCAGTGACCCTGCTAGGGAGACCAGGGTGGAGCACTTCTGCAGCCACTCGCCTCTCCCGCACAGGGTGGCAGTGAGGGTTATGGGACCCTGCTGATAGGGATGCTCCACAGAGCAGGATGACTGCCCCCACCTCCAGCACGACACCTACCAAATTCACACAGGAGTCCAAAGAACCCTGGGGGGCACTGGCAGAAGGTAGTGTTGGTACCCAGGCACCTGCCTCCGTTGCGGCACTCACAGTCACTGGGGATTCCTGCCACAGGGAGGGAGAGGGTCCTATTGTAGGGGCACAGAAGATGGGCTCTCCCACCTGCCCTGCCTGGCCACCCTCCCACAACCACTGTGTGTACACACACGTCCTCACACACCTTCTCTCGGGAGCTTCCTGCATGCACACCCTATGGAAGGACCCTCCCTGCTTTTGCTACCCCTGGGCAAAGCTGGGTCCTCCTGCCCCAGCCCTGGGGTATAATCCAACGCACTCTCCGTGCAGTCCAGGCCCATGAAGCCTTCCGGGCACTCGCACACGTAGCCCTGGTCCACATCCACACAGGTGCCCCCATTCTGGCAGGGGGCAGAGAGGCAGGCGTCAGGCACTGAGTGGCTTCCTGCAAGAAAGGCCGTGGTCACAACTGGCCACTCAGGAGTGGGGAGAATGCAGGCTCCCCCCAGGAGGAGAAGAGCCACGATCTGGCTGCGTTTGCACCTCTGTTCTCAGTGTCAGGTGGGACTTTAAGCCAGAGGCTTATTTTCTGGAAAACGATTTATAGCTGCTCTGCCCCCTGTAGCTCAGCACCTGCCGGCTCCTTCCTGGTTTCCTGGAAGTGCATTTCCTGCTATAAATTTTAATACCTGTACGTGCAGCTCTGGGAAGCCAGCCCAAAGCCAGGGCCCCTAGGCACTCCTGGTCAAACATTCCCCTTGGTAAGATTATTGGGATTTTCCAGGTGTGTTTCTATTGATTCTTAGTTTAGCTTTGTTCTGTCCAGAAAACAATATTTTTTACTGAGCCTCATGTTATGGCCAGCAGTGGCCTATCATGGGGATGCTCCATGAATTCTTGCAAAGAATGTGTGTACTCTTGGAACACCTGTTAGGCCAAGTCCAAGTCTTCCGTAGCCATGTTGATTTTTCATGTGTTCTGTGAATTACTGGAATCACCTGTAATCATGGATCTGCTTCTTCTTGCAGTTTGTCAGGTTTTGTGTCATGTATTTTGATACACATTAGTAGGGCTAACAGGTGCAAGTATACTTAGGTTGTCTTGATGAATTGATCCCTTTACCATTATAAAAGGTTCCCTCTTTTTACTCCTATAACTAAAATTCAAGCTATCTGATATTAATATAGCTACTGCAACCTCCTCTTGATTAGCATTTGATCAATTTTTCAGGTACATTTAAAATTCATCTTTATAAATTAATATACAGTAAAATTGGCATTTTTGGTGTAACTGCTATGAATTTTAACACTGTATAGATTTGTGGAACCCCACCACAACCAGGATACAGAACATCCCATCATTCCAGAGACTTCGTGTTCTGTTTCTTCAGAGGTTCGGACCCCTGATCCTCTGAGCTCCTGGCCACCACAGCTGCCCATCACTGCAGTGTTGCCTCTTCGAGAATGCCAGGTGAATGGAATGTGGCAGAGATCTCACGTGGCCCTGCAAGCTCCTGTGCTGGAGGCCTGGTCCCCAGCTGACGGCACTCCTGGGAAGCAGTAGGAACTTTTGTCATTAGGGTGTGTCCTTGAAGGGGATCCTGGGGCCCTGGTCTATCTTGTCCTTCTCCGTGCTTCCTGGCTGCCGTTAGGTGAGCAGCCTCCTCCACCATGTGCTTCCGCCATGAAGTCCTGCCTCACCGAGGCCCAAAGGTACAGACGGTGTCCTCTGAAACAATAAACCCTTCAAACATGGCCTCCTTTAGGTGGTTTCTCTCAGGTGTCTGTCTCACTGACAAAGGCTGAGTCACACACATGCAGGAATCTCTTGTGACGGGCTTCCTTCCCTAGAGTGCTGCTGAGGTCATCTCAGTGAGTGTGTAAGGATGAGTTCCCTTTGAGACTGAGGGGTGTTTTCCGTTGTCACCACAGTTTATCTGTCCACTCACCTGATGTAGGAGACTTGAGTTTTAGATTTCTGGTGAACATAAATAGACATGATTAAAACACTGTGTAGAGTTTTGCAGTTTTCATTTCTGTAGGGTGAATACCTAGGAATAGGATGCTGGGCCACATTATAGGTGTATGTTTAACATATAAAACTGCCACGTTGTTTTAGAGTGGCAGAACCATTTTGTAGTCACCCCAAATGTGTGCGAGTCCACTGCTCTGTGTCCACACCAGATCATCATCACGTCTTCTGGACACTGCAGTCAGTGTGTGGGGGGGTATCTCATTGTACCCTGGGGCTAGCATCTCCCTCATGGCTACTGATAAGGACGAGAACACCCTCCATCTGTCCTCCACCTGTGTGCTCCTGTGGTCGTGAGTCTTAAGTCTCTTGTCCATTTTATGATTGAGTTCTTTTCCCACAGTTGGTTGCTTTCCCACATCAAGTCCTTTATCAGAGGTGAGTTTTCCAAATATTTTCTCCCCATCTGTATTTTTGTCTTTTCATTCTTTTAACTATGTCTTTCACACTGCAAAAGCTTTTAATTTGGGCAAAGAAGTCTAATTTATCTATTTTTTTTTCTGGTATAGATAATGCTTTTGCTGAGGCCAGGTTACCAATATTTTTTTTTCACATTTTCTTTTAAAAATGTTATAGTTCTACATTTTCCATTTAGGTTTACGCTCCATTTTGAGTTAATATTTGTATAAGGTGTGAGGTTTGAGGTTTTTTTTTTTTTTGCATAAGTAAAATTTCAATCCCATTTGTTGGAAGGATCATCCTTTATCCATTGAATTGCTTTTATATATTTTTCAAAAGTTAATGGACCGTATTTGTGTGAATCTGATTTTGAGTTCTCTCTTCTGTCCCATTGACCCATTTGCCAATAACACGTGGTTGTCTTCAGTGTAGGTTTATAGTTAGTCTTAACACCTGGTAGTGCAAATCCTCAATATTTATTCTTCTTTTTCGAAACTGTTTTGGCTATTCATATAAATTTCCATATAAATTTTAGAACAATCTTGTCTATATCTACAAAAAAAATCCTGCTGAGATTTTGGTTGGAATCCTATTAATTAATCAATGTGGGGAAAACTGACATCTTTACTTTACCATGTTGACTCTTCTCATCCATGAACATGGGGTGTCCAACCATTCACTTAGACTTCCTTTGGCTTCTTTCATCATTATTTCATAGGCTTAATCATACAAATTCTGTGCATTTTGTAAGATTTACATCTAAATTTTTATCTTTAGGGGAACTATTATAAAAGGTATTGTCTTTAAACTTTGGGTCAGATCACACATGCCTAACCTGGGGGAGCCCAAGAGTTCATAAATAGCTTCCTAAAGTTGCTGATCCCAGGTGCAACCTCTGCTCAGCCTCCATGAGCTCTCTGGGTTACTCTTCTTGGTCCCGTGGCTAGAAAGCTGAGCTTTCAATCGCCCTCCCTACCATCTGCTCCTGTGACTGTACTCGTGGTCGGGGGCAGAGAAGGACAGTAACAGGGGTTGCCTATACCCTTTGCAACGGTAGCACCTCCAGTTGGTGAGGAAGGTTCCCTGCTCACACTGTGAGGTCCCCACAGTGGGCCTCCGTGGGCCCTGCTTCTGGAGCCTGGCCACAGGGATTCTGGGCTCTCCTTTGTCCATGTTGTGGACATGTTGCTCACTTTTGGTTTCAGAGTGACTTTGAGTCCAAACTGAGGGGATACCAGAGAGGGGAAAAAAAGTGAACTCACCACTGGCTCGGTGGCACTTCTTGGCTTGGTCTCCTTCCCCAGTCCACCTGCTACTATTTACTTCCCCGAGTCCTCAGATAGCTAGTCCACGCATTCTGTCCAGGTTTACGGCTGCATTCAGTGGGAGAGACATGATAGAGTGTGCTTACTCTATCGCACTCAGGACTAGAAACCCGTCCATCACTCTGAGATGATCTGCACTGCCACGCTTGGTTTGGGTTTCTTTAAACAGTGTCTTGATGGGTTTTGGTTTTTGATTCACTGACAACCTCGTCTCTAACTGGTGCCTTTGGTTTACATCTTACTGAACTACAGATGTGATTAGATTGAACCTGTCGTCTTGTATGAATCTGTGTGTCCTGATGCTCCTTTGTTACTTTTTTCCTACCTCTGGATTGATTAAGCATCTACCATTCTACCCCCACAACTGGTTTTAGTTTATCTTGTTTTTTTACTTGTTGCTCTAGAGATTACAATGTTTATCTTTTACTTACAACTTATCTTTTGCCTTTACCTTTAAGTAATACTATGCCACTTTATATAACATGAGGCTTTTATAATATTATACTTCCATTTCTTCCTGTCTTTTATGCCAGGTTGATAAACTATGGTCCACAGACCAAATCTCGCCTGCCACTCATTTTAAAAATTAAAGATTTTTTTGGCACCCATCTATGCCATACATTTGTGTCTTATCTATGGCTGATTTCCTATCACAATGGCAGAGCTGAGTAGCTGTGACAGAGACGATATTGTTTTCAAGGCCAAAAGTATTTATCTGGTCCTTACAGAAAGTCTGCACCACCTTGTATGATAGTTTATTCCTACCTAGGAATAAATATATCACTACTTCATTTTTCAAACTTTCTTTTTGTACTGGGTATTGAACCCAGAAGTGCTTCACCACTAGTTACATCCCACCCATTTTTATTTTTATTTTGAGACAGGGTCTTGCTATGTCACTCAGGCTAGCCTTGAACTTGCAACCCTCCTGCCTTAACCTCTGTAGTCACTGGGATTATAGGTGTGCAACACCACATCAGGATACTACCTCACCTTTAGAATAAAAATTGCTTATTTTTAAATTGTCTTTAAAGAGCTTTTGAAGTAAGAAAGTCCTTTACCTACAGATCAGTAGTTTCTAACATTCTGTACTTTGTGTAAACCCATAGTTTTTCCTGGGATCATTTTCCTTTCATCTGAAACATTTGACATTTTTACAACACAGATAGGCCAATGAATGCTCTTGGCATTTGTTCATGTAAAAAAGTCTTCATTTCTCCTTAATTTCTGAAAGATAGTTCTGCTCTGCGGATAGTTTTTTCTTTCAGCACTGAAATGATGTCACTCGTGTGTGCTGGTGAGTGCAGCTTCTGGCGAGCCTGCTGTCACCCAGGTTCTCTGGATGTGACGACGTGTCCTTTTGCTGCTGCTGAGACACGTTCCTTGTGCTGGGCCCAGCGGTGCTCACGGGGTATCTTTGTGTGGTTTTCTTTATGCTCTTCGTGAGCACTTGGGCTTAGTTTTCATCAACTTTGGAAGGTACTTGGCTGTCATGTCTTCTGTACTGTTTATGGGACTCCCTCTTCCCGCCTCTTCCTCTTCCGTGGACTCCAGGTGCACATATCCAGGCCTCTTGGGGCTGTCCTGTGGGCCACAGATCACCTGTGCTTCCAGTCCTGCTCTCTGGATGACTTCCTGAGTTGTTTCTATTCCTCTCCCTCCTTCTCGTGCGTTGGACCTCCCTCTGCAGCATCTAACCTGCTGTCACAATCCAGTGTACTCTAAAAATTCAGACATAGTTTTCATCACTACAGTTTCTTTTAAAAATATTTTGTACTTCTCATTATTCCCTTTTCCTCCCTCAACAGTCTTGAGAATATGCAGCATTCTCATATGAGTGTCTAAATATCTATAAGGATGCTCTTGTCTCTGTGGTCTCTGTTTCTGCTGATCTATTTTTCTCCTGGATATAGGTCACGTCTGTCTTCTCTGCTTGCCTGACATCTTTGACTGGGTAGCTTGGGTTCCGGGCCCTGCGTAGGCCTGTTATGCTATTTGGGGAGTGTAGGATGTTCCTGCGTGTGGTCAAGACCTGGGATCCGCTTGATTCTTTTGGACTTCCTTCTGAGGCCGTGGGGCCATCAGCTCAGTCCCCACCTCGGCACGGCTTTCTCCATAGCTGAAGGGCTCCTCCCTGGCCCTGGTGTGGAGAGTGCTCTCCGCTCTGGCAGGTGTGGGTGACTTTCCCAGCCCTGTTGGAGATGGCAGTCGCTTTCTGGTATTCTGTCCTAGCTTTGTGGATCCCCTGACCCAGATCACACTGAAGCAAAGACTCCAGGCCCTTCCTGATCTCACGTCCCCTCCCCCCACCCACAGCTCCATCTGTTCTGCTCTTAGCCCCCAACCTCTGTTTGAGCCTTCAAACTGAATCTTGCTCCTCCACTCAGAGGGCTCCTGACCCGGGAGCCCTCCCTGCAGAGCAGCCTGGGTGCTCCGACAGCGTCTGGGGTGATTGCAGGGCTCTCCTCTCCCCTGCCTTCCTCTCGGGGATGGCAGCCCTAGGCTGTGTGGTCCAGCGGCTGAAGTCAGGGCACTTGCAGGCTTTGCTTGGGAATTTCTAGAGCAGTTAGCATGAGAGCAGCCACTCTGTAGTCTCAAGTTCATCGGTCAGTTCCCATGAACTCTGGTTGGACTGTCAGGGCTTGCACTGTGTACGTAGCTAGCGAACTTCCATCAGTGGTACAAGTGTCAGTTCTGTGGCTTTTGTAGGTTTGGGGATGGAGTCTCCTTTGTTGCCCTGGCCTCAAACTACTGGGCTCATGTGATCCTCCTACCTTAGCCTCCAAGCAGCTGGGGCTCCAGGCGTACACCAGGCACTCTGCCTGTCCTGCTGTTTTTATTATTCACTTCCATTTGCATTATTATGCTGTGTCAAACATGATTTATTTGTAAAAATCTTTGGAAACCACTTAGTGAAACCACCTGAGGAGTGAACTGCAACCCCGGTGTGAAGGCAGCCAGCAGGCCAGGTGCCCCCCGCCCCCGCCCTCTGCACTCCAGCCTGCCCCCTGGGGACGCTCTGCCTGGGTGGCCATGGACATGGAGAAGGATGGAAGGCAGTGTCCATCTGTGTCTTTCTCATGGTTAAATTAACTTCCTTCTTATTTTTTAAAGCCAAAAATGAATTTGAAGAGTCTGTCTCAGCACCCAGGGCACAGCAGCCCCTGCACCTCCAGGATGTCTGCCCCATGGGTGGCCCTGGGGTCAGAGCAGTGCTCAGACACCGAAGCCTTTGTGTTCTCATTTTTTTTTATGGTGCTTCAAAATCTCTAGTTGGCCTCTTCCTTGGTCTACTGTCACAACCCACGTTTAAAACAACAGGAAATGGCAAAAGGTCCCCCTGCAGGCACTGAAGGCCGGCCTCCTTTCTAGCTCCCCGGCGGATTCCGGGTCAGGAAGATGTTAAAAAGCCATGACACTAAGCTGGAAGAGGAGGTGTGTTCTTGCATTTTGCAGAGGAAATCAAGGGCCAGACCTTTCCCTGAGCAAGAGAAGACCCTCACCCAGCCTCACACAGCTTGCTCCCTGCTCTGCAGGCCCCAGCTCAGGAGGGGATGGGAAGTGGGGAGAGGGCAGGGACCTCCCCAAGCCAGAGGCAGATGTGGGGTTCAGCTGGACAGTGAGGCAGGACACGGGCATGTGGCCAGCTACCTGTCTCGCAGCGAGGTCCCTCGAAGGGCTCCACACACACGCAGGTGTAGTTCCCCACCAGGTCGACACATGACCCTCCATTTAGGCAGGGGTCAGAGCCACACTCGTCCACATCTGGGGGCAGCAGAGGTGGGAGGTTGGCTGAGCCCAGGTTGGACACCCCGGGCCCAGCATCTGGCTGGGAGGGGAACCTCTCCCAGCACCACCCACTTCCCCTGGCCCTTCTGCCCCGAGAGTCACTGCTCACCCGTCTCGCAGGTGGCCCCTGTGTACCCGGCCTGGCACACACACACTGCAGAGCCACTCTCCGCCTGGCACTGGCCGCCATTTTGACACTCTGTGCTGTCACATGGGGATAGGGCTGCATGACGGAGGAGAGGACGGCATGTTGGGCGCCTGGCTGCGCTACTGATCAGCAAAGACCCAGGACACCTGCTGAGCCCTCCCTGAACTTGCTACAGCAGCAGAGACGGTTTCTGTGACCTGCGGTGCTGAGGTGGCTGCGATCCGGACACTGGGCTAACCACCGTGTGTTCTACGAATGACTCACATGTGTCAGCGCAGCAGGCTGAGCCCGAGGGCAGGTGGCACCATGCTTTGGTTTTCAGGGGCTCCCTTGTGTAGCTCTCCAAGCACCACCCCACAGTGAGGCTCGGGCCAGGAGGGGGACCCGTCTTTCTTTGTCAAGAGGTCAAAGGCGAGGGGAACCCAAGGGGCCCCAACTCAGGTGCTGGTCAAAGTATGATTATTTGAGGCTGAATTGTCCAGGAACAGCTTCAGAGAGCCAGGCTCTGAGGCAGAGGGCCAGCCCCAGTGGTCTGGAAGCAGGAGTGGAGAGGAGAAGGACCCAGCCCATGCCCGGGCTCTGAGACCCTGGCGTGGGGAGAAGGGGTGTCCTTGGACCTGCTGGCTCAGGAGGCATGGGCAGGTGGAGGGCGGGCTGGGGAGTCTGTGCTCACCCTAGAGCTGGCCCAGGAACTGCAGGAGTCCCTGTCTTCCCGTCGAGCTATCTTGGTGGGCCTCATCTAGGCTCTGCTGATGGTCTGGCCTTGACGTGGGCCTGGGCGCTGACCCAGACACCAGCCTAGATCAGGCTTCATTCCTACTCCAGCATCAGGGCCTGGAAGCCGTGTCTCTTGGGGTCACTCCTCTTGTTCACCCACAGGCAGGACTTTTGTCTAGTGCCTCCCCCCCCGCCGACAGCCTCTCTGGGTGGCCTACAACTGAGGCTGAGCCCCTCCAGGGCCTAGACCTCAGCCTCTCTAACCACGAGTCCAGCTCTCTTGCAGCAGCAAGGTCATGGGGCCTGCTGGCAGGTTCTTCTTACCCGACTCACAGGTGGGTCCCCTGAAGCCAGCTGGGCATTCACAACTGAAGCTGTTGACACCATTGGTGCAGGTCCCGCCATTCTGACACGGGTGTGAAGCACACTCGTTCACATCTGAAACGGGCAGGCTGGGCTTCAGTGGAGGACATAGGGCTGGGAGGAGCCACCACAGCCTTGGGTTGGGGGCGGGATAAATGGCCAAACTGAGCTTGACTCAGAGAAGGCCTCCAGGGACAGCAGCAGTACCCGCCGACCGTCTTCACTGCCACAGAGCCACGGCATTTGCCCCTCAGCCATCCCCACCACAGAGGGACAGAGACCCTGACTCAGGCCTTCAGGGTCACCGCCTGCACCAGCAGCACTCCTGAGCCCAGTGCCACCAGTGGGCCGGTCCCCTCAGTGAGCACCCTGTTCCCCGGGCCAGGACTCACCCAGGTGGCACCTCCGCCCTGTGAAGCCTGCGAGGCAGGAGCACGTGTACGAGGGGTTGCCGGTGACACAGTCATCGATGCACTTGCCGCCATTGAGGCACGGGCGCAGGGCCAGGCACACAGAGGCTGTGGGCATAGGAAGGAGCCCGAGTCTCCCGTCAGCCCCGAGGACTTGGGCCAGAGAGCCGCTCATATACACTATGTCCTTCCCTCCCTTGGTCCCCAAGGCCACCTGGTGACCATGGGCAGCAGCACACCCATGCTCACTGCCCAGGTCCTGGTCTGCAGGGAGCCCTGTGTGACTGAGGGGTGCTGGCAGTTAGTGCCCTCAGGTTTGCCTTTGCCTTTGGTGAAGGCACACCCCCAGAGTCACCCCACAGCCCCAGCTCTGCCGTGGGCGATTCTGAGGCCCAGACGCCCCTCTTGGTTTCCTGGCGTGTCAAAGGAGAGGCTGGCAGTCAGCCATCAGAGCCCTGCTTCTCCTAGCAGGGCTGCCACCAGGAAGGGGCCCCAAGACCTCCACACCCTGACCTGCCGGAGCAGACAGCCACCGACGCGGCTCCCGAGACACTAGCCCAGGAGAAGCAAGGCTGTTGGAACCTGTGGCTGATAAGCACAAATCAGCAGGTGACAACAGCATCCCGAGGACTTGGATTCCTGTTGCTAAGAGGGTCCCAGGGAGACTCCTGGAAGGACCCCGTGCTGCCCGCCCAGCCTCCCTATGCTTGGCCACCTGCTGAATGGGTGCTGCCTGTGGGCCCTGCTTTCTCAGAATCCGACTTCCAGATGTGGATGCGCTGCCTCTCAGCACACACTGACCCCCCTGCTGATGAGCCACGCTCGTGGAGTCCTCAGAGCTGACCCTGGAGCTGGACAGTATGCACGCTGCTGCGAGGCTGGCTTGGAGCATGCAGTGTCCCCGCCCGCAGGGGTATCGGGGACCTGGAGGCCCCTCTAACTGTTCATCCAGAGATCCTGGACAGTGGGCACGAGGGCCCCCAAGGACGGGCAGGACCCTCTTCTGAGGGCCCCTTTCCCCAGGCTCGTACTTCACAGCTCCAGGCCTGGCCTGCCCACAGGACCCCACCTGCACCTTCTCCTCAACCCAACCCCATACCTTGGCCAATGGCAGGCCACCTGACCCACTGACCCACCCAAAGCAGTGGTTGGGAGTGGGTGTCTGCACCTACGTGCACCCTCAACTGCCCGTGCCAGATCCGTGGTGGAGCCGGGAAAGGCTCTGATCTGAGACACCTGGCCTGTGGCTCCCCAGCTTGGGGGTGGGGGCGTGGCTCCTGGACGCCATGCCCACGGAGTGCCCACTCCCTAAGCTCAGACTCCAACTGGGGCCTACTCGCAGTCTGCTTTGTGGGCACAGGCCTCTCCCCAGAGGTGGGCACTCAGGAGTGTCTCCCCGGCCAGGAGATGCCTGGTGCTCCTCCCTCTTGGTCATTGTGTGTGTGCCTGCACCTGCAGCTGGTCTGGCAGGTCCCCAGCATTGTACTGGCTCTCTGGAATGGCGCTAGGGAGAAGCACCCAGCTTGGGGTGGGCTCGGGCCCAGTGGAGGGAGGGGAGGCAGCTCAGGGTGGCCTCGGGCCCAGAGGTGGGAGGAGAGGCCCCAGGAGAGGCCTCTCTGTGGCACCGGCTTGGCTTGTGAGGAGCAGCTCCCCCACATGCCTGGGCAGTCACCTGACGCCCCTGGGCAGTCACCTGATGTCTTGTCTCCCGAGGCTGCACGCAGCAGCACTGGGGGTCCCAGGGTCCACGCTGTCCCAGGGCCGTCTGCTCGTGCAGGAGGGACAAGCCCCATCAGCCTGCACGGTCAGATGGAGGGACCTGGGGACCACCCAGTGTGTACCAGGCACAGGCTGGTCACAACACCAACCCCTAAGAGTGGGCCCACACCTGCGGTCCCAGCCTACATCAGGATCCCATAAGCCCCTGGGGAAACCGGCTCAGGGCCGAGCCCCAGGACCTTCCCAGTTCATGTGCTTCCAGGAGGGTGGGCCTCACGTAGTCTTCACGTGGTCCCCCTGCCCTGGGTCAGCACCCCACCCAGCCCCTCCTGAGGCCCCCATTCCTCAGCCCTCCCCGCCCTGAGCCTCTTACTTGTATGGCCGCAGCCCCCCACGCGCACCTGGGCATCATCGATTCTGAACGCCCAGCGCCCGGGCACACCCACGTTGGTGGTGGTCTCCACCTCTGCGATGTCCGCGGTGCGCGAGCCAGGGATGTTGAAGTAGCGCCGCCCATCGCCCGCATTGAAGCCTGCCTGGGGTGGGGGTAGGAGGGGAGACAGGTCTCCTTACATTTCCTCGACCCTTCCCTGGGTGGCCAAGGTCAAAGATGGTGGGGCAGATGGCCTTGTACCTGGGACTCTGCATATGTAAGTCCTAGCCAGGCCCTGAGGTCAACCAACCTTGCCTCAGCCAACAGGAGCACTGGCCCTGTTCTCTGACCCATGCCTCCAGCCTCACCCCTGGGCTTCTGGGCCTCCCGGAGGGCCTTGGGGCCAGAGAGGGTCCAGAAGATGAGTGGAGGCCACACTGAGGGTAGGGGCTTCCGGTCACTTTTGTATCTGTCAATCAAGAGCCACTGTAAGGAGGATCAGGGGACAATGGTGCCTTTGAGCCCGAGGATTTCTGTAGTTCTGGGCAGTGAGAGGCCTCCTTGAGGACACCTGGTTGTGCCTCGTCACTGTGACCTCCTCATTCTGGCTTCTGCAGGGTGGTGGGGCAGATCTGCCTACAGTGACCCCAGCCTCGCTCCTTCAGGTCATGACAGTCCCAGCAGGAGGAATAGGGGCCCCTTGATACCAAGTACCAGCCCCACCGTGACCTACCTGGGCTGCGATGCCCCCCAGGCCAGCAGAGTTGCCCCCACTGCTGGCATGAGTGCCTGTGGTCCATGAGATGGACTCGTAGTTGAAGATGGTGAAGGAGGACTTGCCGTCGGTGACCAGCACCGTCTGGAAGGTATTGACCTGTGTAGGAGAGAGGGCTGGGCAGGGGCCGCAGTGAGGCCCTGCTCTGGGCCTACTCAGTGTCCGACCCACAGGGAGACAGTCAGCCAGGCAGGAGTGCGAGGGCCCAGTGCACAGCACCCCGCCTTGCTGCAGGGGCCGTGAGCGACCTGCATTGGGTGGAGGCCGCCTAGGGCACGAAGCAGACTGGGCCCACCCACGAGGACGCGGCTCTGCAGCGGCTTAGTGCTCACTTGGCCAAGTCCATGAAATTTCTTGTGTGAAATGGACAAAAACGTAAAAAGAAAAAAGGGGGATGCTACAGGGGAACTAAGGAAAAGCAGTTCTGAATCCTCAAGGGTTATGACCTGTGTTCTGTGGTGGGCAGTGTCCACGTAAGAGACGTCGTTTGACGTTGGGGTGAGGCATCGGGACCGTTCAAGAAATGACTGGGTCACACGGGGGAAGCTTCCTGAGAGAACAGACTCCGAGCCTGCTTTTACACAGTACCTGACTAATCCCAACCGAGTGTGGCTTTAAAACACAGCCATGGAAATGCTAGAAGAAAAGAGGCCCATGTGTCCACGCCTCGTGAGGAAAAGGACCTTTAAGTACGACGTTTGTTAACAGCAGGGACCAACAGGGAGACTTACATATTGGGGAAAAAACTTCTTAATAGAAGAAAGTGTTGTAAGATCGAACTGAGTGTCAAACAGCCAAGTGAAGAAGCCCTTGTGACCCCTGGTAGGTGGACATGGATATCCTTCACTGCAGGGCAGCGTCACGGATCACAGGGAAAGCCCCAGAGCATTCCTCCACAGCGGAGGACACCAGCAGCAGCAGCTGACCCGACCGCTCCCGAGAGCAAAGACACCCAAGTCCCTCAGAAGCACCTTCTGTGGCCTGCTTGGTTGCCAAGGAGGGACAATGACATAGCCCGCGGCTGGGGTCAGGCACTGGCACCGCGAGGTGTGGGGGGGACTCTCAGGGGATGCTGCAGGTCTGCAGGCCATGGGTCTCCAGGACACCACCATGCCAGGGGCCACTTGGGGCCACGTGGTGCCACCCCACAGCCTTGTAGCACATGGATTTTGACCAAGTCCAGGTGAGACAAGTTGAGGTACAGCAGGGCCCCGGGCTGGCTGGCAGCCATGGAGACCATGGGAGCCGCGGCGGGCACTGTAGTGTGAGCAAACAGGGGAATGGGCACTGTGCTTTGGGAAAGTGAACCTAACCAAGATGTGACAGCCACCATCAGGGCCAACAGCGGGGCTGTGGGAGCTGGCCAACCTCAGTGTTTCCACAAGCTACGAGGAGATGCAAGAACCGTGACGTCCACTTTGTGTTGATGAGCCTGCTCCTGGCAGCGCGGGAAGTGCTGCCAAGTGCCCCCTGTGCCTCCAAGCACATCTGGTGCCTGGTGCCCGGGACATGCTGTTCCTGTCACCTCCACTGGAGTATGCTGAATGGGCTGCACTACTCCTGTCTGCTTTGTCCAGGGCTGTGTCCCCAGTGCCCAAGACACTGCCTGCTGCTTAGCAGGTGCCCTAAAAAGTGTTTATTGAGTGGTGAACAGATAGCTCGGGACGTGTGCCCCTTGGTACCTCTTTCAGGGGAATTAGCATCTATCTGGGCAGTTGTGGCCCAATATCCAACACAGGCCTTGACATAGTAGGTGCTCAATAAACACTGTCCTCCTAAGGGAGCGTCCACCCACCTGTTCTCACCAGGCTGGGCAGAGTGCCCAGGAATTCCTGTTAGCATACTGGCTGGCTGGCATTGCCAAGGGCGGGGAACGGAAACGGAATGGCTCCTGCAGAGTCCCTGAGTGCTGGGCATTCCAAATGGAAGTCCTCCTGACTCGTGCTCACCTGACAGAGTCACTAGCACATCTGCTGCAAGTGTGCAGCTTCCAGGAGGTCTGGGAGGAGAAGGCTCCACCCTCCTCCACGGGTCCATGACCTCGGCCAAGGAAGTTGATATACTCTCTGCTGCGGGGACTTGGATTCCTGAGCCCCATGCTCCTCTTGGGTGTGGATGAGGGACTGCACCTGGCCTGCCTTGGGGAGGGTCCTAGCTAGATACCCTCCCTTCTCAGGACCAAGGCCTGGACTCACAGGAGAAGAAGAGCTGCCTCCAAAGAAGGTCACTCGGTACCATGTGGCGACAAAGACCCAGGTGGCAGAGAAGTCTGGGAGCTCAGGGAAGTAGCGTCTGATGTCCTCCGTGGCTCTGTGCAGCGTGGCTGGGTCCGTGGCCTCCCGGTAGTAGACGTCACCTGAACGCCTGTTGTCCACATCTGCCCAGAAGGCCGCCACCACGCAGCGGTCCTTGGCGATAGGGAAGGCCACGGGGGTGAACTGGGAGACCTCCTTGAGGAAGGAGATGATGCCGTTGTTGTTCACCTGGGAGAGAGAAAGCGGGAAGCTGTGGCATGGTGCCTCCTCCCTCCTGATCAGACATCTTGGGAGGGCGACCCAGCCTCAGCAGCATCCCCAGGGGGACCCTGAGATGGGGCCGCAGGGTCTGGCTGCACCCCGCCCCGGGCAAGCAGGTGCTCAGGACCAGGTTCTGACGTGAGCCGAGTGCCTGAGGCCTGCTGTGGAGCTCCCTCCCGGCAGGGCCTGCTGCTCTTGGCCTGCCCAACAGCCTCTACGGCTTCCAGGGTTTCTTGGGCCATCGGGAAGGGTGGGGTCCGGGCCAGGGCCAGCACAGCCGGCGGAGGACGGAAGTGGGGAGCCCCAGGAGGCTTCAGAGCAGCAGAGGCTGAGCAGAGGCTCTGCATTCACACAGGCAGAATTCAGGCCTGACTCTGTGTCCCCGAGACAGGTCAGCTACCCCCTGGCTCTGGTCTTCTCACCTAGGAGACTGAGCTCACACCGGCTCAGTCCCCAAACCCATCCTCACCCCCAAGATGATGTGTGAGGGGGTGGGGCCTTCTGGAGGGAGGAGACCATGAGGGCGGAGCTCTGAGGAAGGGCATCAGTGACCTTATAAAGGCCAAAGTGTGGCCTGCCACGTGAGGACACAGTTGGAAGACCCCAGGAAGCAGGCCTCTCTGGCATCAACTCTGAAAGAACCAGGGCTGTGAGAAGAATGCTCCTGTTGTTTATAAGCTTCCCAGTCTCAGGCACTTTATTATAGTAGCTTAAGACACCAGCTCTGACCTCACAGGGGGCTGGGCAAAGGCATACGAGTTTGCGGTCACAGTGCTGGCCCCATATTGTCGTCGTTCTTTGCTGCTGGGAAGGATGTGAGCAGAACTGGGCCTTTAGAAAAGGCTGCTGGGACTCCCTCCAGTGAGGGCATGTGTGTGTTCAGATCAACAAAAAGGTGGATGATGCACTCTGTCCCCAGAGCACCAGGGTCCGAGCCAGGGCCAGGAGAGGCGTGGGGGCTGGCCCCTGTCCTCACTGCCTTTCCAGAGCCCAGCGGCGGCCTGAGCAGCTCAGGAAGGAGAGAGGGCCATGTGAGAGCTCAGGGCTAGCTGGAGTCAGGTCCCTGATCAGCCTGCAGGGGCACTGGGCCCTGGCTCCAGGCACATGGGTCCCGGGGTATGGGTAGGGTGGCCTCTTCCAGGCAGAAGCAAACGAAAATATGCTCTGGAGGGAGATGGTGTCATCTTGGCCTCAAATCATTCCTACAAGTGACTTGTAAACCAAGGACATAAAGATGATTAAGCACATAGGAAGGCCTCAGCAGAGAGGGACACCAGGTGTGGCACCGTCAGGCTCCTACTATCCATTAACAAGGCTCAAAGAAATAAAATGCCAATCTTAAGATTCCATCAAGAAAACAGTCAAGCCAGGTGTGGTGGCACACGAGGTCCTGCTGGCCCAGGTGGAGGGTCACAGGTTCCAGGCCAGCTTGGGTGACGGAGTGAGAAAGAGGTGGGGGAGGGCTGGGGATGCAGTTCAGAGGTAGTGTCCCTGGGCTCAATCTCTGTCACTGCACAAATGTCCTTTGCCCATTTTTGAATCAGGTTGTTTGTGTTTAGTTGTGGAATTTGAGAGCTCTTTCTGTGTTCTGGACACCAACCCCTCATCAGGACATGGCTGGCAGATGTCTCCTCCATGCCGGGGGTTTGTGACACTGTTGACTGTCTCTTTTGATGTCCCAAAGGTCCAGGAAGTCCTCTATGCCTGTTTTCTTTTATTGCCAATGACTCTGGTTTCCTACCCAAGAAATCGCTGCCCAGTGGCTGCCCCCGGGTTTCCCCTGAGTTCCAGTGTTAGCCTTTGATCCACTTTGACTCTGTTGGTTGCAGTGCCCGGGGCTCTGACGGCATTCTTTCCTGTTTGGCCACTCAGCTTCCCAAGCACTATCTGCTGAGAGCCTGTCCCTGGCCCTGGTGGCCCTGGCCTGCTGTGAGAGGTCCTCTCTGCAAGAAACCTGTGAAGGGCCGACCGCCCTACCTGACCACCTGGGAGGTGGGGGACACAGAGCGCGAGCGGCCGTGAGCACTGGAGCGCTCAGGCCTTGCTGGTGGAGATGTAATGGTGAAATGGAAAGGGGGAATAGAATGAGTAATGGTGACCACAGAAGGCCCCGGCCATTTCGCTCCTGCATATAAAGCCAGGTCAAAGGCCAGGTCTTGAGGATTTGCATTGTGTGCCCAGGTGCATAGCGTCATCATTCACAACAGCAAGAAGCTGGAGGCCACTCCAGCGTCCACTGGTAAAAGGACGGACAGAGAAAGAATGGGATGTTATTCAGCCTTAAGAAGAAAGAGAGTCCCAGGTGTAGCAGGGTGGTGAGCCCTGGAGATGCGGTCAGTGCAGCCAGCCAGTCCCCAGGGCCCTGACCACAGGGCCAGGTCCACAGGCACCCCAGGTCGTCCTGCCCACGGCTTCCTGGAGTCCTCGTGCCGCCGTGTGGAGGTGCAGCTGAGCAAGAGGCGCCCTCTGTGGGCAGCTGTGCAGGTGCTCACAGTGCAGCTCTGAGCGCAGGGCTCGCATCTGCACCAGCAGCGTGGTCATGCCGTGTGCAGTTCACACAAGGAAACACTGGGGGAGAGCAGGGAGGAAAAGAAGCCGTCAGCATAGTTACAGATCGAAGAAGACAGTGTAAAGAGTCAAATGAATCTGATAAAAGGAAACAAAGTAATAGAAATGAGGAACTAAAGGGGCAGGCTTGAAAGCAGATCTGATGCAGTGGTAGGGGAGCCAGTGAACTGGAGGGGAGGGTGGTTTGGAAGAAACACCCAGAGACGAGAACAGAGACAGGAAGGTGCTCAAGGGCCAGACAAGGGCACCTTCTGAAGCCCCAGGAGGAAGAGAGGGTCAGGGCATGTCTGAGACGCTCCCAGAACTGACTGTGTGTCAGTCCATCTGTTCACTCCCAGGACTCGCTCTAGAAAAATAAGAACCAAGCCGCAGCGCACAAGCAAGTGCTGGGAACACAGGGAGCCAGAGACACGGACGTGCCCTGAGAAGCAGAAGCTGCACAAACCCTGGAAGGTGCTACGGGAGCAGGCGGCCGACTCCCGCAGCCGAGGGCCCAAGAGGGGAAGAAAACAAGGCCTGCCGCCCAGAGACGTCCCTCACGGCCGACCAGCAAGCGGCACAGGAGGAAGGAGAGAAGAACGGACCCCACTGGGGAGGGGGTGGGGTCGACCTTCAACCACAGGGGTCAGGGGAGAGATGTAGAGGGAGTCACAGACTGACCCAGTGGGCAGTGGCCATGTAGGGAACCCACAGGGGCCGTGGGTTGTGAGAGGGTCTGCAGAACTAGTGGCAAGGACACCAGGCATGCAGTGTGCAGCACCGGGGCAGAGCCCTGTGCAGACTCCTGACAGGACGGGGTGGCAGAGCTCCAAGCCAGCAAGAGACGAGAAGGAAATGTAACGCAGGGGCCAGTCGCCCAGGAAGATGGAGCACGGAAACCCGTCCCCCAGGTATGCATCCAATGGAGAGGGAGGAACGCTGCTCCGTGTGAAGACAGGCTGTCGAAATGCTCGCCATAGGGAAGCGGTAGTGTTGAGAGCCACAGCCGGCGGGGCCCAGCAAACTTTCAGACTGCCGGCTGATGATTGGCTCACAGGCCCCAGCAACATCTAGCTGATTGGCTCCTCTGCGGTGATGCTCATTGGGCTGTTTCCCCTCCCTTTCAGACTACGGAGCTGCTCATTGGGGGACTTTTTTGGCTCCGCCCATGTGACCCAGCCAATCAGCCTCAAGAGCAGGAGGAGTGGGGGAGGTGGAGAGGCTTGTGGGAAGCCGGTGGTGGCAGTTGGGCTCTGAGGGTTTTCCTGAGGAGCTGTGTGGTGTGGTGTGTGTGGTTCTAAAAATAAAGTTCATTTCTTTTTTCAAGTGGCTCCTGAATTGTGCCCAGCCAGACTGCGGCATTTGGTGGCCGCATGGGAACGACTGAGGGTAAGTGATAAGGTAAACTGCTCGCCCCTGAGGGCAGTGCAAGAAGATGGGGAGCCATTTTAAGATTCCTCTTTTGTTTTGCTTCACTTTTGTTTTAAGTTGCCTGTCCCTGGAGATGGGTGAGACGGAAGAAAAACCACTCACATCTGAGGAACAGATAGGGAGAAAGGCTATAATGATTCTTTGTTGTTCCATTTTTGTTTCATTCTATCTCGGTTTTGTTTGGCGTCATCTTGTTGGGTTGTATTATAGTAGAAATCTGGGATCAGAAATTAGTAAAAAACAAACCGAAAGAGTGTTAAGTAAATTGTTAGAGGAAGGAGGCATCCCAGTAAAATCAAGAGCAGTCAGGGCATACGTTGATACAATACAAAAATGTAGCCCATGGCTTTTCAAGGAGGAGTTGTTAAATATATCACAATGGAACCATCATGGTGAAGATTTAAAAAGAATAGAAAAGAAACTCTGCCAGTTGGCCATTGTGGACGTTGGTATCTTGTTTGCTTAGTCCAGAGGCCTCTCAAGCTAGTCAGACAGAGAAAGAAAGTGTACAGCAGAAAAAGCCATCAGGGGGAAAGTTATAACAGGAGACTGCTACTAACACCTTTCTATCACCAGAGGACGGAAGTGTCCAACCAACAGCGCCACCTCCATATGCTGGAAGGCCCCCAACCCCCGCAGTTGATAGTTGGGATCCTGAGACAGGACCTCAAATATTAACATGCCCTGTATTTGAGGTAGGAGGGCAGCGAATTCACCGTGCTTTAAATTTCAAAACAGTGAAGCAGCTAAAAGAGGCTGTAACAACCAACCTATGGTCCTCAAGCACCCTTCACTGTAAGCTTGGTCTAATCCATTACCAACTTGAACATGATGCCAGCAGATTGGGCTAATATGTGTAAAGCTGTGCTAAATGGAGGACAATACCTGTTATGGAAGGTTGCCAATGAGGAATTTTGCAAGGAGATGGCTAGGCGAAATGCAGCAGCTGGTTATCCTCAGAGAAATCTAGATATGTTGTTAGGAAAGGG